AACATTTAAACATCGACACCCTAGCCCACCCTGATCTTATTCTCCTCGAGGATAACTCTTTGGATGAAGTCTGCCTAGACAATAGTAATATGATCTTGGAAGAAGCCAATCTGGCCTTGGACACATTGAATTTAAATTCGGAAGATCCTGATTTAGTTGTATCACCTACTGAGTTGACTTTGGAGAATCTTGATGGTAATAGTCTCGAGTCAGAAGTGGTTCAACTACACTTACTACCTGATTTAACTCCCGATTTAATTGACCCTAAACCCATTTATCCTGATTCTACTGAGCATAGTACTATAAGTTCGGAAGATACTGATTTGGGTCTGAAAGTTTTTGAGCTGAATTTGAGTAATGAATCTCCTTTTGTTTTATTGAGTCTAGTTTAGGAGTGACTCATCTAGAGTTACATTTTAACAAGTGTGTCTTTCTTGATTGGACTTACCTCTCCATTCCTCGTACCGATAACAACGTTAGAGAGAGTCTTAGCCCATGCTTTCATGTCACCACTCTAACTGTTGTGCCCACTTCAGTTAGGAATACCTTACCCCATTTCTTGAGTCCCATACCCGCTAGTCACTCTTTGGGCTATCCTACTATGGTAGTGAGTCATGACCCATCGTCTTATCATATTCTTGATTCCTACATTATGCCCTCGATATCCTTGTCCTTCCCTATTAAGGACCATCTCTCTCATAGTTGGATGACTTTGTTAGATTACCCTACCGTCGCTAGGAGACTGTCTGTGACCCTAGCTGAGACTCCCTATGGAGATGCCCTTTTAGCTAAGGATGTCTTCATTGCTCCTCCTACACCAGTTCCCTAAGCACAAAAATTTTATGTCCTCTCATTTTGTGACGGATTCATCTTTGTTCCTATCTATGTGTGCTTGTGAGTTAGTGTGCTTATGTGTGTTTTGTAGTCTTCCAAAATTTTCCTCTGTTTTAAATTTGTGTGTGGATCCATAATTCATTCATCCTGCATATCAAATCTCTTGCATCACATTTTTCCTATATCATTTATCTTGTTGAGTTTTGAATTTTGGACACCTGATTTCGCATAAAACATATTACATTTACCTCGCATATGCATGAACTACTTAAGGAAATTGCACGCCCTAATTGAACCAAACAATAATAATTATAGGCTTCATGCTGAATTTAAACGACAATGTAAAACTTTTGAGGTTGGTAATTTGATGATGGCGCGGACTTGTCCGGGAATTATATGCTAGAAGTACAGAATCATGTAAAATAGTCGAAGAAATCAATGACAACGCTTACATGGTGGATCTGCTTGCAGAGTTCAACATTCATTCATTTCCTAACATAAAAGATTTAGTAGCCTATGAAGGTCCAGAGTTTAAACCCCAAAGCCACCTCAACTTAAGCCTTGTGTGACCCCACCTTGTGAGAACCCCAAAGCTTACCTCCACTCCCAAATTTATTCCCAAAATTCCTATAACGGAGAAGGTTGACATGATTTTGAATGATGACATTATTCCAACAAAAGAGGGTGGACGAAGAAGATATCTGATAAAGTGGAGAGGTAAACCAGAGTCAGAGGATACATGATCAGAGCACGAGGAGCTATGACAATTGACCCAGATGCCCGAGAATTCTTGAGACACCCACTAAACGGAGTCGAGTTTTCTCCTACCCGGGGAGAATGATGAGGACATCGAAGATCAACGGCTACGATCATGTTTATTTATTTTGATATATTTTATGTATTTGATTTATTAGTGTTCTTTTTCCTTTTCTACCCTCACTTGAGGGCTTTATCTTATGTTTGCCCTAGGGGCAATTGTGTATTTTTATTTTCCTTCATGTATTTGGCTATTTAAGCATTCTCCCTCCTCTTAGAGAGGGGATGATGATTAATATGAAATTTTCAGTTTGTGCTTATGGATCTCTTTGTGAGTTCTAAGTTTCTCTCTTTGCATGATCTCTTAGTGAGTTCGTGAGAGGAGAGGCCCAAGTGGGGCAAAAGCAATACCCGTCAATCTTGGTGGATTCCAAGGTTCGCGGTTCTCTTATCTTTCTTTTCTTTTATTTTCCTTTTTTTTTCTTTCTTTTCTTGCATCGAATCCCCTCCCCAATCTTCCCACCCGCCGGCCTCCTACTCCCCTTCCCCTTCCCCTTATTCCTCCCTCACACTTAATTACCTTCAATGAGAGTTTGAATTCAAAATTCAAATTATTTCCCTCCGAATTCACCTAATCTGAAATTAATTTCAGATTTACTAAAACTTCATCCTCCTCCTAATTAATTTGAAATTGCTAACATGCCACATAAGCAAGGGAAATTAACTCCAAGATCATCTCCATAGCTGCCCGCCTACTTTTCCACTTCAATATCCAAGTGCCTGTGCAGCCAACAAGAGGAAATCGCTAAAAAATCCCCTCTCTAGCTTACTATCCAGATCCCTGGACAGGTTCCGTAAGCTGAACCTGAATATTGGAGCCTTGAAAACTGCTGTCCAGACTCTGCCAATTGCTGTCCAGAGAAATTCTACTTCTCTTCCTGCTGTTCAGCTGGTCGGGGAATCTTCGTGTGCTGTCTTGAAGGTTCAGATTGCTGCCCACAATACCAAGAAGGTTCTTGGTTGCCGTCCACTTCCTCTCCAGCACCCAAACCGTCGCCGAAGCTTCATATCTTCTATTTCTTTGGAGTTTCCAAGTGCTGGAACTGCTGTCCAGGTCTGTGAAGTTGCTGTCCAGAATTATTTCATGTGCCAAATTATTGTCCCTACTCTCATTGCCGCTGTCTGAGACGTTCCTAGCTGCTGTCCAGCCATTTTGGTTGACCTTCCATGACTTTCCCGCTGTCCAGAAGGTCTCTAATCGCCATCGTGAAGGCTTCCAACCCTAAAGTTGCTGTTCACTCTTCCCCAAGCTCATAATCGACCACACTAGAACATCGTAACTCCCCTTCTTTGAGTAAACTCTCCCTCCAAACTCTCTTATCTTCCTAGTGCACTTACTACTTGTGGTTATATGTTGATTCACGACAAACTTGCTAATTCTTCTCCGTTAAAGCCTAGTAATTAGAAGAGTTGAGTGAAGGATCTCCTCGTAGTGACTAGTCTTAGTGTTAGCATTGGGATTTATGGTTGAAAATCAATCATGTATGCAACGTCGCATTAATTGACTAGTTTGCAATCTTAACTTCAACGCATGTGATTTAGCCTGTGCTTATTTTATCACCTTATCGTTTTATTTTGTCGTTTATCATCAAGATAAAGCTTATAATTATTGTGCTCTAAAAATTAAGCGTGTAAACTTCCTTAATCCAATCATCCGTGCATGTACGTTTTACATCACCTTATTACTTAATTGCATCTGAGGACGTATTTTTCCCTGACAAGTATCAGAGCTTGGTTAGCTTTGAAGTCTACAAAAAATGTTGGAGCAATGAGTTTCAAACATGAGAATACCAGGATGACTCAGTTTAATGGCAAGGACCTGGGTATTATAAGATGAATTTTGAGGATGATCTAATTTATAAGAACATCTACAAAGTACTCGTGTTCGTAATCATAATTTAATTGTCATTTTGCGGTGAAATTAATGAATTATAATCATTTACATATTGTGTTATTTAGCGACAAATCATCAGTTAGAGGACTCGTGTCATATCCTTATTAGCAAGAGATCATTGAAAATGAATCCTAGTGATATGCTCGATATAACATCGACCATTTGTGAGTTGAGGTTATTCTCAAATTTATCATTCTTGTTAAATAGTTGGTAAAGGGGGTTGAATTTTGCTTTAAGATTAATTTTACTTGAAATATTTGAATTTTTTCGAGTTTTTTCAATACTTTTGTCGTTTACTTAATTCTAGCCCAAAATGATTTACGTAATAATTTGATGACATTTTAAAAATAGTCGCTCCCAAGGTTGAAACTCACTGTTAATATCATTAGGATTTTTGAATATTTTATTTTGTGATTTGAACTTTGTCATTCTATCTGCTCGCTAACAGTGGATTGAATTCAAATATTATTTTTATGAGTGATTATACTAGTAATGAACCTGAGAGTTTTTATTTTATTATAAATTTTTTGTATACACGACATTAAAGGGCTAATGTGAGCATGAAACAAAATATCATCATGAATTGAAAATATTCTTCCATAGCGAGCTATTTGAAATTTACTACTTTCATGTATTTCCTAAGGTTCAAGTCTTTAAGTTCAATCCTTGCAAGGAGAATGGTCATATTTAAAATGTAGGACTTGCAATTGTACTTTATAGACAAAGTGGCCCACTCTAAAGCATCCAATGATTGGTTTGATTTTTAAACGAGAGTTTGTAAATTTTTTTGAGTGATAGCGTAGTCATCTTTAGGGCGGTTATATGCTTTTCGATGCAAGTTCAAATTTAAGTTCATATTTATTTTAGCCCACACAACATTCTCAGACCTTAAATTCAAGAATTTGAGGCAGTTCATCTGAGCACATGCAGATGGTATTATTATTGGTGATGTGATATTTTGTGTGCTCTCATCGATGCATTTACAAAGCGTATTTGCACATTTTATGCTGCATTCTTACGAAACACTTGCATGTTTATTAATGCACATACATGACGAACTTGTATTTTGCTTGATGCACTTGAATACTAACACGGTCTTTAGTGTAGTTATGAAATGTGTTTGCACGTTCATTAATACATTTGCATTGTATACTTAGTGAACATATGAACAAAATTGTTTTTGCTGATTTAATGTATCCACATTTTATAAAAATGATCGTGTGATCTGTTATGCATAACAGTGCTCCAATTTTTCTTATTTGGAAAATTTCGTTCATAGGCTACACTTTTTATTCACTGGATTTGCTCATGTGATATGCACGAGTTTCCTTTTAGTAATTATTAGGGCCGTCGTGCGCCCGCGGACACCATTCAATTGAATGCAAATGCCTATAAAAACATTCTTGAATATTTATCTGCTATTTTTCATTTGTAGATTGATTCTTTATTTTCAATGTCAGCATTAAACTATTAAGTTATTTATTTTCCTTTGAGTAGTATTTCAGAGGAGAACTTAGCATGTTCTTCAAGGAATGTTGCCTTCAAATTACTGGCGCTATATGAAGTTTTTGAGACCTTACAACTGAAAGGAAGTTTTAGATCCAAAGATAAGTCCAAGGGGGAGCATGTGTTCGTACATTCCAGAGCTAGAGAAAGGCATACTGAAATCAGAAAAGCAGCGAAGGCTCGTCACCTGAAATCTTAAAACTAAGGTATCCAGTTTTTTAAGTCACTTTCCATGGAATGCTGATTCCTGTAAAGGAAGATGAGTATGAAAAAAATGCACAAGTTGGCCAATATGGTTCTTTAATCAATCAAGTTTTCTAGCGAACTGGACTATATTGTAACAGTCAGGCTGGTAGCTTTGACAAAGCTCATGCGACGAAGCTTTTGGGCGAGGAATACTACCTTAAATATATGCCCAAGTCTTCAAGTCAGGAACCTTCCTTTGTGGGTTCCAATACACATAATGATTGGAACACTAAAAGGACTGATGAATGGCCATCAAAGCATAATCAAGCTGGAAGAGGTGCAAAGAGACAGTCCAGCTCCAGGATGCCAAAAGTTGGTTGTAATGACTATAGCTCAAACTCTTCCTCGTCAAACAAGACTGTGTTTTGCGCCCGAAAAGAGGATGACAATACTAAAGGGGAGGCTGCCGGTTGGCCCAGATGGGAAACAGTCAGTAATCAGAATTGTGAGAAATACTCCAGGTCTAGTGATCCTCATGTGGATGATTCTGCCATGGCATGCAAAAAAGGTTGGAATGAGTCTAAATATGACAATGCAAAGAGGGTAACTGGCGAAGGCGATGATGGCATTCATCATGATGGTCTTGATGGATGGAGGCAGTCCAACCCCAACATTCACATGGTGGAAAAAGGCAGACCAGCGGATGGCAATGGAAAGCAAGAAACCAGCCATCAAAACAGAAAAGGTCGCTTGAATCAATCTGAGGAATGGACCAAATCAGAAGATGGCTCTCCTAGAGCATGCAAAAAAGGTTGGAATGAATCTAGAGATGGAAAACAAAAGAGGGAAGATGGTGGTGATGCCTTTGATCATGATGGTTGTGATGGATGGAAGCAATCCAGCTCTAACATTCACATAGTCGACGAAGGCAGTTTGAGCAAGTCTACTTCCTGGGATCAAGTAAATGATGAAAATTTGAAGCAAGATATTGATGAATGGGGTAGGTGGCCTGGAGCCATTTCCAAGACAACTCGGCATTACACCAGCCATACGAACAGAAAAGGTTGCTGGAATCAATCCAAGGGATGGACCAAATCAGAAGATGGCTCTACCATGGCATGTAGAAGTGGTTGGAATGCAGCTGGAGATGGAAAAGAAACGAGGGAAATCACTGATGGGTATGATGCTCGTGATGGATGGAGGCAATCCAGCTCTAGCATTCACATGGCTGACAAAGGCAGTTTGAGCAACTCTGCGGCCTGGGACCGAGCAAAAGATGATAATGAGAAGAAAGAGAACGGGGGATGGACTAGATGGCCAGGAGCAATGTCTAAGACAATCCAACAATTTCCCAGGCAATCCTGGGGATGGACCTCATCAGATGATGGGAAATCGCATAAGAAAACTGATGGCTGGAATCAAGATCTTGTTCAAAATGGTGATCCATGGATACATCGCGGCTCTATGATGGCGCGAAAATGTGATTGGAACAAATCGGTAACTGGATCAATGGGTGATAGTCTTGACATAGAACAGAAGAAATGGGATCCTGGTTTAGATCAAACTGGTGGTGATCCATGGAAGCAGATCAGTCCCACTGTACCACCTAAAACATGTAGGAAAAAATTTATTAGTGCAACTGTTGCTGGAGGTGAAAATTCCATTATAAGGAAAAGCAAATGGAGTGGTGCTCCTGATTTTAGTAATCCCGATGCATTGAAGCAGCACAGATCCAGATGGTGTGCAGCTATGGCTGAAACAAGTGAGCAATGTACCAGCAGTCAAAATGTAAAAGGCTGCTGGAACCAATCCTGGGGAAGAATTGCATCAGAGTTTGGTGATTCCCTGATGGAGAATAATAGCAGGATTACAGATCCAGATCAAAGTGATGATCCAAAATGTGATTGGAACAAATCTGCAAGTTGGACCGAATCAAGGGTTGATCGTTTTGACACAAAACACAAGAGATGGGGTCCAGTTTTTGATCAAACTTGTCGTGATCCATGGGAACAACATAGCCCCCCTGAATTACCAAGCTTTTGTCGGAGGAAATCAGGAAGTTTGACTTTGGATGAAGGTAAAAATTCCTTTAGAAAGAGTAACAAATTCAGTGCAACTACTGATTTTGGTGATCGTGAAACACTGAAGCAGTTACCAAAAATTGGTGGCGAAAGTCTACTATTCAGGTATCTTATTGGCATACCTCAAAAATATTATAAGCAAACCAAACATTCCTATTTCCGCTTTTTTTTTTCACAATTACTATCATGTCTTTTTCCTTTCATTGTTTGAAAAAATAAAACAACCAGGGGAAGAAGCAGAGCTCCTTACCATGCCTGGGAACATGAAAATTATCAATCAAATGATACCTATAAAAAAGGAGCAGAAGGTGTTTCTGCATATTTTGGAGACTCTTCGTCAGGGAGAAGCCAAGGGAGTAGTCAAGTCAGAAACCAGATTCGCGTTGCTGTTCTAAAACATCCAGAGAGAGGTACAGACGAATTTTTGGGCAGGAAGAAAGCTCGATGCTTAGGACATGACAGTAAGGCAAGTTTTGAAGGTCCATCGAAACAAAGAGATCATGTTCATGATACAGAGTCTTGGAGACAGGGGAGTCCCAATGATGGAACAGAGAAAAATAAACTGTTTCTTAGGCAGAGATGCAGCGATCAGGATCCTTTAAAAGATCGAGGTTTCCCTGCGAAAGAAGAATCCAAGGAGATCTGCTGTGACAGAAGAGATTCTGATCCATGTTTTCATTCTTTACAGCCATTTTCTAGCACTGTTTGTGTGAGCTCTTCTGATCCTGCTTTCATTCAGGCTAACGTAGACCCTTCATCCCTAAACCTCTGCAGTGGGTTTTCACCAGCAATCATCGGACAAAAATCTTCTCCAACTCCTGAAGAACTTAAAACAAGTTCAAAGAAACTTGAACCAGTACCAATAACTCTTGCACCAAGTGAGAAAATCCTGAACTCCAATACTCATTCTATAAAAGAGGAGGCAAAGCAGATCGACGGATTTGGCAATCTTTCTAGAAGTTCTGTTCAAACAATGAATCTTCCTGAACCTGTGGATGTTCAAGGTAATGGGGGTAATAACAGTAGCAAATATGAGAAAGAGGAGGTCGGAGCTAATGGGGAGGTCAAGGCTGCCATGGATGATAAAGGAATTAGAATGTTCAAGATTGCACTAGCAGAGTTTGTGAAGGAGGTAATTAAGCCCGTTTGGAAAGAAGGTCGTTTGAGCAAAGCAGCTCACAATACTGTGGTGAAGAAAGTGGTAGACAAAGTTGTTGGCGTTCAGGGCACTAATATTCCTGAGACTCAAGAAAGGATTGATATATTTTTGTCTTGTGCTAAGGGAAAGCTTCACAAACTTGTGCAGGTGAATGTAGTAGCTGTTCTTATTTCTGTTAGATTTAGGTATTTCCACCTTGTCCTTCAAATTTAAAATTGATGACCGTTTGATTTTTCTTTACAGGATTATCTAGAAATGTTCATAAATACCTAAAGCTGTCACTTTGAAGCTGTCTGGTTTTGTCTCTTTGTTAACATGATGAGGGCTTGGTTTAGTTCATGGAAAGGTAATACCTCAGCTTTGCATAAAATTTCTAATAAAGTTTTGCATTTTGGTTTCTGTCCGGTGGTTTTTATTTTTATTTTTTTTTGGTTAAGTGAATATATATTTTCTTTTAATTGGTCTATCCAATGAAAATGGAGTCTGATCCTTTTTTTTTTTTTTGTATGAATTTTTTTGGGAAATGTGGCAGTTCTTGGACTTATGCTGATCTAATGGTTTTTTTTTTTTTGGGGGGAAAATTTTAGAGAATTTAACCCTAAATATTTTGTGCGTTGCTTTGAAGTCTTTCATGTAAGGATAGAAACGGACCAGTAGTGTTTTGATAATGTTTAAAATTGCCCTAGGATAGGATAGTAAACTGGGACAAATTATTCTGTGCGGAGACCGGATCGAGCCGCGGTATCGAGCAATGGGTGACGTAATGCATTTGGGTTGGTCTGCGGACGGCGTTCGATGTCCACACAGAATAATTAATAGTAAATTGGATGGCTACAATCACATAATACAATTTAATTCAATAAATTCTTAAATTATTAAATTTTAGCTAGTTATGATAATTCTTTTGATTTTTAAAATAAAGATATTAATAGATTTTAAATCTCTTAGTTGAATATATTCTTCTTTTTGGTTATTTGGAGAAAATAAAAATATTAAAATTAAATATTAGACCACATTTTAGTAATGATTTGGTCTTTCTTAAATTTTCGTTATTTGTTTGTTTTATATTATAAAAATTTTCTTAAATGTTAAATCAATGAACTGTTACAAATTAAAAATTTAAATTATATGAAAATTATTTCAATTTTTTGGATATATATTATATTTATAAAATAAGTAGATTTATTAACTATTGCGAAGTTTATTATAGTTTAATTATTTTTAAATGTCCTTACTATTATTTAATTAAGAATATTATTTACAATTAACCTCAAATTAAAATTCGATTTAATATATTACTCTTTTACAAACTTGCGAAATATTATAAGTTTTGATTGTTATATTTTAATTTTCTTATTTTTAGTCATTTATATTTTTATGAAATATTTTGTTATTCAGGTATTATTTAAAGAACATTGGTGGGACAATTAGATGAATATTTTTTTTTTAAATGACTGTTTTATCTAAAATAAAGCCAATGCATAAAAGAACTTTTAGCAAATCACTAGAAAGGATATTTATAAATACAATATATACAGCTTACCTTTATTAAGCCCTTTATATTAAATAAAGGGATGATTAGAATATTTTTTTTATTATTTTAACTTTCAGATTATTATTATAATTTTATTTTACTATTAATTTTTATTCTTTATTTTATTTATTTTTGTTAATAAAAAAGTTAAGTTTCACAATCTAAATTAAAAAATAAAAAAACTATTGAACTAAAAAAAAAAAAATTATTTCTATTGAAATTTAAAAAAAAAAGTTATTTTTCTGATTTTATTATTATCTTTATAAAACGCTAAATTTATCTAAAAAAAAGCCTAAAATTGTAGAAATTATTTTTTGCAAAAGCTGGACATAGATCACCGTTCAGAGACCAACCAGAATTTACCACATCTACAATACCAAACATTATAGAGCGAAGGGGTGATGTGACACATTCCAATTAATTTTCAGACGGTGTTCAGCATCCGCACAGAATAATTAATCGTAAAAATTGTTAAAAAACTAAACTATCATGCTGATTAAAACCATACAATCAGAATGTAGGGCATCTTGGCACAAATTTGGTTAGCATTACAAAAATTTACAATACTTGCTTGTCAGTAGAAAATCATATTTCTTATGTTACATCTAACATCAGGTACTCACCACTAATCTTCCACAATCAACGACATTAGGCTGATAGCTTCTCTGAGCCTTCTCACAGTAAGATTCCTTTGGTGATTTAGGCGAGCATTCCTGCATAAAAGGTTAATTTTAACTAACAAAATAATCTCTGGATTGTTTGTGCAGCCAATTTATCCGTCCGATATCACATTTTTTTTTTAATTTAGCCATACTATATAAAAGTAATTTCAATTTTATTTTTCTAGTATATAAGATGGTGGTGAGACCTGCAATGCTTAATGGTGCCGAATGTTGGTCATTAAAAGAGAAACATAATACTGTTAAGTGTTACAAAGATGAGAATGCTCACATGGATGAGTGGATACGAAATGAGCATATACGTGAAAAGATTGGAGTAGCTCCAATGAAAGATAAGATTAGAGAGAGTCACCGTAGATGGTTTGGACACATGAAACGGCAGCTTTCTGATCACCCGGTTAGAAAAGTAGAGGTATTAAATTTGACTTATATTAAGAAAAGTTGAGGTGGATCTTAAAAGACTTGGTTATAAAATATCAGAAATGATCTTTTTTTATTAGATTTAAACAAGAATTTGACTTCAAAAAAAAGGATTCATGTATCCGACCCCACACATAGTGGGACAAAGGCTTGATGTTGTTGTAGTTATAAAATTGATCTCAGTTCAATTTCAGTGATGGATCAATTTATATACTTAAGAGATAAAATTAGAGAAATGTAATACTCTTAAGATTTCGAAAACTATTTTGCAGTTTTAACTTTGAAAGAAAAAATGTAAAATGGAGAGCAATGCTGCTATGCTGGCATGGTATAATAATTAATGAACTAATTAGTGAAATCACCTCTCAAGAAACTTGGCTTTTCTTTCGAGTCCCAATGCAACATTATTAAGCCTCTTTACATGGCCTCGGAGCTTGCGGACAGCTTGAAGGCCTTCTTCAGTTGTGCAGACTCTCTTCAAGAGTTGGCAACTTATTAAAAATCCTTCACTTTTGTTCCTAAAGAAATGAGTAGAATAAATGATATTGCTGCATGGTATAATAAAAAGAAACTAAAGACATTATAATGATGGCTGTTAAACAATTGTTTATTGTGAAATGAATAACATCTTAAGACTGAGCGAAAGATGGTAAAGTACCTCAACATTTCTTGAAAGATTATCTCGATAGATCGAGGAGTATTGATCAGAATCTGAGAAAGATGTTTATGGCGAGCGATATTTCTTAGAGTGGAGAGCACATGCTTCAAAACCTCTTGATCTGGAATCCCTCGGTTGAGCAGCTGAATTTGCTTTAGTAAAATGTCAATAGCACCAGCATCCACCAATGTTTCACAACATTTCTGAGAAAGTTCAGTTGCTGTGTCTGCAAAAAGTAAAGGAAACAAAACGTTAAAAGGTGGATGTACATGGCAGTAAAATTGCATTTTTTATAGTTCAATGATCTTCCCAAAGCATTTGCACACTAAGGTTTCGTTTGGGACAACTTTCTTATTGCTTCTTAAAGTAGATTTCTAGTATAAAATTTTAATTTTTAAACTAGTCTGTTTTAAGAAGCAATAAAAAGTCTCAAACGAAGCCTAAAAGGAGGTTTGATATTACTTTTTATGTTCTTTTTTTTGAAATAAAATTTTAAAAAAGTATTTGATGGCATAGATATATATCATTTTTATTTTTATTGAATCTTATATAATCTAATGTATTTAGTGATTTCAAATAGAGCTGATGGTACACATGGTTCCAATGTAATGCTTGAAAAAAAATCATATTTTGAAAATAATAAAAACATCTAAAAATAATTTGATTTGTTATTTAAAATAAAAAAATGAAATCACTCACAAGACACTAATGAATAAGTATGTTTTTTCATATTTTTTAAAATAAAAACAAAGATTGATCCAAAACAGACCAAAAATTCAAACCAAAAGAAACTTCTTGCAGCAATAAGGAGAATCACTAGTACAACAAACGCTAAATTGCACATTCATACATTAAAGAAAAGAAAACAGAATATTTTAGATAACTGTAAAGAGAAAAATAGTTTCTAAAACCAGTTATGACAATTAAGCATCAGATAATCTATGAAGATTAGCTAGAAAAAGAGAAATATATAGAAATTTGGCGGGTGAAGAAAAGCTCACCAAGAGTAGCACAAGTGTGCCGGATATTACTTATACTTTTGTGCCCAAGCAGCTCTGAAAGCGCAACGATTAATCTATTAATTAGTCGCATTTCATCGTTCACATTAGTAGCAGAAAGCTTCATTCTACGTCGAAGGTTAAGCAGCTGAGGCCTGGAATGTTTTCTTGCTAGATAGCCCTTCCAACAAGACTGAAAAGGGGGACAATAAAATAACTATGATATGAATATAGATGTAAGGGGGAAATTTGACATATATTGAAGCATGCAAAATGATGATAAAGAGTAGCTTGAAGGATTGATATGGTAAGCTATAAATAAAATCAGTCTGAAATTTGCAATCAGACCCGAAAAGCTTACAAGGCAACAGGGGATCACATGCAACAATTGCAGTAAACACAACTATCATCCTATATGGCAAGCAAAAACATCTTTTTTGAGAAAGTAACAAACAAGAATTTCATGTCTACCACAGGTCCACAATAACCATAATTATGATAATCATCAGATGCTTCATCCAACCATGTGAAGTTCAGCCTTCCACCATTTAATCCCAGAGATATCATCTTTTATCAGCAGCAAGAGAGAAGATATCTGATAGGAAATACTTGAGTTCGCAAGTAACCCTAAGGGAAATACTTGAGTTCGCAAGCAAACCTAACCACAATTGGCGAAAACAGGGAACAAAACTGTTGTTTGCAGCAGAAAAATCAGCAACGAACAACAGATTTCTTGGGGAAAATAGTAGAAAGTAGGAGAAAACGAAGGATTCCACTAGTAGATGCAGGTAAACAACAAAAGATACACCTTTCTTCAATTCGAGAGGAAGAAACAACTCTCTGATTCTCAAGTAGATATAAACATACTCTGATACAATGATCAGAGATGAACAAACCAAAACCCTTAAGCAGCAAAGGCAAGGAAGGATCAACTCAAGTTCAATCAACAAACAACCAGAATAATTCAATACCGCGGATGAAATAGTTAAAAGAAAATTATAACCAAAACATAAACTTACTTGAATTAATACAATATCATGTTTGTTTCGAGCAGCTTTCTGTCGAGCTATCCAGCCACGAACATAAGCCTGAATAATTAACGCAGATGTTTTGCGATATAAGATATTTCTCCACCATCTCTGCAGCAAAACAAAACAAGCACATGCAAGCAATTTAAACCTAACAAACATAACTGCAAAAATAAAGGGTGTACATAGAACAAGATGGATACACAAACATTATTTTATCTTGATAAGATATAAGGAGAACATAAATTAAGGCTTCGTTTGTGACGACTTTCTTACTGCTTCTTAAAACAACTTTTTAATAAAAAATTATTTTTTATTAAAAAGCAGCTTTAATAAACAGGAAGAAAGTTATCCCAAACAAAACTTAAACCTAAAACCCACCTGGATCTTGAGAATACAACACTTTTTTTTAGCAGAAGTCTCACGAGTAATCCAACCACGAATACAAGACTGAATAGCAAGAACAGAACTCTTCTTCAATCTGTTAAGATAGATATTTCTCCATAATCTCTGCAATAAAAGAATAAAACAAAAATATACACATACTTAAAATTTAAAAAATACAACTAACTGAAAGCGAGAATTGATAGAATAAATAGCCTACTTGAATCATATAAATGTTTTGCATTCTCTTAGCGGCAGCCCTTCTTGCAAGCCAGCCACGAACAAAAGATTGAATTGAGATGACCGCATGCATCCTGGACTTTCGCAATAATATTCGCTTCCACCATCTTTGCAGTTTTATAACGGATCCAATGAGTATTCTCAACTCAAAGTTGTTTATAAAACCATCATTAATTACATCATAAGATCTTCTATGTACCATGCTAAATCGAAGGTTAGAAGCACCTGAAATTCCCAAAGGAAAATTGGAGTAAACAAAGCATAGAAGTTGCTCAAAATAAGAACATCTAATGCTGTAAAATTTGTCACTATGAATCATTTGGTATCTGAAACTTTTATAGTTTACAAGCTAGATACCTAGCAACGTAGTTCTTGCAAGGTGTCTCCTGATACATCCTTGAATTTCAATTGCAGCAATGAACTTATGCTGAAACATCTTATGATTTTATAGCTATTATTTAGATTTTTCATTTACTTCAACATTAGTCAACTTAATAGAAGTATATCTTTTACTAGTAGCATAAACCAAGGTATCCTCATTCGGAATATGTACTCTTAAGCAGGTACATCACTTAAGCAAATATGTGCTTAAAGTTGAACCTTATGTACCCTCAACTTGCATATTTTCTACTGAATGCCAACTAATCAATATTTATAGCCATATGCCTTCTCAATGATTTTCTCCATGGGTGTTGATTCAATGGATGATTAGTGGTTGGTTAATGTTAGAGCTAGAATGAGAGAGAGAGAGAGAAATACAAATAAAAATGGAATTTTTTTTAAAGAATCCCAATAATTTTCCATTTTGATAAAAAAATAATGCGACCAATTTTTTGAACAGATTTTCACGTTCATTTCTATTTCTCTCTATAATTTTACTTTCAAGAATACAAACAAAAGAAAAAAAAAACACTAAATATTGACAACATTGTCATGACAATGCTAGACTCTCTAAAAGAGTAAGGTCGGTGTCACTACATCAAGAACTTATACATAAGTGTGGTTTCATGGTTTAAGACTGTCACAAGAAAATTCCACATCCCATCCAAACTATATATAAGCTAATCCAAAATACTTAAAATGGCTGATTTCACATTAAAAACAGAACAAATAAAAACTTACTAAAATATTTACACAATAAACAATACTGCCTAGGTTAATACTCAAACACTATGAGTGTCTCAAAAGACCAGCAATAAACAGGCTTTGAACCTACTCATTTCCAGCAAAAAAATTTATCAAGGGGGAAAAAAAACTTGTTCACTAACTGGCAGAACATATTTATCATCTTGACCAGTTGCTTGATTTAATCTTCAAGCAGACAGTTAACCGGAAAAGACCTATTGACCTTATTTATTAATATTTTTCAACTACCATCTAAAAAACTCCAAAATATTCTTTTTATATTGTCATTCATTCTACATTGCATTTCTTTTTCAACCAACCAAACAGTCCCTAAAAGAAAAGTACTACAGAGGTCTTCATTCTGTTAAATTATAATTTTTTAGAATTATAAAATAAATTTATCGGAGAATTTAAAATTTTAAGAACAGTTTGAAACTTCATACCTAATATACGCCTTTTGGCCAAATTGCAACGAACAAATGCTTGTAAAATTGACGCGGCAGATTTCAGCTGAAGGTATTTTCTTCTTTCTATCAAACCACGCCATCGTATTTGAATGTGTTTAACCTTATGAATGATCGCTGGAACAAAATACTAGTATCAAAGAACTACAATAAAGTAATATGATTTTCACTGCTGATTAACTTAAATCACGATTATTCTAGGTAAATATCTTCATCAAAGTAAGAAAAACGCCATCTGGAACTGATACTAATTTAAACACACCACTTTCATGAGATATCAAAGGCAGGGTGACCAAATGCTCGAAAACAATTATCAGGTTAATAGAAACCAAGAAATTTCTTCTAGAAAACTATAAACATATATGATTTGCATGTCTTCATAAAAAAAAAAAGTTTAACCATCACAGTGAAGTTTTAGTAGGTATGTAATAACATTGAACATAATATACTTAGCAAAATCAACTACACTCTGGCTTCAAAAATAAACCATAGACTGCCTTTCCTTCAATTTAAAAAAAAAAAATCCTTGATTTCTGTACCAGATATTCCTTGTGAGAAAAAAAAAAAAATTGAAGTAACTAATTGATTTCTGTACCAGATATTTCTGTACATGATTATGCAATTTCGCTGGTAGAAGCCCCAATATTCAGAAACAATTTGATAATTGGCAAAAGCTAAAACCCTAAGCGACCATCAAATCAGTTGAATTTTAACGATAGCATCGCTAGAAGAGAAAGAAACGTAAAAAGTGAACTTAGGAAAAAAAAAAAGGATACCAAAAAATTATATCTTGCGAAGCCAACTTAATTACTTCATAGTTAAAACTGCACAGTACTCTAGGAAACCAGCATGCATAAATTGTAAGAATGTGAGAAGTGCAATTATCTGGTCGAGCTATTTTCTGCCTAATATAAAAGGAAGGTTATCGCTTACTAGAAGTTGGTTGGGATATTATAGATAGAAATTTGAAGTAGAAGATTTGATGAGGACATCGACAGACGCTACCGACATGTTTATCGACGGAGGAATCGCAGATCTACGGCCACGATTCAGCGCCTATACTTTTGATTCAGATTTCATGATGTGTTATTTAGTTATTTGTTGTTTTCCATTTTTACCCCTTTGGGGAGTTGTTTTGTTATTGTAACCCAGAGGGCAATTTCGTACTTTTTCTTTTTATGAGTTGAGATCTATATATAATGGTCTCATATGTTGTAATGGGTTAATGAATATTTGAATGAAAATTTTGTTTTGTTTCTTCTTCTTACATGAGAGCTAGAAAAGGGAGAGAGCTCAAAGGGAGCAAGTGCAAGGCCCACCAGACGTTGGAAGAGTCTGCGGCTCGTGGTTAAGTTTGTTCTATTCTTTTTTTCTGTGTTTCCCTCATCCTCACTTAACCCAAATCCTCATCCCGATTATCCTCAATCCGAGCCCCAACTTCATCCCGCAGACCTTCTAAGGGAGCCAACCCGCCGGCCTTTCCCTTAGCCGCCGGCCACCCTTCCTCCGTCACCTCTTTCCCAACCTCCCACCGCCGGCCTCTTCCCCTCTTTCCCCACTTGTTCAAATTTTGAAAGTCAAATTGATTGAGTTTCAAAATTTCCAAATTTGTCAAAAGCCAAATTAGGAAAGTTTTCAAAATTCAAATTGAATTGGATCTCATAATCAAGCTTCCTAATGCGTATGAGCTAATTTGGAAGGCTCATAATTCGCTCTCACACCTCCTCTCTCCCTCTTGAACCCGCCGGCGACATGGGCTTCTCCTCCATTGAATGCTACATTAATTCCCCCACCCCATTTGAAATTAAAATTTGATTTCAAATAACTCTCCCACCAAATTTTACAAATCCTGAAATTAAATTTCAGGATTAGTTCTAAAACCCCCTCCCTCTCTCTCTATAAGCCGCCGGCCCCCCTCCTTGGCTCCCCTCATTAATCCCCCATTCAATGCCTTAATTCCCTTGATTTGAAATTCAAAATTCAAATCAAATTTCCCTCCAAACTTAATCAAATCTGAAATTAAATTCAAATTTTGATTAAATTTCTAAACTCTCCACCCAAACCTAATTTCCCCAAACCCTAGCCCGCTTTCCCCTTGAACCCGCCGACCCCCCCCCCTTTTTTTCTCCCTTCTCCCGCCGCCCCTTTTCCTTGCTCCTTCCCTTGTGAATTGTGAAGCCAATAGAAGAAGAATACGACGCCCATCCACCGCCACTTCAATGATGTATGGCCGATCCAAAAATTGATAGCGGATTTGTGTTCAACATCTACGGCGACATCCACATCGTTCTTCGACGTCGGGTTCGGCTTCGACGACACTGTTGAAGACTATTTGAACCGCATCCTTCCCACTCTCGTGGATGTTCTAGACGATCAATTCCAGGACTACGATTGGATCATCGTCGGCCACCCACCACCCTTATCACCACCGGCTACTGATCCGTCAACGAAGGTCTTTGGCGCCGTCTTCCTAGTGGTAATATCCTTCTTCGTATGGTTCATCTTTCTCCGCTAAAGCCTACAAGTAGTTGAGTGAGAAGGCCTTTGAGGTGAACCTCTTGTTAAACGTTGGATTATGTTATGTGTACTTAGCATTTTCGATTGCCTTGAACTTTGATGGAATTGTATGATTAATCTCTATTGCACTTCTTTGGCCTAAGCAAGTTGATTACTTCAAATTCATAATCTTCTTTTATGTGTTAGTGGTAAATTTTCATGAGCAAAGCTTTATTCAATTGTCTTTCTAATTTCTAAAGGTAACTCCTAGTAGTTTCATATCAAGATTAAACAACAAAAAAAATGCAAATATTGCAAAGATGAACAGTAAGAAAAGCCAAAGAAGGCAGTGAAACAAAATCAACTGCAAAAGTGACATTATCACATCCTTGCATCAAGCTAGGATTTAAAAAACAGGAGTTCTGACGAAAAGAAAATTTTTTACAACAAAAAAACTAAACATTTGGCAGAGGTACCTTCAGGTGAATATGTGCCAAAATCTTCTTTATTATGTGGAAAAAACAACTCTGTCAAATTATTTCTAGATCTTGAAGAATCACTTTGCAAATGCAACAGCCGAGAAATTGATGAGCGTCTAGGCATTGAGCTCTGACAGGCTTGCTGTGAAAATCTAAATGAATTCACTATATCCTACAGAACATTAAATGTGAAATGAGCCAAGTATATCCAAATGAAACAAAATTAAAAGTCAAGATAATGTATTACCAATTTATCAGCGTTTATTAATTGTGATGCGAGGAAAACAAAAAGAATCAATGCACTTCGTTCATCAAAATAAGGATCCTCATCGAATATTTCACATGGATGCAATACCTATTGAGCATAAATTGAAAATTAGCAGCAATGCACACAAGAAAAACTGTATAACAAACTAAAAATATTGTAAGTAAAAGCTTTCGGTTCAACCTCAGGAGAGTTTCTCAGCATCGCAGTCACAATTTGGACAAAAGCAATGCCAAGAAGAGGAGGGAGGCAATCAAAACGCCTAATCCTCTCATCATTGTACTCATCCTCATTTTCCTAAAAAAATTAAATAATAATTACATAGATTAAAAAGATAATAAACATTCCTAAGCGCAACAACTAGAAACTCTCCAACCTTTTCAAAAAGTAGCTTATAGATGTCATTTCCAAAATAAAATTTGACCAAACAGGTCAAAGCCCTCCCATCAGTTAGAGAAGAAAAGCTATGGACTTCAATGTTTTGTGTAACACAAACTTCCTGCAAAAAAAAAGCAGCACACTAAATTTTTAAAAATGAATCATAAGTAAAAATGTAAATTGCTCTCACAGTATGATTACGTCTTGCAATGATCAATATTTTCAATGTAATTAAAGTGTGGTCACATCTCTACACAAACACAAGCCTAGGCAAACACTTCATATTAAAAAAATTATGGCGTGAGCAGATTGCCTTGATTGAAAAGATGAGTGCTAATACTTCAAACATAGTAAATATATTATTTTTTGTGATGATAATTTGACATGAAGAGATATAAAAACGTCAAAAGTTGAAAAAAACAAGTATGCTTTGAAAAGAATAAGTTAGACCACATTTAGTTATTCCTAGGCCATCCATGCTACAAATTAAAATGGTTAATTCTGTTTCAAAATATTCTCTTTACCAAAAAATTTAACTCGGAATCCAATAAAACTCGAAAATTCATAATTTTCCCTTCATGCTTTTAAAAATTCTTAATCATATTTACAATCGGTTCATAAATCATAAAGATATTTTTTTAGCTCCTCATTTTACTCTAACTAGTGCCTAAGCTGGCACCTAGTGCCTCGAGCATTCATCTATATCACCAAGCATTTTGGATAACAATGTATGCATAGAGATGGATTTTCTCCTAAAGTAGAATGATCATTCTGAAAATTTAAATTTTGCATTTATTGCTTTACATAGACTCCAAAATCAAGTTCATGTTGCTGATTATGGTCTACAATAAAAGAATATTTATTGATTAAGCTTCATCAATTTCCATTATAAATTAAAATGTATTTCACCGATCAAACATTCAAATATACTCTAAATATCATCAACAATCCATGTATTCGATTCCAAATCAATTAAAAATTCATATAGGTTGAAATCATAATTATATTCACATGCAATCAATTATCCTATGGATATACAAGCCTAGAAAGAGTTGTCATTGGAAAATACAAGAGTATAAAGGTATATTTTTATCTTTCTTTTCTAATCTCCTAATTTAGGATGTTGTTCTCTTTTACCATCTTCCTTTATACTTTTTTATGCTGCTATACAAGTACAAATATTTAATCACTAACACAAGTATTTTCAATTTCAACCTTGTATCAAGCCCAATATTAACTCACCCCCTTCCCCTCTCCTACTTTCCTCTTCTTTTAATAAATCCTAGCCATCTTGCTCCCTCTCTCCTCCATATGCTTAATGTGCTCCATACTTGACTTGCTTGCTGCATTTATACATTCATTGTGCTTGCAAGTAATTGAGCTCACCCAAGGTTGTGATCTTCCAATCACGTTTTCATCACATTCACTCGCCGTGCTAACTGCACCCAATTTGTCTCTCTTGCCATGCCCTCCCGATCATCATCCTCATTTGCAAAGGTTTTGAATACGAGCGTAGAAGGATGATTTTGATTTCTACGATTTATCTCTTAAATCTGTCTTTCACCGTGGAAGTTTGAATATGTTATAGATTTGATCATTTTGAACAATTTGATATGATTTTATTGCATTTTAAATGAAGTATTGAATGATATCAGATATTATTTAGGAGGGTTTTCTAAATTATGTTTATGTTAATTAGGAAGTTTCTATTTATGTTATTGTATTCTAGGACTATTTAAGGGGGAATTGTCTAGGGTTTAGTTTATGTTATTGTTGAGTTTTATGTTCGTAGTACTATTATGAGTTCCTAGCATCATCTAGGATTTATGGGAGAGCTAATCTACCTCTCAAATAGTAGATCAATTGTATCGTGTTTTATTATTGAAGAGATAATCCAAAAGAAAAACAACTCTATCTTAGTGTTCCTACGTTTTTCTTTTCTTTTACAAGCTATTTTCACTTCCATGATGTATCAGCTTGTTGCTTACACTCATTTTTACAATCACTAGCAACATTTTATCATTAGCTAAACTCTAGGATGTAACAATCCCAGGATGCATAACTTTTTTTTTATCTAAATTACCTCTTAGACCAACTCTCTTTATCTTCTTAAATGATGTAATGACTTCTCAATCTTATCTTAACGAGTCAAAAAGCATAATTCACAATCAATACGAGCATTAAATTCCATTGTACCAATTATTTACCATGCTTTAGGACCTTACCTTCCTAGTTGATCCTTATAACAAATTTCATTGATGATAGACTCCCTCTTTCTTGATATAATGACTAATATCTCTTGAATCATTCATGTCATAGAACTCTTTCTCCCCAACCTCCTACTCTAATTAATCAACTTTGGTCATTAGTTCTAAAGGCGATTGGTAGCATGGTTCTAAAAATCGGATTGGACTGGCCAGCTCGACCTGTTCAACTATGAACCGATCATATGGTTGGTTCAGTCCGCCTTACAAATCGGCCCAACATCCAACCAATGAGCTATTAAATGAACTACAGTAGAAAATGGAGGGAGAGTTTGGTTGTTGAAAAGGGAATTCAAAGGCTGAAGGTGTAGGAGCTGGTGAAATCGAAAAGAACCGATATCTAAAAACCCATTCAAAATTAAAGAAAATTACTAAATAGGAATGTTGACCTGCGAATAAAAAAAAAGGAGAAGAAAGAGAGAGAGGAGGAGAGATCGTCCACACCATACCTGCTCTGCCGAAGCCGTCCATCGCACGATCTCTACTGCTCGATGTCGCATTCCCCACGTCGCGCGCACGACGCGAGGCCTTCGGCCTCTTCTCCTTGCTCTGGCACGATCCCGCTCTTCTCCACACTTATCCTCCTTCGTTGCTGTTCGGCTTCGGTGCTCCACACGAGGTGTAGAGATCGCAGGCGCCGCTTCTTCGGCTCCTTAGGCTGTTCGACGCGCTCCATCGACGACTTTCTCCCCCTGTCGGAAAGGAAGTTACGACATTTTGATCGGACGCAAGAACCAGGAGCTCGCTGGCTGCGAGATAACTTTCTACCTAACGCGCGCTTCTTCGGCTCATTCGGGCTGTTCGACTTTGCAACTTCTCCTACTTTTCCTTCGTGTCTGAACGGAAGTTACAACATTTTGATCGGAAGCATCAACAGGAGCTCGCGGCTGTGTAGGTAACTTTCTCCCTTTCACGCACTTGCCCGGCCAAATCCCGTAAATCCTCTGAGCCGAGAGTGGGGGAGGGAGAATAAAATTTTTTATTATATATAAAATTGTTTTTTTTTTATAATTAATTATATTAGTTTTAATTAATTGCGATTAATTTTAATTAATTTATTTAATTATAATATAATTATTTTGATTATAATTAATAATAAAAATGATGATGTTTAATTAATTATGATTAATTAAGTTTGATCATAACTAATTATTTCATTTTTTTATTATTAATTATCATTAATGTAATTAATTATAGTTAATTAAATTTAATTATTATTAATTATAATTAAAATAATATAAGATGTTCACATGCTCTCACCGCTCGACTCCACGAGCCATCGCCGCATTCGTCACCGCGCCCGAAGGTATAACTCCCTTAAACTCAGTAGTCCTCCGCGTCGACGCTCGACCGTGAACGGTATACTCACCTAAGCATGCCTGTTGAGGCGTAGTAGGAGAAATTGGTCGACGCCTACGAGAGGCAGACAGTCGCTCCATTCTCGCTCTTTACCTTTTCGGCATCGCGTGGTGGTCTACCTATGCACAGCCTTTTTGAGCGTGGTGGGAAGGGCAACTGGCGCGCCACCTATGAAAAGGTAAGCAAGCGACCCTCGGCCTCCTGCTCGACAATGCGTGTCGGACCGGCAACCAGCTAGCCCACCTTTAGTGAGCGTGGCAGGAGGGAACTCTGGTTCGAGCGCACACGACGAGCCAGGGCAGCCTGGTTGTACCTTTTCTTTGCTGCCGTCGGCAATATTTAAGTCCTTCCGGGTGAGGGAAAAGAAAACTGCTCTTTTTTGTACAGGTACGTGAAGACCCCATGCAAAGCCTTTATTGTGCGTGGGAGAAAATCAACGCCGTGTGTCCTCGAAAGAGGGCACCATACCATGCACGCCTTATTGCGCGTGTGGAAGACCACCGTTTCTCGTTGTTTTCCCCTAAAACGGGGAGATGCCGGGAGGTGCCGAAATTTGCGGTGAATGTTACTAAACGGACCTGTTTTAACTCAAAGAACAAAAAATTTGGACCAACATAAGAAGTAGCAGTGAACTTTGGGACATGAAACAGTGACTTGTGTGGGACGATCGAACTTGATTGAACACGAGCGAGGACCTGAGAACAAAACATAAATGCATTTCTAAAGAATCCAATTCAATGAAATAAAATCAATCTTGGAACCAACACTCAAGTCAACTTGGACATCACAATGATTGCAAGATTCAGAAAGATTCTGACAAGCATCGAAACATGTACTTGAACTGAGGAACTTGGACATCAGGGGAACCCCGAGACATAGAACTCAAGCATCAAGTAAACTCTAACACGAATTATAACAAGGTTTAGAAGATTTGAACTGGTCCAAGAAAACACACAAGATCTCAATGCATGCAGTAAATAATGTATCGACTTTACAAACAGATCTTTACGAAATTGGGAGCACGTACCTGCAAGAATGAGTATGCATTGGTGTCCCCCTCTGCACCCGAACACATCTCCAACAGTACAACTGCCTGTAAGATTGAGATGGCAAAACGGAATGTTGATAGTATGGAAGGCCGCCTCTAACAAACAGTACAATCAACAACCAACTGAATTGGTGAAAAGTGGGAGATGACAAAGTTGACAATCTCCTATTAGATACTTTAAGGCTCGTTGATATAAGGGTCACTACAAGAGAGCACAAATCACTTGTGATAATAAAACAGTGGGTATGGTCGTAGGTAAACGAACCACTGTGGACACATAGTTGATACCGACTAGATGGTGAGGTCAGAAATCTCAAGTACACACCGGGTACTAAGGCAAGCCCGTTTACGAAAAAGACAACCTCCTCTGGCAGATGGGAGGAAAGTTCAAACAAATTTGAACTGAACTTCCTGTGTTCCAAAAGTTTCTTCCTTGCCCCATCCTTAGGAAGAAAATAGTTCTGATGTCTACAAATACCGAAAATAACGGTCCGCTACAACAAAAGATCTTGAAAGAAGTTCTTTTCCAAATCAGCAGTCATTGACCTCCAAATAATTTAAGAAATATTCCCGATGAATGAGAAAAGGGAGAAAATTCAAGATGATAAGTGCCTCGTAACACCAAGAATCCAACGCCACCGGATTTGCAATACTTATACAAGTAGACAGAAGGCGTCTATAATTTATTTCAAAGTACCCTACTACACGTGCACTATAATGTATACACATAAGTACACTAAAAGGGATAAAAAATCATAAAACCCGCATGACCCCACGGCGAGCAGTGCTATTGGTACACACGTTGACGCCTAGGATCTACGCGGGTTGACAAGTGAATTCAAGTTCGAATCCGATCTTTTTATACGGACCAATAGAAGTCGACAGGGTCGAACCTTTAAACGAATACACGGTTGTGGTGACCGATGTATTTGTTTCAATACATTTCATATTAGGCTTCAAGGCCTACAATCAAAGAATTCACAAACAAAGGACATAAAGCTATGAAACCCGATCCTCCTTAGGTGGATAAATAGGAGTAGAGCAGGTTTGAACATCGGATAAATATGCGATCACGAATCGACTGGTATTTTCTTAATACATTCATTTTGACCTTCAAGGCTTTCAACAAAGAAATTCATGAACAAGGCACAAAGCCTACGAGAAACTGATCCTCGGCCAATAGCTCGGCCGAGTCGACAAGGGTTCAATCTACGAATAAAAAAATGATATCCAAACACCCGATGATGGCCGTGTGATACGCCTAATCTCAACCGGAGGGGTCCATTTAAATCCAAAGCTAGCCACCCAAATTACTAAAATCCAAAATCCAAATCCAAAAAAAATCTCAGATATTTAAAATTGAATAAATCCATCAAACTACTTAAAGCAAAATCCATCCACCCTCCGCAACAGTCTGCCGGGGTGGAAAACAAATTCAAATAAGCTTCTAATCACAAAGAGCCAATGCCTAGCCGAAAATATTACTAAGATCCATTCTCAAACAATCTCCTGCCAGTAAGGACGTGTACGTGTCTCTGACCGGCGGTCTACCGCCAAATGGCACCGCAAGGATAAACGGTTACGACGACCGGGGCCCTGAATCGAGTGGTTTTGCCGCCAAATGAGCACCGACGATAATACACATATTATTGGCCAGAGCCAATACGCTCCTTATTGGCAATCAATCCTTGAGATATGAATCATATGATATAATCGATAGGTCACAAAGCCCTGTAAGTAGGTGGATTTAAAGATTTGTCCCTTAGGCAATACCCATCCTAGGTCTACAAGGTCCTTTGGACGATAGCAACCCATGGCTGCCGACAGGATCTTCTGTCAGGTTGGGTCGACTACCTCCTCTGACTAAGTAGAACCAGGGACCATACGATTGCCCGGACGACGGAAACCATGGGATCTTGATCGGGTCTATCATCCACTCCCCCACCATCCGCAAGATGGTGCAATTTTTATTTAAATATCAAATCTTCCAATCCAAATACCCAAATCCAAACTCAATTCTCATATCCAAACCCATGCTGCTACTATATGCCAGATAACACGTATATTCTACGTATCTGATCAATGACTAGCCTTAATCGAAAGTTCTCTCTCGTGATCGGGAGGGGTAATTAACTATAGGGGCTTGCGCCTATAGGAAACCAGAACTCAGATCTTAAAGTCCTCACAAAATGAGGGCGAAATCTCTGGGTAGTGTCTTATCTACAAACTCATCTGCCTTCCAAAATTTACCCCGGAACTTAGTTCGTTAAAACTCCATCGCCGAATAATAAAAAAAAAAGGCGACGGGGAGGCCAGGGCCGAATTTTCGGAGCCCACAAGGAACTAAGCTATAAAGTGGTTAACGAATCTCTAGATTCTCTCCTGAAAAACCGTCTCCCTTTAAGATAAGAAGAAGAAATTAGTGGGAAGAACAACCTAGTGGTTCCAATGATTATTTCCACCTGAATGCCTTCCTTATCCTTCCATGGTCAACCCCATCATTCTTATAAATTTAAAATTGCAACTTTGCAATTTAAGTGCCTCCTCAATTTATATTTGCAAATTTATTCTTTTAAGATTAAATTTTTGCAAAAATTCTTGTCAGCCTTATGGATCATCTGTTAGGACCCAAAAATTCTAGGTACGTGAAAGACAGATTAATATAAGTACTCATATGAAATAACAGGAAAACTATGCGAGCGGGTGGGAGGTGATAAGTCAAAATTGATAAGTGAGTTTTCATTGAACTACCTGGATCCAGTGAAGAAGCAGGTTCATTTCATTAATAGAATTGTACTTCAAGTGTTCCTGACCATAAGAACAGAGAAGTGAGTGTTCCTTGTTTTAAATAAAAAAAAGAAACTAAAAAAATAATAATGAGAAAATTAGCTAGTATTGAACTTTGATAGGATTAAAAACATATGGCATACTAAGAGAGAATAGGTTAATGAAATATCCAACAAAAGCAGAATATACCAAGAAGGGATGCGTTTCTAGAACTTCATGCAAGTTTTTAAAGTGAGCTCATTACGCTGAAAAATTGTAAGTTTTAATAGCAAAATAGCAGTTGTAGTGGTAGCTGACAAACATGTTAAGTGGCTTATTTCAAGAAGAAAGAATTACCGCATCAGATCCCTTGATCTTTGCAATCTCCTTGAGCAATGAAGTTCTGTTGATGAGCAATGGTACCTACAGGTGAGTAATGATCTAATGTCAGGTTTGATGTTTGAAAGTTTAGAACAGAGAATCCTAATTCAGTAAAATACATACGTAAAATGTAATACAATTAAAACCATGTTTAATAATTAGTTTTAGAAAATCAATTTATAAACCTAATAAACACAGACCATACATATATAGAATGTACAACTAAAAATGTTAGCAAGAGAAAGAAATAGATCAAGAAAAAAAAAGACTGCCAAAAACAAACCTGCAAGTGGACAAACACGTTCCACAGAATGGAACATGTAAGCTCCTTATCTCCATTGGCAATATCTGCTGCAGTAACCCTAACACCATCTGAATCAGACATCGGGACACCAGAATCATTGAGATACTGCATTGCTGTAGTACAATTTTGTAATTTTTTTTTAGGGGTATCAGATGGAGAGACTACTTTCTGCATAGAACAGATAGAAACAATTAGAACAACAACAAAAAGTTCAAGTACAAAGAGGCTATCAGAAAAACAATTATTGTTAAAGATCCTTACTGAGAGTATTGTTTCATTGCACTGTAAAAGATGAACCACTCTACACAGCAATATGCCATCCTGAAGATCTTCAAATATGTTTTTTACTGTGAATTCACATTCACAAAGCGAGGACTATAACCAAAGCACAAAAATTTTTATTATCCCTCGAAAAGAAATTGCATGCTAAGTAAGTAAACACTATAATACATCAACTGCAAAATAGGTACAAAACTAATACTTTAGAAAACAAGAAGTAGCTGTTATTACCTGTTTATAATTGACCTTACATCCCAAGGTCGCAAGATGGGCAAGAAGATCACCTTCTCCATGCATTGAATCCATCAAGAACTCTGAAAGCATGAATTAGAAGCAACAGAGAAAGCAATAGCTTAAACGAATTTAAAAAATAGTCCAACGCAAGATACTCAAATCTATAAAGAAAATTATGCACTTACCATGAATAATTTGCCGGCTTGATTTAATATAGGACTGACGAGTGAATAAAAGCGGAGAGCCACCATCTATGCTATCAATTCCATGTTTAATAGGAAGGCTACTCTCACATTTTGCTTTATCAAGGGCAATTGCAAGTAACAAGAATCTTTTCAAAATTACACTTCCTAAAGCCTCATAATAACCAGGCCTGTAAAGGCCGCCAACCAACTTATTCAAAGCATGTGTTCTAGCAATACCCGCATGAGCAAGAAAGTGTTTCTCTGTGAATTCTTTGAGAAAGTGTTCATCTTGATCTCCATTATTAAGCAATAAAGAGTCACCTCCAAAAAGAATATGAAACCCAATCTGCATCCACAAAGGATTATAGCTCATAAGTACTTTGATTGCCTTGTCTCTGACAGCTAGATCAGTAACTAGCGGACAATGTGGTTTCATCTTCAATCTCCCTTCATCAATATTCTGTAAAAAGTATAGATATTATATTTGCATCCAAGGTTATCAATTCTCATCAGCCAATGAAAATTAAATCATGAATTAGTGATATGATGCAATGTAACAATTGTACCGTAATCTTCTTGGCATAACACCCCACATAAAAAGTATTTTTAAATAGGTAAAATGTCAAATCCTTGCGTTGAGGATGTATTCAATAATTATGCAACTATGCAAGGTATTGTGGTGCAAAACCTTAAGTAAATAATCTCTTAATTATCGAGACACCTTTTGTTATAACAACAAGAATTTTATTAAAAACTTCTTGGCATAACACCCCACATAAAAAGTATTTTTAAATAGGTAAAATGTCAAATCCTTGCGTTGAGGATGTGTTCAATAATTATGCAACTATGCAAGGCATTGTGGTGCAAAACCTTAAGTAAAATAAAGCTAAGCTCTTAATTATCAAGGCACCTTTTGTTATAACAACAGGAATTTTATTAAAGACTTCAAAGTTAAGAGTGTTCGTGTAAGAGCACTATTAGGATAGTTGAACTCCTAATAAGTTACTATTAGGCTGGCCCAAGGGCGGCCAGCATAACCTATTGAACCTGTCCTTATTGGACTGGTTTTGGTCTACAGGAAGAGGGCCCAAGGGGGGTGGAAACAAAGAGAGAGGAGGGTTGCTAAGTAGATAGGAGCCACACATTAATTAAGCATTGTATTGGAGGGAAATTTCTTAGGGGCTATTTAGGGATTAAACTTTTATCCTTTTGCTTTAATTTACCTTGTCTTGCAAGGGTTAGGGTTATCTTGAATTTGAATCTGAAATTTTGGATCATTGTGTTTATTTTGGACTCTAGTCTTTGGCTAGAGGTTGGGAGAGTTGAATCTTCCTCTTGAATTGAAGATTCTTGTATCTTGATTTCTTTTTCTTCTTCTTTGGTTGAATAGAAGATATTTCCTTGCTATTTTTTCTCCACAACTTTGGAATTTCTCTGAAATTCAATAAAATTCTGCACTTGGGGTAGTTGTTTTCTATCAGTTACCTCAATGGGACATAATCATAAGGCCGCCAAAGCAAACCTTATCTCGATAGTTAAGAGTTTGGGGTATTATAAATGGTATCAAAGCAATACACTAGCAAGAAGATGGAAGCTCTAACTTAGGATCCTCTTTGCTAGGTGAATATGATTTTGGGCTACGGAAACTAAAGGATATTAATTATTTAAGTAAGAGAGATCATGAAACCCCTTAAGTAAAATAAAGCTTATAGTTTGGGGTCTTAGCTCCCATTATAGAAGAGAGAGTTTGATTGCACTAATTGTTAATTGTTAACTTCTAACAATTGCAATTAAATTCACTCAACACCCAAAAATTATAATAATAATAATAATAATAATTTGGCAATTGAACGAACAATGTTTCCTCAAAATAATTAAAAAATTGATTACATGTTCACGTTAAAATGCATGGTTATGCGCCCAAAACTCACAAACATAAGGACTGGGGCAAACAAAAAAATTAAAATAAAATAGATCAACAAACACTGTGCCACAATAGAATGCTCCTCTCTAGTAATGATGAACCATTAGATGTAATAACTTTTGTTAGCTTTATACAATAGCCTGAGAAGCTTGATTTTTCTCAGATTTATAAATATTTCAGAACAAAAAATTTTTTTTATAAATATTTCAGAAACTTGTGATGCTCTCTTCTAAAAAGTCTCGCATAAATGGAAATCAACAATTGTGGCATATTGACTCATCCGTAGCCAGGAATATGCTACATAAGTAGCCACCTTTTAGCATGATGCAAGCAAACTTTTTGTTGTTGTTCTAATTGTTTATGTTTGTATTTTCTACTAAAAAAAACTCAACATCTTTCACCTGATTAAACACCACAATAAACTTCAAAAATATAATGTCATAAAAGTTATTGATCGATATGTTTATTAAACTTCTATTATTTATATCTGATCATTTATCAAACATAATAGTAACTACTATTTGACTCCAAATCCTCTTAATTTCCTCGATATCTCTCTCAGTGTTTGTTAACTCCTTCAAAACCAATGTCCTCAAATTATACATGGATAAAAGTTTCAACCTTCGCCCATAGGCTCCAATTGACTGGATCATGTTGTAGTAAGAATGCAAGTTTGTAATGATAAACAAGATAGCATTCTCATAAAAAAAAAAATCTACCCATATTTGTGCTTTCCCGACATTCTTTGGGATCAATTTTTATGATGCAAAAGACCTCTCTTCCTGTTTATCTTCTATAATGTTCGTCATGTATTGATCCATGATATCCCCTACATGACCTTTGTTGCAATGAGGTGGAAGAATCCCTACCTCTATGCTCACTCCCATAGTACGAACCAACATCAACTTTATTACCTGACTATTTTTGTGTAATGTGCTTCGGCATTACTAACTTATTCATGTATATTTTGATCTCCTCTCCCACAATATCATACACTTTAACATAAGGTGCAACATTCTTGTGTAATTCAAATAGGTGCTCCTTCATCCTACTAACACCTCCCTTTATCACATTCTCACAATAATTACATTTCAAATAGACACATGTCTTGTCACTGCCTACTACATCAACTTGACTGCTATGTTTTCATGCCAGGCCCTTCTTATGACTTGTTTTCTACAATACTGACAAAAATCTACAATAACAAGTTGAGAACAAAAATATTCAAACTAATAAAAATTCAATTTAATTTGAAGTTTGACATTTAAAAAAGAAATTAGAATTTGCTCATACTGACTTATTTATAAGAAAGAGAAATACAACAAGTATTATTGAAAGATTGCTCATCTTGACTTATCATTTAATGATGCTGCATATAAGGCTAGTTTGTTATGATTAAGCATTTGAAATGCATGCATTGTGATAAGATAAACTCAGATCTCAACAAAGTGCTTGCATTTTTATAAGTAATGCCTCGAACATAGGCACAATTTTTTCTTCACAAGTTTTCAAAGTGGTTGCATTTATGTTCAAGAAGTTGACATGATTTAGGAGAGTTTTCATGATATCCATTTGTTTTGCATGTGATCACTTGCATGGATTATAATTTAGAACAAAACTTTCAATTTTATTCACACTTTGAGACATGCAATGCTTTATGGTGCCGAATGTTGGCCATCAAAAGAGAAGCATAATTCTAAGTTAAGTGTTGCAGAGATGAGGATGCTTAGGTGGATGAGTGGTTTTACAGTTAGAGATTGTATACGAAATGAGCATATACGTGAAAAGGTTGGAGTAGCGCCAATGGAAGATAAGATTAGAGAGAGATGCTTTAGATGGTTTGTTCACATAAAACGACGACCTTCCGATGACCAAGTTAGTAAAGTAGTGGTATTAGATTTGACTTATGTTAAGAAAGGTAGAGGTAGACCTAAAAAGAATTGGTTAGAGAATATTAGAAATGATCTCTCTTTATTAGATTTAAATTTATAATTTTACTTTTAACATGACACAATGGAGAAAAAAGATTCGTGTAGTCGACCCCATGTAGTGGGACAAAGGCTTGATGTTGTTGTTTGTATAAATTTTCTGTCAAATGCCTAATTCTCAAGAAAATGAAAATCGTATCATTTAATGCAAGAAAAAAACTGTTTTAAATGAATGTTTAAATTACTATTCCTGATACATTCCTATTGTTGATTGACATGTAACTACAACTGATACTAGTTGTGCTGTTATTTTTTATTCTTTTGACAATTAGCATATACATGTTAAGTTTTTTATTCATTTAAGGAAAGGGTAAGTCCCTGTTGAAGTGGACCAATTGATAAGAGTTGAAGTCTATATTGTAGGTATGTCTTTTATAAATAAGTGTATTTTTTGACAATTCAATTAGTATATACATGTTGAGTTTGTGTGAAGAAAATTATACTTGGATTATATTTAATTTTTCTTTTGATGAAATAAAATAAACAATAATGAAAATATTTATATTTGATGTTATTTAATGATCTTAGAAGGCTTTGTGTTGTGAATATTGACACAAAAAAAGAATAAATTCCTTTCAACTTAGATTGAGCGACAAAGGTTCGAGGATCGTAATTGGTGGGTGATGGAGGTCGGAGGATTGTAATTCACAAGTGATGGAAGTCAGAAGAACCATAATCAGGGGTTAGAGAATCGAATGATCTGAGAGATATAGTCGTGTGACATAGGTTAGAAGACCATAATCGAGCGACAGAGGTCGTAGGACCGTAGTGGACCGTAGTGCTAGAAAGTTATTTTTATATCAATTTTAAAAAAAAGCCTTTATTAAAACAGTTTTATAACACCTTTTATAAAAAACAAAAATGTTCCAAACCAGCCCTAAAACTTTGTTTGTGGTAATTTTTTAATTATTTTTAAGTAGAAAAAACAGCCAAAGAATAGTATTTGTTTGGATAATAACTTTTTTAATGTTTTACTTAAAAATTACTTTAAAAAGCTACTTTGATAAAGCATAATAAAATTTATTTTAAGAAAAAAATTTAAACAAAACCACATAAAAGCATAAACAGTCTCAAATGAAACTTAAATATTGCTATCAAACAGCCCTTAAACGGAATATAGTAATATACGCAAATTTTCACCAAATAATGCCATATAATAATTCCAACTTGGAAAGTAAATGTCAATTTACCTTGCAAACCTGGGTCATCATCAACAAAACTTCATTGCAGCTTTTCGAGCTCATGTGAGACGTCATCCTCTCCAACATGTCATCTAAGCTGCATACCTTGCAAAGCGACTTTTTCAGCAAAGTCATTGGTTCCACCATGGACACGTTGACATCAATTCCCGCATGAGTTTGGACCCGCTGACGTTTCGGGCTTCTCCACTTTCTTCCAATTTCAACAATCCCACCATCCAAGCTCTCACGTTTCCCCTTTCCTTTTGAAAACGAACCCAATGGCTGACCATCAGCCGCCCAAGCTCCAACCTTACAGCCACAGTCCTTGGGGTTCTGCAGCAGGAAGTTAAGCCAGGCCGCTAGGGACCTCGCAAAGCTTTCCAATGTCTTCCTACATCGGACCTGCGCCTTCCGGGACGACTGGGACTGCTCAAGCTCGAGTGCCTTCAGCCGCTGAGCCGTTTTTGAACGCGAAACGGTGGCCGTATTTGAAGATGTGCGGTGCTGGAATGTGGAGTGCGGCGTGAATGACGTGGAAGTGGAGTAAGATAAATATGGCGTTTTCTTGGAAGCGGTAAAGAAAAGCGGGGAAGGAGAGGCGAGATTATGATTAGGGTTAGGATTTCTTGAGCTTGGCTTGGGTGTTTTCAGATTGGAGACGTCGCGAAATAAGTGAGAAGGGGTCGAGAAAGGCGGTCCAGGGGAGGCGTCAGCTCCCCGCTCTGGCTGCCGGCGGCGATCCATGGATCGAAAGTCGAAACTATCGAGTGGCGAGTTTGAAAAAAATGGCTTCTATTAGGATAAACTTTTTGAATTCGACTGGGCGGGAAGAGACTTTGAAATAAAGTTTATTACTGGAATGGCATCCATTCGCGACTAGGTTTCCTCGGACCGAACCGGTTTGCTCAATGCTTCAAAACTTTAAATTTCTTAAGAAGTACAAAACATAAGGCAATGTTTATTTTCTGTTTAATTTCTTTGAAAATCACTTATTTTGCAAATTTAAAATAAAATATAGGGAGATTTATATTAATATTTATGTAATATTAAAATTTTAGATGTTAAATATGTACATAGAATAGTATAGAGTGGTATGTATGTAAATATCCCTAAATTTTAATTTATAGTTAAGTTGAGTGTTGTTAGGAGTGTCAATTCGAGTCAGCGGGTCAGGTTCGGGTCGAACCCGAAACTGACCTGGTATTGTTCGGGTCAACCCAAACCCGACCTATTTTTAAAAAACGGGTCAGGTATACGGACCCGAACCCGACCCGATTCGGGTCCGGGTCAACCCGACCCGACACGAATGACCCGAAGTTGACCTAAAATTGCTAATTTTCGAGTCAAAATCGGGTCAAATATGAGTTTTCGTGTCACTTTCGGGTCAATTTCGGGTTGCTGGGTCAACCTGAACCCGACCCGATTTTTAAAACGGGTTGATTTATTCAACCCGAACCCGACCCATTTCGGGTTCGGGTTGACCCGAACCCTAATTTTTCCGGGTCGGATTCGGGTCGTGTCAAAAATTGACACCACTAAGTGTTGTAGAAATAATAATGCTGATAAATTTGTGATAAAATATGAAAGGATAAATTAGAGAATAATTACATTAGATATATAGTTGGAGTGATATTTATTGAAGATGAAATAATTGAAAAAAAAAACAAAATTCGCTTGAACATGTATAATAACGAATAGAAAATAAGTAAATAAAATTTGTCTTAGGATAAGAAAAAAGAAGGGGTAGACCAAAAGTGACACGCATAGAATTTATTCAAAAAAAGCTCATGTTAGTCAAATGTGTATTTCTATCATCTGACTATTAATATCCATTGATTTATATCATGTAAGTGAATCCCTTTGTGAGCAGATCTCATAACCTATGTTTGGCAATACTGTAAGCAAAGCCACTTCATCTGAGATGATTTTTATCTCATAGCCCTTGATGATAAAATATTGTTAAGGAATATCTCAGAATTTGATCAGCTTGTATATCAATAAAACATTCTACTAAAATGTTGAGAACTTCAGAAATTGATAGATGTTTAATATCTTTAAGGTGTCCTCAACATCATTGTTTATTATCTCAACAAATGAGCGTAGATAGTCTTAAAGCTTGATACATAGCAACAATAAGTAATAGGCCAAACATACGTCTGCTGACATTACAGAAAAATACACAATAAATATGTAGTAAATATGCAATTAATAAACAATTGTTATATACCAAATACACAATGATATTATATTGACAGTTTATCAAAAATATTCTTTTTATTACAAGTTCAACTTTGAATGCACATTCGAGAAAAATAATTTTTCATACAGGTTCATACTGAATGCTCATTCGATGCACCATCAATACATTGTAAATACATAGTTTATACTAAATTCAAAAAAGAGTCGGAAATGAACAAAAATAAATCAAAAGTTTGAAAACTTTGCAACCTAATTTTGAAAATGAAAGATAGTCGATATGGAGTTGATACCAGTGAATACATAGTAAATATACAGTCGATACACAATTAATATGCAATTCATACGTGGTTAATACACAGATAATACCTAGTTAATACTAAGTCAATAAAAAGTTCATTCACAGTCAATACAATCAATGCAAATTTTGCATGATGGTTTACATACGCCTGTTTGCAGTGCTGCAAGCGTCCAACCTGTGTACGCCAAATCAATTGTATATTTCGTTTTTTTGACAGTGAATTTTGTTTGACGTTCGTTGGAGGGTCACGGGCTAACTTATAAAATGACAAATAAACACTCTAAATCCTAAAAACCCTAAATGTAAACCCTAAAACATATTTTGAAAGATAAGCCAAAAAAAGTATCTCTTTGAAGATGAACTGAACGAGAATGACAGACTAATCTTGTTGGTAGATGATGAACTTAACACCTAAATGCAGTTGAACAGTGAGTTGCCTGGAATACCGAAGATGAAAGTGAACAGTGAACGCTGAAATTGAAAAGTGAATGCAATGAGTCAAAGTGAACCAGCTCCGAGACTTTTGATTTTCCGTAAATTCAAATTTTTTACCTATGGATCAAGCCTCTGGGCCAAGTCGATCGGGCTGTCAAGAAAAAAATAAAATACGAAACTATATTGAATATCCACGTGTATGATTTTATTAGAGTCCGGACACAGAGCTAGAGCTCGGACTCCGCACATAATAATTTCTTTGAACGAGTTGTGCCATCTGACAACATAACCTCCTCATAGACCTAATAGCTACATTTCATCAGACAAAAGGTGTCATTTTTTAGAAGAACCCATATGTCTGAATATTTGCTTGCTGATAAAACTTAGAAAGAATTTATGTATATATCACATAATTATTATGTTTTTCGTCTCTAACACACTTTATATTATGTCAAAACATATGCATGAAAAATTGTATGTTAATTAAAAAAAGTAATATTAAAAGTAATTTTTCTTTGATTTAAAGATTTAAATGTTATATAAATAAATATAAAAATTTAGACATTAACTATATAAATATGCAGGAATTATGCGCTATAAAGGAGGAAGAATGGTGTGGAAAGCAAGATCAACTATAGTATTTAGTAGGATTGGAAAAATCATCCAAAGGAACAAAAACATCACCCATTTCAAATCTCACCAATTAACTATTTCAGGCCTGAAGTGTTTAGATTTTCTATGCCAACTCCATTATAGAACAGTGCCCTAAAGCTACATGAAATTTGAGTCATCCCTTGCAATCTAATACAATATATAAGGTTCCCAATGAGCTTTAAAAACTTGATAATTGACATCTTATTTTATCAGAAAATTCTGATCGATGATAATGGCCAAACAGCTCATACCAAGCAACAGCAGAGGTTATACTAAGGTTTCGTTTGGGACATTTTTTTACTGTTTTTAGAAGCAGAAAAAAAACTATCCCAAACGAAACCTAAGTTTAAATGGCAATGCATTGACTATCACAGAACAATCAACGGTTTTCAGACAACCAATGATAAACATTTTACAGTTGCAAAATGCTGTCAAGAACTCAAAGGTAATCATTTTGGATAACTTACAAATTTAGGCTTCGTTTGGGACGTCTTTCTTACTGATTCTTAAATAAGCTTTATAGTATAAAAATTTTAATTTTTATACTAAAAAACTGCTTTAAGAAATCCGTCCCAAACTAAGGCTTCGTTTGGGACGGCTTTTTTACTGCTTTCTAAAACGGAGTTTTAGTACAAAATTTTTTATTTTTGTATTAAAACTCTGTTTTAGAAAGCAATAAAAAAGCCGTCCCAAACGAAGCCTAAGTCTTAACATCATCAACTGCTTAATTATTAAATCTCAAAGGCACATTTAGAAGTAATGAGAAATACTATTTAATGTTTTGCTGGCTAGAAAGGTAAACTATGAACAAGCATGGCATCAAGAAAAGGCTTTTTAAACATATATTGAAAACTATTTTCTTTCCATAGTCATAGCAGACAAGTTTTCTGCAAGAATCATTCAATCTATCAATTGAATAGTAAAGAATAGCCATTTCCAGGCTGCTTTTGGATTTGACAAAAAAAAATGCAAAAAAAAAAAAAAACTCACAAATTCTTCTATCTTCGAAGCGGCCAAGTTCTTCTATATCAATCTGCGCTATGCATTACTTATGACTTAGACATTGCTTTGAATTTTTCATCTTTGCAGCGCCTCTGATCCTTTATCATAGATCCAAACACTTCTAAAATTTCATCCAAACCCTCCATGTCATTTCCCAACGCCTTCAATGCGCAAACAATGCTCTCTACTGTAGATAAATACCCAGCCTTTGGCTGATGCCTCACATCACTGTACAGGCTCTCCTTCCTCTGATCCAGCTTCAAATGTGGCAAAAGCTTCAACCATGGATTCTCATAGTACATGCGCCTTGCCTTCGCCCAAGTCCCATCCAGCACAATCAAATGCTTGACTTCATGATCCACCTCTGCGAGCTCAATAGCATTTGAGCTTGGGAAGAGGAGCGCTGAGCCCGAAGGAATAACAAGATTAAACTCTTCAGAGTCTTTCAATTCTTCGCTGTTTAGCAGAGATTTCTTTCTCTGCAACTTCCTAACCATGAAACCATTTGAAATAGCAGCTTTTCCGACTGGATAGTTCAGAATCCAACCAATATCAGGCTTTGCAGTTTTGTCTATTGCCACCATGATATATTTAGAAGAGTAGGTGACAGTATACTTAGAGAAGCTACTTGTAACCTCATCATCTATTGGTGTTTCACCGATCTGATCATAATCGTTAGAAACGTCGGAAATATCTTGCGAAAGATTCAATTCTTCCTCCGATTCTGACATTCCTGGGTGGAAACTTAACCTTTCGGTTAAGTACTTACAAGTGACAGAACGTCTCAACGAAGAATCCAATCTTTCATCCCAAACCGGCATTTCATAGTGATTTCCAGCGATAGACGAAGAAGCACAATCTTGATTCGGTTCCAGAGGGCGAACGAGGAACTGAGCTTGGAAAATAACATCGGTCACGGGGACCACGCAGAGGTTCTTGAGACCGAGTCTTGCAACTCTGGAAGAATTCAGCGGGTGAGTCTTCTCCCGACTGTGCTGAAGGATGGTGACGGCGATAGAGTTGTCGAGCGGCGGCGACTTGAGGCGGTCGCAAAGGCAGATGCGGGCAGGCTTCGAGCAGCAGTGGCAGAAGGGCCTTTGAGCAGTACCCTCGCTTCCCATGGCTTGAATGGTCAAGATTGGAGCTTTGAATGAGGATTGGAGGAATTGCGAAGAGGGAAAAACTGATAGAGCTTGAATGTGGTTGCGGATCTTGCCGGTATTTACTAGCTTTTATAAGTCATGGAGGATGAAAACCCTAAGCCCTGATTTTCAGGGCGTAACTACCTGAAGTAGCTGCATGAGGTGATGAGGGTAGATCATCACCGTTGAATTTGGTTAGTATTGTTCATTGCGTCGTTGGCAAGCTCGCAAGATGCTCGCTTAAGATAATCGTCAATCAAATGTAATTTCAGAAATTATTTTATGAGGAGTCCTAACGGTAAAGAACTATTCAAATATGAGTGTATACTAAGTATAATTTTATACATAATTTATTTTTTTTATACAGTACACTCACATTCAGACGGCCGGTTCTTTATCGTCCGGACTCTATACAGACTAATTTCTACTTATGAGGGCCCACTCCAGTAATAAATAAAAATTCCTTTTTATGTTTTATCTTTATTGTTTATTTTGAACAGTGCGACCGTCAAATACATTTATATGTTTTATCAATAAATCATTTTTTGTGTTTAAAATACATATACAAATAGACAAAAGAAAGAATATATATATATATATATATGAGTTCTATTTTTTATGATAAGATTATATCTGATATAATTACATATTGATGTGTAAAAATATAATTGCAATATTTATATTTAATCATATGCATTGATCATGAACAATGTCATATTAGAAACTGTTTAATTCATTTATACATTATAATATTATCATAATCTATTGATTGGATGATACTAATGACCTAATATTATATAATTACTTATGTATTTTATTAATATTCATAATATATACCCACTATTTTGTTACTTATGATTTAATAAATAGAAGTTACTTATTAGATTTGAATTATCAAACTCATTTGTTTTAATTTTTTATCACAATAGGTTCTACCATAGTAAAATAGTAATCGTGCATTTGGTATTGTTAAGTTTATGTTGTAGTTTTATTAATATTTTTATTTAAGATTTGGGTAGCTTTATTTGAACATTTATTTTTATTTTATATTTTTGTACACTTCTATGGATTTTATTAATAAAATAAAATATTAGTTATTTTTATTATTCATATAATTTATTTTGCCTATATATGAACTTTCTTCTAGTGAGTAAAAAATTAAGTTTTCATATACTTCATCATGTCTCATGTTACAAGGGTGTGACGCGTTGTGGACGAGGGATGTGATAGTAAGCATACTCGTTCCATGAATTAGAAAGGTGTCTTTGTATGCTCACATCTCATGTGCTTCCTATTTTTAGCTATGGTATCCGCCATCTATGGAGGATAAAGATAGTCTTTCCCTACAAAGAAGAATATAATGGCTTAAAATAATGGTGTCGCCCAAGTTGGGTACACTATTGGGAAAAGGACCATTATGTTGTAATCTCGTGACATCTACTGTTATCTTTGGCATACGATTTCTTTCTATTCAAATTCACATGCTTTGAATATATGGAATACTTGTTAACAATGAATCATAGTTCTTCAATGGTAAACCTTTCATGTTTAAGTAATGGACTCCATATTTCATACATAATAAATAAGACTTTAAGGAAGCGCTTAGTTGGATTAAGTTTTTAGTATTCACATGTATTATTGAATGAAAATGGTAAATCCAAAATTGTAACATAGATCAAAATAAGTCTAGTATATAATATTTTATTAATTTTAAATTTTTATTATATATTTTATAAAAAAGTCTAATAAGTATTAATATAAATTTTAATATCAAATGCTAATACATAAAACACTAAGATTATTTTTATTAGATAATCTTATAAAAAATAGGATTATGATTTAGAAAAAAGCAATCTCAGTTGTATAATATTATTTGATAAAAATCAGACTTTCAGCAAAAACAAACAATATGTGTTTTTTAATGAGATGATGAATATTAATAATGACAAGGTTATTAAAATTAATATTGTTGCGTCCAGGAGTATTCGCGGCGGTAGAGAAATATAAAGTCTTACGTCTTAGCATTGTACAAAAATCCATCACGCAATTAGTAGATAAGAGAGAGGGTGTGTAACATTTATAAGCTGACACTAATATTTTTATGTGGAAAACCCCTGAAAAGGAGGAAAAACCACGGGGCTTGGCCCAGTATGAATGAATCCACTAGTATTGTAGTTGATTACAAAGGAGGTCCTTCCTCAGGCGAAGACCTTAGCTTGATGTACATCTTATAGAGTACATTACATGGTGAGAATACAAAACATCATTGTTTATGTATTTGTTTGGTCTGAAGGATTGTAGTCGGTGTGCGATGTAAGTCGGAAAGACCGTCGTCGGCGGGTGACAGATGTCGGAAGGACTGTAGTCGGCGGGTGAGATAAGACGGAAGGACCGTTGTCGGGCGGGGGATGGAGGCCGGAAGGACTGTAGTCGGCGGGCAACGTTAGTAAAAAGTATCGTTAACGGCGGGCGACGGAGGCCGGAAGGACTATATATAGTCGGCGGACGACGTTAGTCAGAAGAAGCGTTGTCTAAAGACATAGGTCAGAAAGACGGCCTCAGGTAGACATCCAGCAGTGGAGAGAAATCCAACATTGGCTAGATGTCCGATGAAAGTCTGACAATAGGCAGAATTCTGGCGTCGAGTAGAAACTTGACGACGAGCGGAGGTCTGGCGTCGGGTAGAAGTCTGATGCCAATTGGAGGACGAGGAGAATTCTGACATTAGATGATATTAGGGCAGAACTCCGGCGTCACTTGGAGGTCGGACGGAATTCCGGCATCACTTGGAGGTCGGGAGGAATTCCGGCGTCACTTGGACAAAATTCCGGCGGCGGTGGTCGAGGAGGAGTTCTTCCCTCCTATCCTTCTTATCTTCTCCTTCTTCTCTTGCTTCGGTCCCCTCTCATGAAAAATGAGGGGTCTACTTATAGATTTTCTGGAGTGGCATAGCTTGTAAATAGGTGTGAGATCAGGGGCAAATGTGGAGTGGTTTGATGGACGGCCGATATTTGAATCCCTTGATCGTGAACCGGTCGTTAGACATTTGAAGGTCTTAATGACATCAGAATTCGGCAATCTTGGGCTCGTTGGATTCGTCTTGTTGAGCCGCTCGATTCGACTATAAGCTCGTCATGTTTGGATACCCTTTGGTAACTCAAATTGTGATTCGAACCTTCTGAATGTGCTTCAGGTATTTGATTTGGACCCATTTGAGCTCGGATTGAGTCAAATTTGGTGTCGTTGGGATCGTATTTCTGAGACGCTCAGTTTGACTGTAACTTTGCTGAAATCGGAATTCAAGTGATCTCAGATTTAATTTTTTAAGCTTCAGCTTGATTTTGCCTCGAGATTCGTGCCATATCAAGATAATTTTTGCATGATATATCAAATATTAACAATGATAATATAATCTTAAACTGAAATAATTACTTTCTATACTTTTGACATTTGAAGTATTGATAAAAATAAGTCAGTCTTATCATTACTAATAAATTTTTAGAATATTTCTTTTTTAAATCATCATCTTTATTTTCAAGTGAATAATTTACTTAAAGTCTTCAGAAGGGGCATTATTTTCTTATTAAAAAAAATATAGTGTATTTTTAAACTACCAATTTGCTCCCTTTCTATATAAAAAACTTTGACGTTGGTTCCGTCGGGCTCAATAAACTTAAACAAATTATGTATATGCTTCATAAACTCGCGGGTGGTTCCGCACGTGCCAGACCTCCCTTACCTTGGAAGTCCTCTACTCCCTCCTTTGCAGCGAGGAGGTCAATATACAAAATCAGCTCCTTAAAGACGCAGACAACTCCGCCTTCTACAGCTCCAAACGCCCCGCTCGAGGCCGAGGAAGCTTCTCTACCTCAAACCGTCCCACCCGCGACCGCGGTTCATCATCTAGGACTTACGCCTCTAACCCGCCAACCACCACTCCTCGGCCAATATGCCAGATCTGCAACAAGCCCGGACACATCGCGGCACAATGCTGGCATCGCTGTAACTTAAATTACAACCCAGCGCCCCCTCGCGCGATGTTCACACAAGCTCCGGCAACCTCGCTGACGGAATGGGTACTTGACTCCAACGCCTCCTCACACCTGACCTCCGACGCGACCAACTTGATGAACCCAACTCCCTATCAAGGTGCAGACTCGATCTCCATTGCCAACGGTAGCACATTACCCATCCACAGCGCCGGCGACGGCATTCTTCCTCTTCCCCAAACCAATCGTAAGCTTTACCTTCATAATCTACTTCATATTCCCTCCCTCTCCCATAACTTACTCTCAATTCACAAACTCGTCACTCACAATTACTGCTCTATCTACTTCGACGCCTCTGGATTCCATATTACGGATCTTCAGGACAACCAAACAATTCTCAGTGGTAGGAGTCGTGACGGCCTCTACATTCTCTCTGACAACACCCGCAACGCCTCCCCCACAACGCTTCATTCCACCTCCCACAAGTCCTCCCTGTGGCACAACAAACTCGGACATCCCAACCAGCTCGCTCTACGCACCCTGTCCAAACTCGATCCATCCATCAGCACCCCATCCTCTTCCAACGTCTGCAAATTTTGTAATATGGCCAAGAGCCATAAGCTTCCTTTTCATACTAGAACTTCTACTGTAACTGCTCCATTTCTTCTTATTCACTCTGATGTATGGGGTCCGGCACCCGTTAGCTCAATGAATGGATCAAAGTATTACATAGTTTTCATTGATGATTACACTAGATTTTGCTGGTTATTTCTCATGAACACCAAATCCGAATCATTCTCTAAATTCCAACAACTCCATAACTTAATTAAAAACCAATTCAATACAACCATCAAAACGCTTCGCTCTGACGGGGGCGGTGAGTACACGAGCTCTCAATTCAACCAATACCTTGTCACGCATGACATTCTTCACTAGTTCAGCTGCCCGCACACGCCGGAGCAGAACGGCTTGGCCGATAGAAAGCACCGCCACCTCCTCGATACCACCCGAGCTCTGCTCCTCACTGCCAATCTCCCGCAGAAATTATGGGCGGAAGCCCTCCTCACCAGCAACTACCTCATTAACCGCCTTCCCACAAAAGCCAGCAATCTTCAAATCCCATTCAAACTACTATACAACACTCTACCCTCGTATTCCCATCTTCGATCATTTGGGTGTCTCTGCTTCCCATGGCTCAAGCATCGGGCACCCAATAAACTGTATCCAAGGTCCCTCGACTGCATCTTCATTGACTACTCCTCACAATACAAGGGATACAAGTGCTACGATCAATCCACGAATCAAATTTTCATTTCCCGCCATGTCACCTTCCATGAAACTACCTTCCCTTACTCCTTCACTCCTAACGACCAAACCATCACCACTGCCACACCAAACCCATCCCCCCTCACATTACTTCCCACTTCCATTCCTTCCTGTCTTCCACATCACCAATCTCCCCCAATCCCTTCTCCCATCACTCCTCCCGAAAATTCCATACCTCAACCTTCTACAACCTCCTCCCTCCCACATCATTCACCACCAGTTCCCACATCTGACTCCACTTCCACTCACCACCCCCATCCAATGCAAACTCGTCTCAAATCCGGTATCACTAAGCCTAAACCCATCCTCGATCTCCTGGCTACCACATTCGAACACCCCGTCCCTTCCACATTCACCCAGGCCTCCACCTCTCCACACTGGCGTGCAACCATGTCCGATGAATTTCGAGCTCTCCACCGACAGGGCACCTGGTTGCTAGTCGCACCTCCGTCTCATCATCCAGTCCTCGGCTTCAAATGGACGTACAAGTTGAAGCGAGACTCTGCCGATCACATAGCCAGGTACAAAGCCCGGCTCATTCCCAAAGGCTATGAGAAACAGCCCGGCCTTCACTATCATGAAACATTCAGCCCCGTTGCTAAGCTTCCCACCATCCGCATTTTGCTCACACTGGCTCTTCAGCGATCCTGGCCCATCACACAACTAGATGTCACAAACGCCTTTCTTCAAGGAGATCTGCACAAGGATATCTACATGGCTCAACCCCAAGGGTTCGTCGACGCCCAACAACCCACTTATATCTGCAAATTGCATAAGGCCATCTACGGCCTTAAGCAATCTCCTCGGCAATGGTATACAAAACTCACCTCACAACTACAAGCCACTGGTTTCCAATTCAGCAAATCAGATCCCGCACTACTACTCCTCAAAACGCCATCAGCTCAGATCTACGTCCTCATTTATGTAGATGATAAGCTCATCACGGGGAACGATCAGAATCTCATTCAGGATCTCCTAACCACGCTTTAGAAAGCTTTCTCCCTCAAAGATCCTCAGCCTCTGTCTCTATTTCTCGGCATCCGTATTTCCACCACACCAGACGGTCTCTTCCTCGATCAACAACAATACGCTGAGGACATTCTCAACTCCAGCGGCTTCCTCAATTGCAAACCTCTGCTCACCCCCATTGGGTTAAAATCTTCCAGCACCACCAACGCCAGAGCTCAACCTCTCGATCCCACCCACTACCGACATCTGGCCGGATCGCTGCAATACTTAACCATTACCCGCCCAAATATCGCATTTGCAACCAATCAGGTCTGCCAGCATATGCACGATCCCAAGCCAAACCACGTTCAAATCCTCAAACGCCTGCTCCGATACATTCAGGGAACAATTAACTTCGGCCTTCCTCTCCGACGAGGAAGCCTTACGCTTCATTCCTATGTCGACGCCGACTGGGCCGCTGACCAAACGGATCGCAAATCCGTCTCCGGCTTCTGCACCTTCCCCGGCGACAATCTCATTTCCTGGTCAGTCAAAAAGCAAGTTACCGTCGCAAAATCATCCTCGGAGGCAGAATATTGTGCCTTGCCGCCGCCACATCCGACGTCTTATGGTTACAACGTCTCCTAGCCGACTTCGACGCCACACAGTCTTCCCCAACTAAACTATTCTACGACAACATCTTCGCTTTGGCTCTCGCGAACAACCCAGTGTTTCACGCGAGAACCAAACACATCGAGATTGATTATCACTTCATAAGTGATCACATTAAGAACCAGGAGATCAGCGTTGAACACATTCACTCTTCTGATCAACCCGCAGGCATCCTCACCAAACCTCTTCCGGTCACTCGCTTCCAACAACTTCGCTCCAAACTCACCATCGTCTCCAACGACAGTCAGTTTGCGGGGGGCTGTCAGCACGCCCAGCACGTGACCACCATCGCCGGCATCTGACCGCAGCAGGCGACGCAGCGCCACATTCCCTGACGCCTCAGATGATGCGCTCCATGGATAAAATCCTAACGGAATTGATCTCCTGCACTTTATCTTCTCTATATAACAATCACTGTAGCAACAAAGAATGTATGAAATACGAAAATCAAATTTCCCTACATCTCTCTGTTTTCCTTCTCTGTTCTTCTAGCAATGTCGTGCAGGTCATTTGATATTTTTCACTCCAAAATGCAGTGAAACTAAAAAATGTCGTGATTCATCTCCAATCGATCTCTATTTTGCGGGCTTCTGTGAATGTAACCATTTTTCTCCTCTTTGGCGTGTTTCTTCGACAAATTCGATTGAGACAAAAAAATCACATTGTTGAACAGTGCAACGTCATATTGGTGTCGTACTGTTCAGTTGCAATCAAATAGCGGAAGATTTGGAGTTCCGCTGGAGCGACCAAACGACATCAATGCATGTTTGACGTTCGGTTGAAGATGCTCTTAAGAGATGAGTTAATGGTGTAATAATATTATTGTTTTTTCTTAAAAAAAATATTCATAAAGCAAATGAAAGATCATTTGTATGTGTTTATGATATGTAATTATGTACATCTGAGTCGATAGTCAATTAGTCATGTCCCAATTGCGATAACTAAGAGGCAGTGGCCCACATAATAGTTCTCAAATAATTCCAATATGTGTACTCTTATCCTTCCTTGTCCACCTTCGCTAGCCTAATAAATTTTCCTTTTGTCTCAATATAAACATTAAGTGAACATAATCAAATGGTCCTGCTTAATATAGTTGTATGCCGAACTCTTAAGAAGTCATTAGTTTGGCTTAGTTGCTGATTAATATTTTGCATCAAGCAGTAGTCTCTCATTAAATATGTGATATATTCAGTTTCACAAATAATTGTTAGACGTGTGGAATTTGATTGTGTTGAATGTTGATTAATTGGGTTATATATTGTCTTGGATCTCAATTCAACTTGTTAAACTTGCTGGGGTTGCAGGGGTTCCTCCCCTTAGTTGGGCTTGAGTGTTCTACACAAGGAAATTTTTATTTTTATTTTGTATAACACTCTGGTGCTACATAGTATGGCGGGAAAAGACAGAAAAGCAGGGTGTTGCGGCGTTTTAAACCTTAGCGATGCAAACGTCCAAACCCATCGATGTGGCGCGGTTATGCAGGTAGAAATCAAAGAATGGGAGCGCCATGGCCCATAATGATCCAACTTGGCGCCGTAGCACTGCGGGGCCAACTAGGCAGTTTTTTCTCTTATTTTTCATTAAAGCTTGTGTCCCTTGGTAGTTTTTATTGTATCTATTTGTATATTCTAGTAGTGTAAAAACATTACAAGAAAGAAAAGAATCAATGAGAGAGTGAGAAAGAAAAAAAGATATGTACTATTTCTCCGAAATTTCATAGTGAATCTCTTGGTGTAGTGTCTCAGTGTTTTTTTCTTGATTTTGAATTTTTTCATATTAAATATTGGTTCATTCATTTCCGCTGCATTTTTTTCTCTCGTTTGTTTTGTGAAACCCCAGCATTTATAGTCATTAGAACTAACTAATATGCCATATTGCCATTCTTGTCGATTGAGATGAGTTCTTAGGACATGATTATCTGCTTCAGAAGGATTCTCTTACAGGCCAATGAGTTTGAAACGGAATAGATTGAGTTAATTTGACATCAACTAACTTAATTTATCTTGAATTAATTTTTTTGGATAATTGGATGTTCATGTGAGAAAATTTATATTGTAAAATTAAAGATAAAATTTAAAATATAGAATATAACTATTTAAATTATATATAATAAACATTTATCTAATTTGGTGTCCAAACTTACAAATCTACAAATTACTACAATGAGATAAAGTTGTGTAGAGTTCTCCCAATAAGAGAAAAACGCTATAGTCGTGTGTGCCGGCCACACTTTCCTCTGACATCATCAACAAAGGTTGAAAGCAACGCGGCTGACCTGTTCGAGCACAAAGCCGCAAATAGGTTCTTTGCCAGTTTGTCAATTTAGTATCTGTTCTCTCCATCAAGGGAATCGAGAGATCTAGAGAGGGGAAGAGTAGAGATGCACGATTTTTGCTTCACGATCCCCTACGGCCTGCTGTTGCTGTCCGGCGGATTGGTGGGCTACTTCCGGCGCGGTAGTACTGCATCACTTGCAGGAGGCGGGGGCGCCGGCATCCTTCTCCTCTTGGCCGGATTTTTCAGCCTCAAGGCCTTCGAGAAGCGACGCAACTCTTATGTAGCGATGATACTGGAGACTGGTATGATCTTGCAGCGCATCTGCCCCAAATTTTGGTTTTCTTCGGTTAATGGCTCGATCTAGTCTCTTTTTCTATCTGGTTGTTGAAGAATGATTTTTCATCTTCCCCTGCATCTACCAGCGTAGGTCCTCAGTTTTTTTGAAGATCTAATGGAAGCAATGGGATCTTTAGTTTTTTTAATTTTATGATGAATTTTGTTAGGTTGTTTATTTCCTTGAAAATTTTGGAGCTTGCTAGCTAGGCTTGGTGTTTTACTACTTTCGCTTGCATATATCATTGATTGGGTTAGGGAGCATGGACAAAAAGGACAAGGGGCTGCTGTTTAAAAGTCGAATTTAATTCAAGTAAGATTAAATCATGGAAATCTAAAATTAGTCAATCATGCAGGCTTTAAATAATTAAAATTGTTTGGCATGTTATATGATAAAATTTGGTTAAATTCTAGTGAACTGTTTGACATATATTTTTAAGATTTAGGAATTAAATGATGGAGAAGAATATGCACAATGAATATAAATGATATAAATATTTTACTTATCTTAAGATTTATGAAATATGAGATTTAGCCTAAAATGAGAGAAAAATGAGATTTAAGAAGCTTGTCAGATTTATGTGGGTTCATCAAGAGTTCAAGACTTAGCCAAAATTTACCAAAGGGTTGTTTGGTTGGCTGAAAAAGGAATGCTGTGCAAAGGGAATGCAGTGGAAAAGAAATCCAGTGCATTTAGAATGCTTTGGAGTTGTTTAGATGAGTGTAAAATAAATGCAGGTGATTACTTTTCTTTTATCTTAAAGTAAAACGAATGCAAACTCCAAAGATGGTGATGGTCAATGGCGAGGCGATGGTGGTCGACTGTTGCGGTGGGTGGCCGACGGTGGGTTGCCAACGGTGGCAGGTGGTTGGAGGCAGTGGCCAGCAACGACTGGTGGTCGGTGGTAGGCAGCGACTGGAGGTGGGTGGTGGCCGGTGGTAGTGGGTGGTGGTGGTGGGTGGCGATGGAGGCCAAAGGCGGGCGACGACTGATGATGGGTGGTGGCCATGGTTGGTAGTGGCATCATCGATTGAAGGTTGGTGGTGGCTGTTGATGGTGAGCATGGTTGGCTGCAAAGAGTGGTGGTCAATGGCGGCTCAAGGTGGGAGGTGGCTAGCGATAGGTGGCAACGGTCAGCGGTGGTAGCAGCTAGCAGAAGGAGACAACAATGACGATGAATTTATGATGTATTTGGAAATCACCCAAATATGAGGAATTCTAAATAAACCAAAATTGAACTACATTGTAAATGCACCAAATTTTTTAATACATATATTTTACTTAAAATCAAATACCAATATTCTTACAACCCCTACATTTTAAATATTTTACACCGATTTTACTTCAAACCAAATAACCCCTAAATCTTGCAACCAAATAATACCTAAAGCTTGAGAAACTAACGTTCAACCAAATTTCATGTGAATCCTAAAAAATAGCCTGTGAGATTTGAGAATAAACTTAGTCAAAGTGCATCCTTAGTAGGGGTGTATAGAAGTTCTCTAGAAATTGAGGATGCAGCTAATTAAGGCAAGTTTGTAACTTGCCAAAGTTCAAATTTGATTCCTAGAACATCGAATGCCAAAATTTTACTTGGTTCATAGTTCTACCCTTTGGGTTATATAGTACCTATTCAACTAAAAAAATTCATTAAACATAACTATTTGTATTGTTCATTCCTTGGTTGCATATGAGGCAAGCATCATATGCCTATTTCTATTTCATTCTCATTCTCCCACTCTTCCTCATTCCCTTTTGATAGTATGGTTTTATATCGCTAGTTATTAACGTTTGCTTATTATTTGCCTGTGTAACGAACCCAACAAATATTGGTTGGTGGACAATTGTAGGTTAGTTACTTCAATTCTTCTTTTCACATTTTATAATCTTGTGTGTTCTTGTATTATGGATTAGGTATCCAAGGATGCAATATTATAAACACAATTTTTAAATCAATTCTAAAGAGTATTCCTCTCTCTTTCTTTTCCTCTCCCTTGATTCTATTTTATGTTTGCCTAAAGTAGATATGCTACAGTTTTCCCAGATCCCGTACTAACCTTAAAACCTTATGATGTTGATCCAAATCTATCGCAGTTTTTCATTCCCTTGCTATTGTCTTGAAACTATAGAAGATTGCTCCAAATAAAGTACGTTGTGTTGGAAAGATTGAATCTAAAGTGCTATTCAAGAACCTAAGTCATGGAAAAGAGTAAAGTTAATTGGATTAGAGAAACCTTGATTTCCACAAGAATTTCAATAAAAAACTGTTGATCCGTATTTTCCTCCTATTATTTTTGTTGTTACAATTGGTTTCAAAGCACCATGAATAAAAAATTTGAAGATTGCTTTGTCAAGATTGGAGATTGATAAGTTCACTGGGCGAAATAACTTCAATTAGGGGTGTAAAAAAATAATCTAACTGAACAACCTGACCCAATTTTACTCTAAAAAACAGGTTTTGGTTGACTTGATTGCTATTCAAGTCGATTTTTTTCTGAAATCTTAATCCAATTAATTTTTGGGTCTTAGTTGACCCAAAAGCTGAAATTGATTCGTAATTAAAACGATTATCATTTGGGTTCAGTTAAACGAATTGGGTTTAGGTTAAATAGTTAATTTTATGTTAAATGAGTCATATTTAGGTTGAATGGGCTGTGTTTATAAAAAAAAATCAAGATCCATAATAAATGAGTCAAATGAGTTTGGTTCTAGTTAGGCATGTTTAGGTCGATTCGATTTCGGGTCATACATTTTTGATCTGTATGATAAACAAGTCAGGTTTAGGGTAAGTACATTTGGGTCAAGCCAACTTTGGGTTTGATCCAAACCTAACTTGCCAACCCACCCAAATTGACACCACTAACTTCAAGCTTTGGAGATTAAAGATGAAATTTCTCTTGCATTGATGTTTGGATGCGACATTGTCAGAAGAAACTTTGCAAAAGGCAGATGCAATGAATTGAGTAGATCTTGCTAAAAAGATTCATATCATCTTGAGTCTCGAAGATAAAGTTTTAAGGGAGCGGAGCTTGTTGAGGAGTCGATTATTTATGTTTGCAGAAAACTTGAATTTGTGTAGTTGAGTAGGTCCCTTGCAAATTGGTTATACCTCAAGAAGAGGTTATACAACTTACAAATGGATCATTCCAAACCACTTAAGTTCAAAGTCATGTTGGATCGTAAAAGCTTTTAAGTTGAAATCAAGGATGATGATAGGATGATAATATTGCCATAATACTCTTTTGTTCTTTGTCCAAAAGGCATAAACATATTGTAGATGCTATGCTACTTGATAAAATAATTTTTTCTATGATAGAGGTGAAATCAACCTAAATGTAATTAGTTGTGATTGGTTGTTTAAAAAGGAATGTTGTACTGAATGTGAGGGAGTTAGGTTCAAAGCAAGATAAGTCGTAAAGGGTTTCTTACAAGAAGGTGTGGATTATAATGAAGGATTATTTACTATTGTGATGCAGATCTCAAGGTTCCTTGAGGCTCCTTTTTCTCTTTTTCTTTGATTAGGAGGCTTTGTGAAATGATGGCGATCAATCATTGATCTTTTCTTTCTTTGCTCTCGTGTTAAGAATGGGTTGGTGTTTGTATGCATATTTACCACCCTCGATGGTGATGATGAATTGGTTGGAGAGTGATGCTATGAATCGAGAACTGATGCTTTATGCAAAAACGAAACGTTAAGAACTCAATTAGATGCAAAACAGTGGTCAAATAATTAAAAATTGAGGTAATTCCTAGGGCCTTTCAATATGATACATGAGAAAAAACTAGAAAAATTATTTAAAGAAATGCATAATAAAATAAAGTTCAATCAAAATATAAATATACTAGATTTTGAAACTAAAATGATCAAATAATTAGGAGATTGAAAAGCGAGATAACCCTAAAAGCATCTTGAAATGAGGCCATCCATTCGCTATGTGTCTTGTAATGCTTGATCTAAATTTCTAGTTCTGGTTGAGCTGATGATCACCCAATGCATCCAACCTAAGACAAACGAAAGAAGAACACGAATAAGGTGAAAAATATGAGAAGATGGATATGTGTAAATGGAGAAATGAAGAACCAAATTAGCAAGTTGTGATTCTAGCGGCAAAGGAGAATTTTATGTTATATAAGTAATTCGTTTGCATCAAAATAATTTGGAGGAAAAAAGAGGATTCTATATTGTTCACTAAGACTTCCTGATGATATTGTAGATATCTCAAAGTCTAGGTAGAAGTCTCATAAAATATTAAGACGCAGATCTTGAACCAACCATATACAGTCCAATGTAATGTACCACATGCTTGTGTCTTATAATGCTATACGTTTATCACGGTCCAGAGTCTTTATGACAATTTTGTTTATTAACTTTTTTTCTTATCAAAATTTTATTGGTACGAGCATCTATCACTCAACACAATAGAATTTAAAGGTCATTCAACACAGTAGAATTTAAAGGATTGGGAAATATCCAGTGGTAGGAAATATTTATTAACATGATAAGTTAATGGTTACTTTTGATCATAGGAGCATCAATTTTAAACACTTCTGGTATTAGATATAATGTTGTACCCAAGCCACCTTACATTGGACTAAACATACCTTGTGTTGGACCCTACTAGAAGTTCAAATGTAGGTTGTTAGAACTATGTGAACTACAAGTGCACACGACGGGGCGGGGGGTGGTGAATTTGTGTTTTTAAAAATCCCCTTAAAATTTATCTATTTTTGAAAGATTATGATTTAGTGGAAAAATAATATGAATATACAGAACACATAAAACACTTTGTTTTGATTTTTATATATGAAAAAATTGCAAAGAAAAAATATTTTTGTCATTTTTTATTTTTGATTTTTTTTCTTCTTGAGCAAAATCAAGGTATATGTTTCATGCAAAGCGAAGCTCGCATATCACAAATTTTGTAATAAGTAAAATACTAAAATGCAAGGAATAAATTGAGTAGACGTAAAAGCTAAAACCAAGAACAAACACACCAGAGATTTATAATGGCTCGGTCAATCTTAACCTACATCCACTCACCGGATTGCTCCACTCTGAGAATTGCACTAAAAACTTAGTGACTCTCCTTTCCCCCCCACAACAAGGTAGAATCTCTTATAAATCTCTTCCATTTCCTCGGTGCGGCGGAGAAGTCGAATTTCTTTCACCTCTGTGCGGCCAAGTAGCCGAATCCCTTTCACCTCCTCAGTACAGCGGAGTAGTCGAATCCTTCCCACGAAGTGACTCTTCCCAAAGTTTTCCTCAAGCAAAAACACTGACCCTGGAGGAAGAAGGTGCACGATCACCGAGCAACCGTGTAGGAACCTCTCTCACACACTATCTTGTTCCCACAAGAATTTTCTCCCTTAATACCTCACCTCTCTCTCTTTCCCAAGGCAATGATCCCTCTTCAAATCCTTCTCACAGAAGCTCTCCCTCAGAAAAAGTGGCAAAAGATTTCCTAAGACAGGGATGATATTTAAACAAAGGCTCAAAATAACTCTAAAATTCAAGTTAGTCAAAATTGTTCGTACAACACGATTAGATCAAAAGTCCCTGTTTGTTCTGTTCAAAGAACAAACTCAGGTACAATCAGTTCAAGTGAACCAAAATTGATTGTATAGTATGATTATTATATATTACTTAGTTTGTCTAGGATGATCTCTGGGACGATAAAAAATCGTCTTTGCCGATTGTCCCGTACGATTCGTATCGTACTGTACGACTATTTCAATAAATCAAGGTTTCTCCATGATGATCCTTGGGATGATTAAAAATAGTCTTATCGATTGTACAATATAATCACGATCGTACAATACGATTGCTATTCATTAATTAACCTTGATATTATTTCCTAATCATAGGGATTAGTTTAGGCAAGATTTCATATATCGTACAGTACGATTAGTTTAAAATTCAAATACTTGTCTAAATTTGATTGGTGGCGAGGGCTTTGATTTCAACTGATCTTCCTGTACGACTGAGATCGTACAGTACGATTTGTTCACTTTGATTAATCAATCAATTAGCCATTTAAATTGATTTTTTGAACAACTAATCATATAGTATGATTTGGATCGTACGATACGAGTACGAACTAAAAAAATCTGAAATTCATATTTTCACTACTATGTGTATGTTTGCACGGTCTTTAAGATAGCATATACCTTTACAAAACATTTGACTCAACAAATAAAAAAATAAAATAAATAAAAATTACAGACTCTTGCAAACATCACCCTATTCTACCTAGTTTTGGTTCGATCCTTTAGGCCATTCTTGAATATTTTTTATCTTCTATGAGTCAACTGAAATGCCCTTAGTAGATATGCCAATCTTAAGCAAGACCAATGAAGAAGTTAGTAATATACTCTTATTTTAATTCAGAAAGGGTTTACTGTGACTTAAACATTGGTAACCTTTCTAAGGCGATTGAAAAATACCCCTTAGTCCTGGTGATGCTAGCAGCACTTATGTATTAAGCCTTCTTCTTTTATCCTTCTTCACATAAATTAAATTCGTCCTGTGCTCAACTTCTCTTAAAAAAGACAACATTTATATTTGGAATTTAATCTTAAATTTATTTCTAATCTATTTTTGGAAATTATTTCAGTTGATTTTTTTCCACTGTGGTCTCCTTTCAATTATTTCCATTTGTAACTACTTCTCAAAAGTTATTTATGTGGTGCAGTTTGTGCACTTATTCTTACATATGCTATGGGACAACGATACGTTCAGACCTCCAAGATAATGCCGGCTGGCTTAGTTGCTGCCCTCAGGTTAGTTCCTGTTAATATATCTTTTGTTCTTAAATATTGGTATGCAAATGTTTATTCTCCAATCATTTGACATCCTTTTAATTTTCAATATTCCATTGAAAAGATTTATTAACCAAACAATTGTATTACACCCTACCACTTTTCAAATCTCAATTGAAAAAATATTGTATATTTTTTTTCTTCTTTAGAGTTAACCCTATTTAATTTTTTTGGATGAATATATAATATACCTCATTATTTTGTTCATTATGCTATTTTAAAATAATTTCTTTGTTAAACTCTTATTTAATAATATATCGATGTAAAATTTTTCTTTGATGTCTTCATCTTCAATCTATATTTAACTATTTTCATTTCTAGGCATTCAATCAAAGCGTCTAGATCTGTTATCTATTGTATTATCTGTTCTATTTATCTTATTTTCTCTTTCATTAGGGCTGAAACTTTTCTATAAATTAACAAAATTTATAGCTTTACTCTGCTTCTACAATTCCTCTTCATCACACCTAATCCTCCATATCATTAAAAGGGCAAAGTGGATAACCAAGTCAATGCTCAAATTCCAAAACCTGCTCCTCTCCTAAAGCCTTGAAGAGCATAAACAACTACACAAAAAATTCAAGTACGTGCATTGGCAGAACTCGAGAACTATGATCACTTGGGTAAGCATGTCAAGAAAATCATGCTCTTTGCAATCCTTCTGAACTAAAACATCATTATCTTCACCCTTTTACCTGATGAAATGGCGTCGAATATCAATATGCTTGTTTCCCTCATTGTACATATGTTCTTTTGTTGCAGTAAATAACACTCCAATTACTAAAAAACCTCTAGATTGGTCGGGTACAAGACCAAATCTCCAGCCAATACTCTCGGTCAAATAGTCTCTTTAATAACAGTAAGAAGCGCATATACTTTACCACTATAGTGGATCAAGGCTGAAAATAAGCCTTCCAATTGATGATACATAAAGAGATTACAGATAGAATTAGAAAGTCCCACAAACTTCAATCATCTTTGCCCCTACTATACATCAAACAATAACCTGTAATGTCTCTGAGACTCCTCAAAATCATAACATGCATATTACTGTCAACTGCACTAGCATAAGATACCCTAATCATATGCTTCTCATCCTCTGACGACTAAGGATAAAAAACTACTAATAAATAGAAATTACTTGCTAATGAAGAAGAAATAAGCTTTACAGTGTTAAAAACTAAATCTTTTAAAAACCTTCTCAATCAACCTTTATTGTTTTAGAATTAAATTGATTGTATTTTTATTTCTAAGTATCTCCATCCCTCAAATGTACTTTGTATTACTATGATCTTTCATCTCAAATGTTGTTCTCAAATCATTTTTCAATTTATATACTTGTGTCATGCTTCTTGTTAAGTAAATGTATTATCAACATACAATAGCAGGTACACAAAAGATATATCTATAAGCTTGTGGTACATACAACTGTCAAACATGCTTCTCTTAAACCCCTAGCTGATCCTGTTTTGTGCGATCTCCATGGAGACTTCTTTTGGCCATATAGAGACTTTTTGATGACACCCATAGTATTCTTTTCCTACAACTTCCAATCATGATGGTTTTTGCATATGAATTGTCTCATCCAAATCACCCTGGTGTAAAATTTTCTTCAAATCCAACCATTTTAACTGGAGGTCATGTAATTCAGCCACTGCTAATAAAGTATGAATCACACTATTCTTAACAATAGGTGAGAACACTAGTCCACACCTTCCTTCTAACTATAGTATTCCTTTTAGATTGGGCGAGTCCCCGTGGTTTTTCAATCTTGTGTTCTCTGTGTGTGAGCTGGATATCCGTGCAAACGCTAAGACGTAGGATTTTAACTGTATCGCCACGTATATTCTAGCCCGCATCAATTACTATATCAGGAAAGTATGTCATCACAATACATTAAGAAACATGTTATATGTGTATATTACTATATCTGTTAATTCGTGTCACTGTCACGATGATTTTAAGCAAATTCCTCGTATAACTCTTCAGACATAATATGATTTTGTGAAACAATTTTCTGTTTTACTCGATAGCACAACATGACAGAAAAAAATTCATAACAACACAAGAAAACAGTGCCAAGAGGGCCTATACTAGAATGGTTAGAGGTTTTTTAACCTATTGGATGTGGCAGAATTCTTCTTTATTGTTAATTACTCAATTAATATTTAGAATTTGTGCTTATTTGTATCAGATTTAGACTTTGTTTGGGACAGCTTTTTCATTGCTTTTTTAAAATAAATTTTTAGTATAAAAATTTTTAATTCAAGAAAAATTTTAACCAAAAAGCTGTTTTGAAAATCATTAAAAAAATTGTTCCAATTGAAGCCTTAATCAGAATTACTCCTTAAGCTTTGAATTCAGTGAACTGACTCATGATCACTGTATATGGAAGCCATCTTTATTAACACACTAATTTGATTTGTTTTAGTAATCCATCATTTTGTTTATAAATGATAAAAAGATGCATTCAATGCTCTTCAAAACTGCATACTGTTAACGTTTCACTAAACCTGGGTTAGATGTAGAACTTAAAAGAGTTTTCATGGATTTTTAATATATTTATGGCTTCGTTTGGGACGGCTTTCGTACTGCTGCTTGAAGCAGTTTTTTTTTTATATACTAAAAAGCTGCTTTAAGAAGCAGTAAGAAAACCGTCCCAAACGAAGCTTATATATGAAGCATTAACAAAATAATATTATACATATCTTTTTAAATCAGTTGTTTCCCTAACTATCTTCCTTTGGTGCTGTAACTTGTTGGTACCTGCAGTGCTCTTATGTCTGTGTTCTACATCTACAAAATTTCCACCGGTGGTAATCATATCCCAACCAAGACTGAGTAAGACCTAGCAAGCTGTAACATGTTCCAGTCCTGCATTATTATTTTTAAATATTTTTTTTTTCCTTCAAGAGATTAATATATGTTTTCCACTGATGATGAACTTACGAGAGTCACCCTTAGCTCCAGGGATGATATGCTTGATAACTGAACATATAATAGGGAAATAAGATGTCAATGCCAGCCTTTTTGTCTACTGGTTCTTCTTTTATTAATTTATTCTATATCTCAAAAAAAAAAAAAAAAAAAAAAAAAAAAAAAAGAGTTAGAGATATATTTTTTTTTTTTTATCTGAATTATTACAGAAATTTTAAATTATTATTTTCCATTGAGTTATGTGATTTATAATATAGAAAGTATGATAACTTTTATATTTGCATTTAAATTTAACAAATTTGAGATTCATCTTACCAAAATTTGATCATTTATAAATTTTTTTCACTATATGAATTGGCATTTAGGGTCTGTTTGGGACGGTTGTAATGTTTTATGAAGTTGGTTATGAAATTGCTATGTAGGAATTAATTTCGCTATTATGATTGTAGAAAACAGCTTTTCATAATAGAAATTTAAAAAAAAATTGCAGCCAAATAAAATTGTGATTGCTATGTGAAAATAAAGCTGCTTGAAAGTTGTCCAAAACAGATCCTTAGATAATGCGGGAGAAATTATCATGTGCGGACACCGAATCATCTGGAGGCGAATCAGAACGCGTCGCATCACCCGACACACAACAAAAAAGTGATGTGGTGTGTTTGGAACTATTTTTTTTGCTGCTTTTAAAAGTTGCTTTCTAGTAAAAAAAATTAATTCTAAAAGTTTTTTGTAATAAAAATTTACTTTAAAAAGCAGCTAAAAAGTCAACCCAAATGAAGCTTCAATTAGGAACGTTGATTTTGCTCTAGATTGGTGATTGAAATTTAGTTTATAATGGAGGGTATGACAAGGATGAGTAATCAACTCAATTAAAATTTGATAACTATGCCATCTAGACATGCATATTTGTATTTTATAGAGAAAGCTCGGGAGGTTTTATTTGGAACAATTTTCTTACTACTTCGTAAAGCACTTTTTAGTACGAAATTTTTAATTACTTTATACATTTGCAAAGTAGTTGCATAAATTTATGTGTTATGCTCTTTGTTGCAAGCCTAAATAGAGCATTAAGCTTATTTCAAGAAAGGGATTTAGTTCTTTATATATAATAAGGTAACCCAAGAACTTAGTTGTATTAATTTATGTATAAAAGAAATGTTTAAGTGAGTTTTATGATTTAGGACTTGCATGTTGAGAATATCCAATGGCAAAACTTACACCCTTAATATAATGATGGCTACTAATTGGACTTCAAATCTCCAATGAAAGGTTAGAGAAAGACTCGTAAATTGATATTATTGGATTCGGGGCACTGATCTTACATTTCGATGAAAAAGGCCTATTTATGAGATGTCGGTGTAGCAAAAACCAAAATTGAGGCTTCTTATCACTTGGGCTTTCTTTGGGATGGCTTTGTTATTGCTTCTTAAAGTAGCTTTCTAGTATAAAAACTATAAATTTTGTACTAAAAAAATGCTTTAAAAAGCAGTAAGATAGCTGTACCAAATGAAGTCTTAATGTGGTAAAGATACCTTAATAGTAAGGGTTTATGCTCTTATTTAACGAATGCTTCAATGTATTGAACTTAGTTTTTATTATCTTAGTTTATAATTAAGGGTTCTAATTTACTTGTAGAGGGCGTCTTTTGTGTACGAGTTGATAAATCTAATATCCTATGACTATTGTGTCTCATCCTTTACATATCGTTTGTTTAAGAGCGTTGGCATTATTGTAGCTCTCAATTATGAAAGATTCTTCGATGATGATGGATTTATGCAAGAAAATCAATAAACCCAATGGAGTCTTGGTCATCTATAAAGAACCCTTACGATCATAAGAAAGCCTTGATGGTGAAGGACAAGTTACACAGCTCACCTTGGCCTGTTGGTTGAGAGCTTATGCTTCAACTAAGAGGTCTTGGGTTCGAGTCTTTGTGTATGCGTGGTGTGTGTGAGTTTGCTTTAATTGGCCTAAATGTCCAAAAAAAAAGGACAAGTTAACAATCAGATGTTCTAGCATTCTATCTTACTTAAATATCATGACAACTTCTAGTGCTTATCGATATTTCAATAGAGCTTCACACAATCCTTGACCTGGGTTCCATTGACGGAGATCCACAATCAACATAGACTTAAAGTCGGGCGATCATCCTCAAGCGTAGTCGCCTATGGAGGCGTTGGAGCTACATGTAAACAACTCCTTTAGCTCGAAGGTTGAAGGGGGAAACTTTCACTATTCTATGGGATGGTGAGGTTCCTAACCATTAAGGCCCCATTCATTGGAGGGATAGCTTGAAGGCCATCTCCATCTCTTCCCTAGATTCATGAAATATGATCACTTGGCCCATAAAAAAAAAAAACCCTAACCCCCCTACAAACAATATCCATTTACTTGCAACAATATCAATTAATGAGTTAGCTGAACCTATACTAATTGGCATTAAATCTGAATAGCTTAATCTAATCGCTCATTAGGATAATAAGATCACTAGCCCTTATTTGGATCATAGGACTCAACCTAAATTGACTAACCAAACCTCTACTAAGCTACTTAAAAACCAAATTGAACCATAGAGATTACAACCACTAAATCCCAACTACTCTGATCAGTTGGTCAAACTTAAAAGTCCTCATATTTCATTCAATACAGTTCAACTGCCTAATTGAGACAAATTGGCCTAATTAATAACTTTAAATATCCAAGGGCCCACATTTGTGAGAAATTATTACACGCAGAATCCAGACGCTCCGGACTCCAATCACGTGTATTTTTTCCTCTTTCTTATACATGGTATGTGTATAAGAGACAGAAAATCCACATATATTCTCCTCATTAGACTTTGGATGAAATTTACGTCCGTAATCTGCACGTAATAATCTCTATTGTTTTGTAGTTTAAGAACATTGTTAAAAAATATTTAATTTAGGCTTTGTTTGGAATATATTTCTTACTGCTTTTTAAAACAGTTTTTAGTATAAAATTTTTTTAGTCAGAATTATTGTAATAAAAAATTACTTTAAAAGCAGTAAAAAAATTGTGGCGGACAAAACATTAATGTATACCCAATTGTGGCAGCTGGCAAGTAAAACTGCTTAAATATCCAAGGGCCCTACATCTGAAGAGATTATTGAGTTCGGATACCTAACGCAGCTTACGTTTGGTATTCACAGTACTGAGCAGTAATGAGCTTGATACTGCTCGGTACCGAACTCAACATCGAGTAGGAGGTGATGCGACACATTTTCATTGGGCTCCAAACACGTCCGGTAACCGGACCTAATAATTTGCCCTACAATATGTTTAGTAGTTCAAGAAAAGTACTCAAAGACATTTAATTTGATAAAAGCTTAAGGGTGGCAAGTAAAACTCAAATTCTTTTCATTATAATATTGTTAATGTTTTTAATAACACTGGAAATTTGATCCTGCCTCTTATTGCTCTAATTAATTATTAATTAATCATGAAATAATATTAAAATTAGATAATAAAAAATTAGTTAACAAAAAAGCAAATAATTAAGTACTAATTATATGCCTAATAAAGTATTATCAGAAAGGTAGCTAAATATTATCAGCAGAATTATGTTTGATTAACTCTTAATTTGTATGTTATCGCTTTATAGGATGTAAAAATGGGCTACAAAATATGTTCAAAAATAAAAAGGGAAATATTTTATGCTCATGAAATAAAAAAAGGGCAATACATTTATACTCATAAAATTCATATATTTCTGGTGTAAACAATTTCCAAAGTTAATATATATATAATGCAAGCAATTTAGAAATATTCTATATAATTGGGTGCTAAAATATCCGTGAGATAGAGAGATAAATAGTTTAATGTCTTAGTTTTGTACAAATATTAAATATACTCATAGATAAGAGCGACTTGCAAGAATTGTAAGAGACATTAGAGCTATGTTCCAACAGCCGCAGTTGGTCGATGTTCTAATGTTGGCAATCGGGTAGTTCTTAACGACGACGGTCAGGGGCGGATCCAGCTTTTTTTTTAGGGTGAGCAAAAAAAATTTTTTGGGTGGGGGATGGGCAAAGATGCTTAGGATTGATAAAATAAGGGCAAAAAATTTTTTTGAGAGGGGGAAAAATACCTAAAATATCCAAAATATTCCAAACCATTTCCTTTAAAAAATTTTAAAAAATTTTCGAGGGGGGACATTTGCCCCCCCTCAAGTCAATGGGGATCCGCCCATGACGACGGTCATTCAGTGGTTTGGCAGCGGTGCTCGAGTGAAGATCCGATACTCTTAAAGCCTCTAGGATCCTTTAAATATCGAGTCAAAATCCAATCTCCAACTCATCTCTCACCTAGGAAGTGAGAATCTATTTATAAATTTTTGAGATTAATATGCCCATAAATATAGCCAAAATTTAAAATACTCTATCAGATGGCTCGTATTGATTCCCTTGATTATATATTGTCCATTCAATATTTAGCTGTCTTAATGATGTGAGAATTAAACAATCTTAAACTAATTGGTTTTATTTGATCGAGATGTTTGATTTGACTATAAATATTTGAGATTTTAAGATCGTTGTCTTCCAATCAAAGTTTCAAAGTTTCTAATTATGCTTCAACAGTTTGATTTGAGCTCATTTGGATTTCATGTATATCACTTTTGTTGTCAGCGAGTTCATCTTATTGAGACATTCTATTCGTCTGCAAGTTTGTAAAAATCAAAATTTATATATCATAAATTCAATTTTGTAAGAGTTTTCAATTCAACCTGATCAGTACGATGTTAGATGACACATCATTGCTATAGTATTCACTTTATAACTTAAAAATTATTGATGTATTTATAAGAAGTACCATATAAATTTATATGATTATATTTCAAAAAGATTTATCTCTACCTTTATTTCTATATTCCCGTAATGATATCATAATAATTTTTATAGGTTATAAATTGCTAGCATAATAATTTTTAATTTAAAAATTAATTTATATAATTTTTTTTCATGATACAATTTAGAAAAATATCAAATTGAATAAATAAAAATATAATTTGTGTGAATGAGAGGCTTAAAGGATTGGTCTCTTTATCATGAACTCTAATTTAATCACATTAAAAAATAATAATTAATAAATGAGGATTTGTATGCATATCATTTTATATCATGTTATTTACATATCTAACATCCTATATATTCCTTAATAAAATTATACGTTGTCACTCTAAAAAAATTGATGATTTGAGGACCGTTGATTCACAAATCGAGGGCAGAAATTCAAACACGTTAATTAATAATATCTAAAAAATTATAATTAAACTAGATCAACTAAAAAAAAGATGCTCACAGTCACAGCTTTACTGCTTCTGTCCACTTTTCCTCCGTCTCCCACTTCTCCCATGGCTACTCGCTTTCTTCTCCTCCTCCTCTTCCTCCTACTCTCTCTCCTCTTCTTCCACCTCTATTCCAACGATTGGGACGGACCATGGAAACTCCCATTTCGAACCTTGGATATCCTCCCGCTGCTCCCTTTCTCGGCCTTAAGACCCATCCTCAGCTCAGTCTACAGCGCTGTCGATCTCCTGCCGACCTTCGTCGGCACTGTATCATCTCCGGAAAACAGCCTCCAATGGAAGGGCGCCTGTTTCTATAACAATAGCGCGTGGATGGAGTTTCACAATAAGAGCAAGTCGCCCTACGGGGGAGGTACCCTCCATCTAAAGGTTAGTTCCTGATTAGGTTTTGTATGAATTGGTTGAATCAGGACTTGATTTTTGTGGATATTTCTTTGTGATAGAAATGATTTCAGTACGCGTTGCAGGAAATTTGCATCGCCGCAACGGTTTCAACTTTTTTTCGCGAAATTTTCTTGAAATTTTGGTTTTCCTGAAATTTCGTTTGATTCTTGTGAGTGCCGACTGTGAGAAGCTTGTGGATGTTGCCCGTGAGTAGTTTGATGAATATAAATTACGTGTTTGGTTTCAACTTTTAATGTAATTGTCTTCTTAGGTGATGATGGGGAGTAGCTTTGTCATTATTTAGATTAACTTTTATGTTAGGTTACTGTCCTATTAATTTTCCTTGTATCTAGTCGTTAGAATGATCTTCCTTAGGCCAGGTTTAGAAAGCAGCATCCTTCCTAGTTTTTGCTTCGTTTGGGGAAAAATCATTATGTGTGGAGTCCATGCAGCATTCGGAGACCAAACAGAGCATGCCACATAATTTTTTGCTATATATTGGTGCTTTGTACCGCTATGTATCGTGTGACGTGACACATTTTGCTTGATCTCCGGATCGTCTGATATCTGCACATAATAATTTCTCTGGTTTGAAACAGCTTCTGCTTTCTAAAAAACAGTATTAAGTAGGCGGGGGAGCCGGGGAGATCCTATCGGGAACAATTTACAAGGTTCATGTTGCCTCCATGGGTGGATATTTCTCGAGAATATTTCTAGAGAAATTATTCCGTGTGAAGTTCGAACAGGAAGAACCGTTCGAACTGTGAGTGTACATATCATATACACAATCAGGAGGGTTCTTTCTCTAGATTCCACATGAAATAATTTCTCATTTTATGAAATCTTGCATAGCGGGTGATTTAGATGTCGCCTACTTTTTGGGGGCGATTTAAAAATAAAATCAATTGGCCAAGTCAGTGATCATCACAGGAAGATTTATTTTAAACGTGCAATTTGTTTCACTATTAGGAAAGTTAACTTTTTTTCTTTTTTTTTTTAAATCAAAAGAGTTGAATCATAACTGATCATTTTATTGAGCCTTTGTTAATAATGGATCCGACTTTTTTTGGGTCTGCTTTTTTTTTATTTTCTACAGTAATTTATTTCTTTAGTACAAAATTTTTTATAATCAACAAAAAATTTATCATCAAAAGTTGTTTCAAAAGAAGTCTAAGGTTTCGTTTGAGACAACTTTTTTACCGCTTCTTAAAATAATTTTTTAGTAAAAAAATAAAAAATTTTGTACTAAGAAGCTGCTTTAAGAAGCAGTAAGAAAGTCGTCTCAAACAAAGCCTAAGTTATTGTTAAATTCATGCTTAAACATAAGTTAATGATTTTCAACTTTATATACAAACTTATCCTATTGAGTTGTCTACCTTAGAGTAGTTATGCATATTAAATTGATCTATTTGGATAGTAATGATTCAATTGGTTAGTCTCACCATTGTCATCAAATGCCATATAAGTAAATTGCAATGTTTTAAAACAAGTTTTTGGGGCTTCCATAGGGGGTGTGGGGCATGGTAAAATTGCCATGTGATGGAGGAAAAGTTATTACGTCCGGACAAAAAATTGGAAATTCGGACAAATACAGAGTACTCGGTACCGAGCACCCAAGTGACGTGACGCTTTGTTATTGGTCTCTAAACGCGTTCGGTGTCCCGACACAATAATTACTCATGATGGAGGGCTACAACTCCATGATCTAACTTTAAATTAAATTAAATCAAATAACAAAAATAAAAAATTTTAAATTAAAATGATTGTCTTGACTGCTAGAGCTTCATAAGCAAGCTCGAGATTAATTCATACTTAAGCTTATTTTAAATCTAGATAAAAAATAATTAATTAGGCTAATATGAATACCGATGCGTTAATGTTAAATGAGTCAGGGCAAGCTCAAACTCGAGCTCAAATTTAAGCAAGTACTCGAATGTTTGGCTTGAAAAGCTCGACTCACAAGCTCATTAGCAAATCAAGTTCAAGCTAATTCAGGAGCCGACTTGACTCACTTACACCTATATTTAACTTAATGACAATTTTAACTTAAATACTGTAAAACAATCAAAATGATAACCTTAAATTCTGGATATGATTAAAATGTCTTTTCTCCATTATTTTACTTAATCTTGGATTTAGTAAATGAGGATTTTACGAGCTATTTAGTTGATTGAAACAGTAATGCAGTGTAAAAGAAATATGATGTAAAAATAATGCAATGTATTTGAAATGTTTTAAAATTGTTTGCATGAGTGTAAAATAAACACATATTTTTATTTTTACTTGAAATAAAATAAATACAATATAAAATATGATTGGTGGTGATCAACAACGGTGATGGTTGACGCTGGCGGTAGTGATAATAAAATTCTATTGTATTTGAAAATCACCTAAATTAAAAGAATTCCATATATATATAAATAATTTCAAATTCACACTCTACACCAAGGGGACTCAAGTGAAGAGAGAGAAGGGAAGAGAGAGAAGAAGAAGAGGAGAAAGGGGAAAAGGAGATTCCTCACCTCCTCGACCACTGCCGGAATTTTTCCTGCAGCCTGAAGACGCCGGAACTCTGTCGGATTTTCAGGAAATGCCAGGAATTCACAGAATTTTGTAAATTTTGTGGAAGGAACGAATTGTACTTGGATTATCCCAACTTGTGGGACGAAATCCGCCATTTGTAATTTACGAAAACACTAGTGGAATTTTGCAACTGGGCGAGGCCCTGTGGTTTTTTCCCTTTTTGGATTTTCCACGTAAAAACTCCTGGTGTTAACATTTTCTTTTCTGTTTGTGTGCGTAATACTCGTACAACGCTAGGACGCGAATTTACAAACTCTACCGACGCGTATATTCTCGCACGCAACAAATATAAAATATGATTGGTGGTGATCAACAACGGTGATGGTTGACGCTGGCGGTAGGGGTAATAAAATTATGTTGTATTTGGAAACCCCCTAAATTAAAAGAATTCCAAATATATATATAATTTCAAATTCATTAAAAATTTACACTATGTTTAATTTATTTCAAACATAAATTAAACATTTATACCATTTCTTCTTTGAAACCAAGCAACCCCCTTAAGAGGATTGAACCTAAATTCGCAGGGCATGCGTTGTACCCGCCGATGCCTTCTTCCAAGCGAGTTACTGTGCAACTTGCTTCTTCTTCACACGCCAATGGATTCGTCGACGCCTACTTCAGCAAGCGACCATCAAAACCTGTTCGCTACGATGCCGTTGAGGGTGTCAAGTGCGCTCACAAAATCCTCTTCCGTCATCTCCGCTGGCCTCGTAGAGGCCTTCTGTACTAGCTCACTCCCTGACTTCCTCGTTTCTGTATCATCGAGGGTTTCGAAACTTGGGTAGGGAGGAAAGTGTGTGAGTGAGGGGATAATCGAGAGTCTTCCGGTGTGGCGGAAGATGGAGGGAAGGGAGTGGTGCGGGATGGCGGGGATACGGCGCGTATGGCGCGTGTATGAGTGGCGTTGCATCGGCAGAGATAGATTTTATTTATTTATTTATTTTTTTTAAATTTGCCCTAGATGCTATCCTCGCATTCAATGAAGACGCCAATGTGGTAGCCTCTTCGCCAAGAACAAATTATTTATTATTAATATCTTGTTTATACAAATGATTATGTTCGCAAGTAGAAAAAATTGTCTGCGCACACATTTATGTATATGCATTTGATATACTCTAATTGTATCTAGTTGTAACCTACTCTTTTCCACTTTTTTTGGCTCTGTCCAGGTTAGTAATGCCCACAGTTGGACTTGTTTGGATCTTTATGCCTTTGCAACTCCATTCCACCTTACATGGGATTACTATTTCTTGTCTCGAGAGCATACAATTGAATTTCATGAATGGGAAGGAGAAGCTGAATATGAATATGTAAGTTTCCAAACAACTATTCCTTTATTATTGTATGGTGTATTGCTAATGTTATATGAAATCAGGTGAAGCATCATGGAGTATCAATCTTCCTCATGAAATCAGGGATGCTAGGAACTCTCCGCGCTCTGTGGGATGTTTTTCCCTTGTTTACAAATACTGGATGGGGTGAGAACTCAAATGTTAATTTTTTGAAGAAACACATGGGAGCAAAGTTTGAGGAACGCCCAGAACCATGGTTTTCTAGCATCAATGTTGATGACATCCATTCAGGAGATTTCTTAGTTTTATCTAAAATTCGTGGAAGATGGGGTGGTTTTGAGACCCTGGAAAAGTGGGTAACTGGTGCATACGGTGGTCATTCTGCTGTTTGCCTAAAGGATTCTGAAGGAAAGTTATGGGTTGCAGAGTCTGGGCATGCAAATGACAAGGTTAGACATAACCAATGCTGGCCGCCAACTTTGTATTTCTTATGTTTCAGCTTGCAAAGAATTTTCCGAGCCCGATTTTGCTTCTAACTCTTCTAATAATGTTCTTCTTTCAATATCATCATAATCTTGATCAGTTATTCACCCATTATAATGTATTCTAATAGGACAGGACTGAATAACCCATTTGTTTACTTTAGTTGGAACTTGGAAAAATGCAACTGTCAAATTCTGGAAAGAGTTACTCAAGTGTTCATGTCTGCCGTGTTAGTCTAAGCTCAATGGAAAAGCAGCATAATCTTTATGAAGAGACCTAAAAGTTAAACTTCTATTTGTCCACAAATTGAGGTTTCATCTTGTTCTAGTTAACTTTGAAGGAAAGGTCCTTGGCTTGCATCATCATTGCTCCTTTTTTAATTTTATTGAAAAATATAGTTTTATTCTAATTATTATATTACCTGCAATATGCATCCAATTATTTATTTCTTATTGTTTTGTTTCTTTACGGTATGTAGGATATACCAAGGTCTACGATTTCTGAAATATAAACTAATGCAATGAGAAGAAAATTATTAAAAAAAAAAAAAAACAATGCAACCATTATAATGCTGATGCAGCACGCAATATTATGCTAAATAAAATATTCAAATATTTGCAAGAAAAACTGTTATTTGTCACAATCAATAATCCACTGCTATTGATGAGAAAAAGAAATATAGTTTGATGTAAAATAAGTATTAAATTTCTCACGATATATTTTCAAGTCACAAGATATGATATCATAATTCCCTATAATGTTTAAGAATCCATGCTACATTGACATTCAAATATGTAGAAGATATGAATAATTTCAACTACAAAGCACAACCGAGAAGTAATAATAGAGAAGAGGTTAAAGATAGGAAAAGAGTTTAGAATCAAATGGCTAGGCCAGCATAATTCTATTTATTCTTCCTCAAGCACCACACTTGGAAACAAGTAGAATTTACAACAAAGAAGAAAACTTTAATATGCAATGGCCATTTCTTCTTGTTTACAATGTCATAATCCTTTTTGTAACAAGCATAAACAAACATCCAAAAAATCTTAGTCAACTCTTTTTTTTTAGTGCTTGAAAATTGCTTAGATCATAATATACAATTTGCCAAAAAATACTTTAGGTAGATGCATCGAAGATACGCTGTCTAATGTATTTAATGTAAGAAAGAATTTCCTTAGGATAAAATGAAAAATTAAACCAAAGAAGAGAATCAAGAAAATAACATGAGTTTGTTATATTGAAGATAGGTTATGGCTAATTTATTTTGTGAATTTGGATATAGTGCAAGGGTTAAACGAAAGGGAGCAAATCTTGTGTGGTCTGGTAGCAATATAAGATAAGAAGCTATTGGACTGACTATCTGAAGTTAAATCTAAAGAAAGTTAACAAGTCTTTTCAAAAAAGTGATTATGTATAGCCACCATAATTTGATATTAGTTTTTATCTTGAACGTATCTTTGCCTTTACTTTTCTGTTAGGGGTTTGACGAAGTGGCACTTGATTGATTTTTTCAGAACTTTTCACCTGATGCAATTTATTATTATGAACTGACGTTTACAATTTGTTTAAAGGGAGAAGATATCATTGCTATATTGCCATGGGAGGAGTGGTGGAGCTTCGAATTGAACAAAGATGACTCAGATCCTCACATTGCATTGCTTCCTTTGCATCCAAATCTTCGAGCCAAATTCAACAATAGTGCAGCTTGGGAGTATGCTAGAAGCCTGGATGGAAAGCCATATGGGTACCATAATATGATCTTTAGCTGGATAGATACTACAAGTGGGAACTACCCACCACCATTGGATGCACAGTTGGTATAGTAATTACTTGTGCATCTTAGTCTCTGTTTTTGGCTTTTCGACCAATTTCGTACATACATAAGGATGAAGATGGTCGCTGAGAGATTTATAAGTTGGCAGAAAAAATGTGACTAGAGTATATTGCTGCTCTTAGACATCACTGCATTTTGATACTGCTTTAACTATTCTATTCTGTCAAACTTATTTTATTATATACTACTATTTTCTGCCATGTTTGCGCAACTTGATGTTGGTATCCTCTTATCACGTTGATAGTTTCATAATTTTAAATGAATGGTGAAGGAAGAATTATCAAATCTCATAACAGAATTAGATTTTTGATGCATGTGCATTGTGGGGACAACCCTTGTGGGTATCTATAGCATGCACTGACAGTTGCCTTTACGTTATCTTGATTTCTTTTTTTTTCATGGAGTTCCGTGTATTTCTTTATAAAATATTGGGCTTAAAGAATTGTTAAGATTGGGATGTCCAAGTTGAAGATTGATATAAACTTGCATTGTTAACATGCTGAGAGTCATCTGTTAACCAAGATATTTTGGTCTGCCATTTGGTTACCCGGTATGAAGTGCTAGAAGCTTATGTGCTACTCTTAAGCAGTAATAGTGCAGTTTTCTTGACTTTATTTGGTGAAGAAAACTGAGCAAAGGTCAAAGTTGATTTTAAGTTATTATTTATTGTAGGTTGCTTCTGGTATGATTTTGTGGAGCAAAGTTATGCCAGACTATGCTGCTAATTTGTGGAATGAAGCCCTGAACAAAAGACTTGGCACTGAGGTTTGATTCTCTGTTTATTTGTTGTTATCGTGTTCCATAGAATACGTGGCTGTTTGACATTTTCATAATGATATGCATGTGTTTTTATAATGAAATTCTTTTGCCTCTATCATTACAAATGCTCTACCTTTTTCCTGCAAGCTCTAGATGGATGCATGAAAAATCAAGCTCTAGGGTTTTCTCATACAAAGTTAATAAATGCATTGTGGATGTAAAAAATGAATATTCATTAAAGACAAACAGTTACCTTCCGTTGATAAGAATAATGGAAAATTAAATTAATTGAAGTTGGCATGAATTGTTGTTAGATATCTTACAAAGTCAGTAGAATAGAAGTTAATCCACAAACTGGAGATCATAATATAGAGTTGTAGAAACTAAGGACTTGGTTGATTCGGCTTTCCCCTCTTTTTCTTTATGCAAAGCTTCTTTCCAACAGTCGGATGGTGCTTGAATGAAAACTTTCTACCCACACTTTATGGAAATAAACAAACCCAAAATTATGGTGAGAACGGAGAACCTATTAATTATGGCATGTGAGAGTATTGGGTTTAAGCTCCACATCAGATATTAGAAAAATGTGTTAACATAGAAATTTCAAGTGATTGACCTCCACAGAGAGGCTTAAGTTTTTTCATTTAAGTTTTTAGAATGAAAATGAGTTTGACCATTAGTGTATTAGATACAAATTTGTTAATAGAGTATTGGGTTTAGCCCTATATTAGATAGCTAAAAAAGATTTTGGTGTAGAAATATTAAGTTCTTTATCACATACATAGGCTTAAGAACTTGGATTGAAAATCATACACAACATGTTTTCTGGCTTGAAACATATTCTAGAAAATGTGAAATAAGGTTAAAGTCTATTTTGCACTAACTACACCACCCTGGAGCTCTATTAAAGCATTAAGCCGCTATTCTTCCATGCAGAGACAATCATTCATTATAGTACTTGAAATTTTGTAAGAAAAATATTTTAATAAAAAATATTTATTTATTATCAAAATTTGAAATTTTATATACATAAAATTGAAATTAATATATTATGTATTTAAAAATATTTCTCATCACATGTTCTTATATCAACTTTTTTATGCTCAATGACAAATCTCAATATTTGTAAATCTTTTTTAACCAAATTTACAATAATTATATTTCTCTTTTAGTAAATTTTCATCCATTAAAATCTTAAAGAAGAAATAATGAATGAGGCCATTCTTTCCTTTTGGGTTGATAAAGGAGCTCTAAAATAGGTTCTGCCAAACAAAAAATGTCATTTCGCTTTTATATAGTATATATGCATCACAGGTGCAATCGAGCAACTCCAGCTACTTTACTCTCAGTTGTATCTAAGTACTTTTCATTCATTGTACACTAATCACTTAGAATTTTGTAGAGATCAGTGCAGTTGACTCGATTGTTAGAGGTTTCTTACCAGAGACAATATCCCTGTGGCAGGCTAACCTTTTAGTGAGGGAATTTTTATTCGGTGCGGAGTCCGGAGCATCCGGAGACCAATAAAAATACGTCACATCATCTAAAAAATGTACCGCATTTGGTACCGAGCGCGTAACCGGACGGGAGAACTGTCCGGTGTCCACACAGGATAATAGCTCGCTTAGAGGGGCATGCTCTCCTAGCATTTATGCTTTTTATCTTGGCTGATTCTGAAGTTTCTATGGAGCTTCTCAGTATTGTAAATTGTTTTAGAAGGTCCTTAAGATGTTTGCTTCAACGCCCTTGCTTAATGATTATGGCCATTTTTTGCTTTCTTTCCTGTTCTTGGTTTTACTTCTACTAATTATGTATGTGTTAGAGAGAGATTAATCATGTTTAGTTTCTTTCTTGTAATAGGATCTTGATCTACCTGATATTATAGTAGAGACGGAGGAGAGGGGTTCTTCTTTCGCCAAGCTGCTCGCAATTCCCGAGCAAGATGATTGGATTTATTCTGATGGCAGTTCAACCTCTTGCGTGGCTTTTATACTTCAGATGTACAAGCATGCTGGCCTTTTTGATCCAATTTCCAGATCAATCCAAGTCACAGAGTTTACGGTGAGTGCTTAAGCTTACTGCATAAAATAGAATATATATATATATATATGATTCCTTCTTTCTTGCAGTTATAGGAAGATCCGATCGACTCAAATCCATACTCGTCAAGCCTTCCAACCCTCTTCACAATCCTTACCAAATACACGAAGTCAATCCTGCACTTGCGTTGAACTCCCTCAAGGTAGCTTCCTCCAAATTGACGATCACAACCACAATCAACTCTCAAACCAGGCGCACAAACCACTGCCTCTGACCCCAATGTGTCCCTCACTCTTCTGACCTTCAAGCGACCTCACCCTCTCCACCCAAGCCGAACCAGCCGGCGTCTCCCACGACCAATCTCCAACCTGCCGACTGTCCGTCAATTCCAATCGGCCACTTCTCTACTTCGATCGAATGCCCCTTTCCGATCTCTAGGTTCGATCCAATTGTTCTATTCTCACCTGACTCCTGCACTCGCATGTTGCTGTCAATCTCTTCTCTTGTTTCTGCCGAACTGCACCACAAACAAAACTATTCTCTACCATAGCTGAATCAAAGCACCCGATCTCCCCTTTCTCCTACCTACCAGCAAACTAAATACCCATTCAATAAACTACCTCTGGTCCACCTACAACTCCTCTCAAGCCACCTCAAAAGCCCTCTATTCCCTCTACTAAAGCTGACATCCTCTCCCATCACCTGCTTTACTTTCCTCTTCCCCAACAACTAAGCATCACTCCATCACAACGACAACGTTTTCTTTTTTGCTTTCCTTTATTTACTATTAACCATTTTTATTATTAGTATTATTAACTAATTTCATTAGTTAGCTTTATTATTGTCATTATTGTCAAAAAAAAAAAAAAGTGAAACAACAACTTTAAGTACTCGTATATATGCCGTCATGCATGTGGGGAAAAAACTGTGCATGTAAAATAGGTACTCCCCGAGGACTCAAATACGTCTTTCTCTAACGTGGTGGGATTGAAGATCATGGCCGTGGTGTAGCCTGACAACTACCATATAAGTTTTTCTCTTGCGTGGTGAGAATGCTTAACTCCCGAAATTTCCCCTAAACGGGGTATACGTCGGGAGGTTGCCAAAATTCAGACTGAAACACATAGTACTTAAACAAATAACAGGGGACCTGGATTTAAACAAAATGTAGGAACTTGATTTCAGCAAAATCCATAAGGAAGATAGCTTAAATTGAACTAGGAATTAGACTTTAATGAACACCTAAAATAAAAATATAACTTGCAAAAGAGCAAAAATCAAGCAAGAATAAGCAAACAAATGATTTGTAATTTTCAATAGAACTCCAAGCAATGAAATTAAGGGGGATGCATAATTTGCTTGCAAACAGATGTACAACATCTCTAAATAATATTGTAATTACATACAAATGATGATAGTTGAGGTGTAATGCTCACATCAGTCACAAAAATAATTACTCTAATCCCTGCAAGCGATAACAATAGATGTTTTGCAAGGATGACATGTCCTTTATGAATGTAGATATACACACAATGTATCATCTACATGTAGAGAAAACATATCTGCAATGCATACAAACGCCTACGATGCCATTGCAGGAAATCCGTCATCTATATGATACGTTATCTGCAAGTAAGTACAGGAAGAGCCACAATGAAAGCAAGCACAATAATAGTTGATATGCAAGGAATGTGATAATATATCTACCAGCATATACAAGCAACTTACGATGAATACAATAGCACTTTCATGAGCAAAGTATGAAAAGGATGCAACAGACAAATCAATCTCCCTACAATATTGACTTGTAAATAAGTGAATCATCCCATGTGAACATTGAAAATTAATATAGAATGAATGCAGCGACTCACTAGCCAATATGCCTGAAGAGGTTAGTGATGGATGTAGGTCATTGATAGTCAACAATAATAAGCAAATGAACGCACTAGCTTATATGGAAAGGATAATGCTAGATACGTTGAGGGTATGGCTGCTACCCTACAAACATATTAAAGGAGTCTGCAACAAAAGCAATGACATGCTCATGAATAAAACATGGAAGATATACAATGACTATAACAAGTTCCTTACAATCAACACCAATTTGCAAGCAAACATATCAAACCTCTGCAAGCCATGGTGATCAACATGCAATGATTGCAAAGATGTCCTCACAATCAACGTCAATCGAATATCTAACAAACACTAATCCCCTGTAAGAAAAAATGATTGATTTGCGACAAACACAAGCACCTATAAACTGCTGTAGAAGACCCGTCACACTAAATGTCATATACAAATCACTGTATGAGACCCATCAACGCAAAATAGCTCGTTTGCAAAAAGTAGCAAACAATTCATAGTGCCGCATTACGCCGTCGGATCCACAACATTTGTACAAGCCGACAGAAGACGTCCACAAGCTCCTAAATAGAACATCATGCATCTTTCAAATGATCATCATTTGCATAATTTATCATGTTTGAATATTGCAAAACCCACCCTCCCTTATTCATTGAAACATGCATTAATGCATTAGGAACATACACATTTCATAAATATTTTGGAATGCATGTAAAGTATACACATATTGCAACATACAAAATATCATGCAAATATATAATGCACTATAATTATGCATTAAGCCACTGCACTACATACCAACATATCATGCAAACATGATTAAGCAACATGCAAATGCAAAATACCAACAAACATGCATATATGTAAATACACAATTATATACACGAGTATGTTAACAGGCAAATATGTCATGTACATCTGTTGCACTGCATACATATAACTACTACATAAACACATTTTGCAAATGCATTCAAAATTATATAACCGTATGAGCTCGGATAAGCGTGATATATGCACATACGTGATGTCTGAGGATGCTACATAGATCAATAAATGAATTTAAATTCGAGTCCGATCCTTTTATGTGAATAGACAGGAGTCGAAATAGCTCGAACAATCAAACAAATGTACGGTCGTGGCGCTGACCAAGACATTTGTTTTATACGTTCATATTAGGCCTTCAAGATCTATTACAAGAAAGATTTACCAAATAAATTCCTAATGCTAATGAAGAACTTAATAAATTGTTGAGAAGTAGGCATAGTTGACAAGGTTTGACCAATAAAATGAGATTACCTAAAAACTCCAATAATGACCATGTTGACAGAAAATCTTAACCGGAGAGGGCCCCAAACATTCTAAATGCATCCAAATTCTCATAAAATACATTCAATTGACTTTAATGTATTCACAAACGACGCCAATATTTAAAATTAAAATAAAAAACCTAAAATACTTAAAATAAAAATTCATCCATTATTCGTAATAGTTTACCGAGGTGGACAAATATGAAAATTACTTCATCTCATAAAGAACAAATGTCTGGTTGAGAATATCACTAGGATTCATTTTCAAATCATCTCTTGCCAGTAAGGACGTGACACATGTCATTTAACTGGTAGTTTTGCCGCCAATTGACATTACAGGTAAACGATTATAATCGAGACTCTCTGACCGGGCTGTATTGCCACCAAATGGTACCATTAAATTATGATTATGGTCAGAGCCCGTATGTTCCCCAACGACGCTAAATCCCTGTAGGATATGATCGATAGGGCACAATGCCCTATGTTAGCTATGGTGGATTAAGATCTATCCCCTTTGGCAAATATGCACCTCAGGTCTACAAAATATCCTTGGACAAAGCAACCCATGACTACTGACAAAGATCATTCTGTCAGGTTGGCTCGACTACGTCCTCTAACTAAGTAGATTAAGGACCATGATGACCCGGGATGACAGAATCATGGGATCTTGATCAGGTTTATCATCATTCCCCACACCATACATTTTAAGTGCAATGTGATGAATTTCCAATTTTAAACATTAAATTTTCAAATACCTAAACATGTTGCTACTATATGCTAGATATTGTATTTGTTTGATGACTAGCCTTAATCGAAAGTTGTCTCTCGCAATAGGGAGGGGTAATTAACTCTAGGGGCTTGCGCCTATAGAAAATCTGAACTCAGATCATAAAGTCCTCACAAAATGAGGGCGAAATCTCTAGGTAATGTCTTATTCAAAACCCAATCTGCCTTATGAAAATTTCCTCGGAACCTAAACGTTAAAACTCTCCTCGACGATACGAAAATAAAGAAAGGGGCCCGCGGAGAGGCTGGGACGCGAATTTTTGGAGCCCACAAGCCAATCTCTCAAGAGTGAGATGACTACAACTGAAATGCTATTAAGAAGAGAACTTTGCTATAATTTGGCAGTAGAAGGTAGCTTATCTTATCCCATGCGGGAACTCCTTTAAGCTTATCCTTTTGAAGTTGAGAATTATAGGCAGCTATCTAAGTATAACAATTGATAAACATATCACCACTTGCGTAGTCCCCATTTGCTATTCTGATGCTTTGCGAGCTAGAGATTATGAGGATGAGAATGAAGGCAAGGGAGTGAGCCGGAGAGAGGCGAGTGATGCGGATATAACCTACGAAGAGTAAATACTGAAGGAAGACCTGCAAAGAGGAAGAAAACAGATAGAGAAGAAGAACATAAGAGGTGACCAAAGCTCAGTAGTATATTTCCATTGATTTCATTTGTACAGGAAACATTGCATATATAAGCTTGGTTGGAGACAGTTTGTTATGCTGCAGAGAGAAGGCTGCCATAGCAGCGGTGGACGACGACTCTCTGCTCTGATGGCAGACGATCGTGAGGAATGATTTCCTCCGGTTAGTTGTGTCGCTGGCACACGTTAAGGTATGCTAACATCCCCCCTCGAATTGATCATCCGAGCTGGTGATGGTCAATTTGGAGCGTAAGTTTGCGAAGCGATTGCCGGTGAGAGGTTTGGTGAGGATATCAGCCGGTTGATCAAAGGAGTTTATGTGAGTGATTGCAATGGCTTGACGCTGGATGTGATCACTGATGAAGTGATGATCAATTTCGATGTGCTTGGTCCGGGCGTGAAAGATCGGATTATTGGATAGAGCAATCGCCGAGACGTTATCACAGAAGATTGGTGTCGGTTTTGACTGTGGTGCTGAGAAGTCATTTAGCAAGCGTTTGAGCCAGATTACATCAGATGTAGCTGCTGCAAGTGCACGGTATTTCGCCTCCGTTGAGGATTTGGCTACCGTTGATTGTTTCTTAACACTCCAAGATATGAGAGTTGATCCAAGATATGAGCAGAACCCTGTGATGGATTTTCGATCTTCGGTATTCGAGGCCCAGTCAGCATCAGCGAATGTTGTGAGAATTAATGGACTGGGTGTGATCGGCAGGCCGTGAGTTTGAGTCCCCTTGATATAACGCAGGAGGCGTTTTAGTCGTTTGAAGTCCGACACAGTGGGACAGTGCATCTGCTGGCAGATTAGATTTGTAGCGAAGGCAATGTCTGGCCTCGTTACCGTGAGGTATTGTAGTGATCCAGCTAATTGTCGGTATTGAGTGATGTTGTCATATGGGGCTGTGTCGGATGAAATTTTGGGGCACTTTGCCGAAATTGGGGTGCTGACTGGTTTGGAATTGTCCAGGCCTGCTGAATGGATGAGTTCGCGAGCATAGTGCGACTGATGAAGGAACAGGCCATGAGCAGTTTGCTGAATCTGAATACCGAGAAAGAGATCGACGTTCTGCATCTTTTTCAGGCTGAAAGTTTGTTGAAGCTGATTGAGAAGTTGCTGCATTGTTGGAGGATGATTACCAGTGAGAAGGATGTCGTTTACGTATGCGAGGAAATAGATGCTGATTCCATTTTTGTTGTAAAGCAGCAAGGACGGATCGGCTTTGCTGAAGTGAAAGCCGAAGGAAATGAGGAAGGATGTTAGTTTGTGAAACCATTGTCTTGGGGCTTGTTTCAGCCCATAGATTGCTTTGACAAGCTTGCAAACATGGTTAGGTAGTTTAGGATCTATGAATCCTTGTGGTTGCAGTATGTAGACATCCTCATGAAGCTCACCGTGAAGAAAGGCATTATTGATGTCTAGTTGATGAATCGGCCAACCCCGCTGAGTGGAGATAGTGAGTAAGACACGAATAGTTGGCATTTTAGCCACTGGACTGAAGGTCTGCTCATAGTTTACACCGTGTTGTTGTTTGAACCCTTGAGCTACAAGTCTTGCTTTGTAGCGAGCAATGCTGCCATCCGGGTTGAGTTTGGTTCGGTAGGTCCATTTGGACCCGAGAACTGGAGTATTGGGAGGTAGCGGAGTGAGCTGCCAGGTGCCTTGTCGCTGAAGCGCCATGAATTCTTCAGACATGGCCTTGCGCCACTGAGGAAGTTGCAATGCTGCCTTGTAGCTGGTAGGAGAGGACTGAGAATCCTGTACAGCAAGTAAATCAAATACCTTCTTGGGTTTGAGATGGCCTGTTTGACGTCGAGTGAGCATTGGATGAGTGGGTGCGGGAATTGTTGGATTTGAAGTGGTGGAAGGAATGGGATGAGGTGAAGTGGAAGGAGGTTGGATAGAAATTGGTTCGTTGGGTGTGGGAATAGAATGGGTGGTATGAGGTGTGATGGTCTTTGATGTAGTTAGTTGAGGAGGTACATATGTAGGAATTAGTAAGAGGGGAGGTGTGGCTGTAGGGGTGGAGGGTATAGGGGCTGATATGGTTTTGGTGAATGGAAATTGATGCTCATCAAAGGTAACATGTCGGGAGATGTGAAGTTTTTGATTTGAGGGGTTGTAACATCTATAGCCTTTATGAGAGCTGGAATAACCGAGGAATATGCACGGTTGAGACCTCGGTTCAAGTTTGTTGGAGGTTTGAGGTTTTAACCAGGGAAAACATAAGCAACCAAATACTCTGAGATGATCGAACGTTGGAGGCTTGTTGTGTAAGAGCTGATAGGGTATAGAGTAGTTAAGTGAGGAGGTTGGATGTCTATTGATAAGATAATTGGCTGTTTGGACAGCTTCAGCCCAGTAGGCAGCCCGAAAGAGAATAGTCGTGGAGCAGTGTGCGAGTTGTTTCGAGGAGGTGACGGTGTTTTCTCTCCGACACACCGTTTTGCTCCGGTGTGTAGGGGCAGCTAAACTCATGGCGAATCCCATGATTAAGGAGAAAGTTTTTGAAGTCAAGGCTGGTGTACTCGCCTCCGGCATCTGATCTTAAACATTTTATTTTTCATTGAATTGTGTGTTAATTAAATGGTAGAATTGCTGGAATTTGATGTTAGTTTCATTTTTGGTGGTCATGAGGTAAAGCCAGCATAAGTGTGCATAGGCGTCAATGAAAACAACGTAGTAACGAAAACCCGAGAGAGAGGGAGTCGGTGAGGGACCCCAAACATCTATGTGTATTAAACTAAATGGTGCAGTTACATAGTTTGCTGATTTGGGAAAAGATAACTTGTGGCTTTTAGCCACTTTACAAGAAGTGCAATGAAAATCTGCTACCTTAAAGCTGGAATTTAAAAAACTAGATAATTTGGCCATCGATTGGAGATGAGGATGTCCAAGACGAGCATGCCAGAGGGCTGTGGAGTTGCGCTTGGTGGAGAGTGCGTGACTTTGGTTGGATGCAGGAAGATGGATTGTGTAGATGCCATCTTGATTACGCCCATGGAGAAGGATTTTGTGATCCTGGAGATCCTTGAGAATGAAACCGGAATAGTCAAATGAAATAGAACAGTTATTGTCTTTAGTCAGTTTTGAAATAGAGAGAAGATTGTGAGCTAAGGAGGGTACGTGAAGCAAATTTTGAAGTTTAAGCTTACGGGTAGAGTCTGGGAGTGGGAGGATGCCGGCGCCATAGTGATGAATAGGAAGGGATGTTCCACTTGTTGTAGAGATTGTGTCCTGACCATTGTAAGGCGTAGGATATTGCAGATTGGCGATGTCCGGAGTTAAATGCGTAGACGCTCCGGAGTCTAATACCCAGTCGGAGGTAGTGGTTGATGTCTGTGTTGGCATTTGAGTGAGTAGAGCACGGTTGGGCGCTGACGATGGATTGTAAGAAGAGTTGAATCGGTGCCAACAGACAGCTGCAGTGTGTCCAGTTTTACCGCAGATTTGACACAGAGGGCAATCTGTAGATTTGGCAGCGGAGGGAGTTGTTCGGGAAGCTGCATTGTTGGGATTGAATGGAGCTCCTCTTCCTCTGTTTCCTCTGGAATTGTTTGATCTGCCTCTTCCGCGGCGGATGAGTAGAGTGCCTGATGGTTCGAAGTTGTGTTGATTTCTTGATGCAGCTCGGTCTGGAGATTGATCTCTTCACTACTTAACAGTGAGTAGAGTGATTCTAGAGTGATGGGCTGCGGGGAGATTCGTATGGCTGCCTTGAACGGATTGTAGGATGCTGGTAGACCCTTGAGCGTGTAGAGGATTATATCTTCTGTTTCGATGTGGCTTCCAGCTGCGGCAATGCTGTCCACTATGGATTTGATTTTTGCTAGATATTGAGAGATGGTTTGATCTTTCATCTGTACTGTGTGCAGTTCGTTTTTGAGCTGCAGAACTCGGGACCTGTTCGTCGGCTGCAGGCGTAGTTCAAGAGCATTCCAAATCTCATGGGATGATCGCAGGTGTAGAATATATGGGAGTACAGAGGCTGAGATAGTGGAGAAGAGATCGGATATTAAGTTCTGATCCACTAGAGTCCAGAGCTTGAGATCTGCTTCATTGCAGGAAGCTGGAGGACAGGGCAGCGAGCCTGTGATGTAGCCTTCAAAACCATTTGCGGCGAAGGCTTGATAAATCTGGAGCCTCCATATAGGGTAGTTGTCTATAGTAAGGTGAGTGTGAACGATGTTTTTGAGATTGGACATCAGAAACTTTAAGGATGGAGGAATGACGGTGTTTGTGATGGAAGAGATCAGGGTAGATGTCGTCCTCGACTGAGAGGACGAATTTTGCTCTGTTTCCGCCATTGCCAGCAGATTGAGCAGAGAGACCCAGTATCACTGCTCTGATACCATGAAGAAAGATCTTCAAAGAAGAGATAAACAGATAGAAAGGAAGAACATAGGAGGTGACCAAAGCTCAGTAGAGTATTTTCATATCATTTTGTTTGTACAGGAAACAATGCATATATAAGCTTGGTTGGAGACAGTTTGTTATGCTGCAGAGAGAAGGCTGCCATAGCAGCGGTGGACGGCGACTCTCTGCACTGATGGTAGACGATCGTGAGGAATGATTTCCTTCGGTTAGTTGTGTCGCTGGCACACGTTAAGGTGTGCTAACATCTAGTGACCGCACAATAATTTCTCAACAAAAAAAAATTGAATTTTAGAGACATCTGTGATATTGTTTATTGGCATGCATGTAAAACCTCATAAAATTTGACAATAGCTCAAATTTTTAACCATCGGGATATTATCTGTTATAGCTCTACGAATTTGACTCTTAATAAGACAATGGAGAAAAATGATTTATGTAATCAGATCTCTCGTAATAGGATAAATGCTTGATGTTGTTATTTTTATTATTTAGTGCAATTTGTTAATAGATCACCTTTCTCAAATGCGCTCTTATTGCTTAATTTTAGAATTTATAACTAAACTCCAATCATCACACATAAAAATCATCTCTTTGTGTAAGAGTCCACTTCTACAGTTATTTTTGCATAATCAAATGAAAGCTTCTTACTGATAAATATATATCTCATTATACCACAGATAAAAGATGCGTATACCCTAAATTTCTTTGAAAGCAATTCAAGCCGGCTGCCAGAGTGGTGCAATAAAGAAGACTCTGTGAAGCTTCCCTTCTGTCAGATAAAGGGAAAATATAGGATGGAATTGCCAGATTACAACACGATTCAGCCTTACCCACGCATGAATGAGAAGTGCCCATCCCTGCCTCCAAATTATGATCGGCCAAGCTATTGCTGATGCTAATGCCGTTAATATTTAGGGTTTAGGGAATATCATGAATACTTTCTTCTGCTCCTTCCCCTCTCTATGAATATGAAATTATGTGGGGGAAATGGTTGGGTTGTAAAATTAGTGAAATTAGTTGGTGTATAGGATCTCTCTATAAGCATATGAACTTGTTCCTAGATGATTTTGCTTAATTTAAGTTTCGTTTGGAATGACTTTCTTATTACTTATTAGAGTAACTTTCTAGTATAAAAATAAAAATTTTATACTAGAAAGCTGCTCTAAGAAGCGGTAAGAAAGTCATCCCAAACCTAGGAAAAATTATTGCGTCCTCCCACCTGACGTAGAAATACGTCCTCCCAGAGCTAAAATCGCGCTAAAAAACGAGAAATGCCGAGCAATACCAAACAATAACGAGGAATATCATCATGTGAAGATCAATACCGAGTTATATCGAGCAATACAAAAAAATACCTAGTTCTTCCTAGAAAAATTATGTATTTTTTTGTATTGCTCGGTATAGCTCGGTATAATTCGGTATTGGTCTTCACATGATGATATTCCTTGTTATTGCCAAATAATACCTAGCAATACCGAGCAAAAATCGAATTTTTTGGTGATGGGAGGACGTATCTCTACGTCAGGTGGGAGGACGCAATAATTTTTCCAAACCTAGACAATGATTTTATTTGGGATAATCTCTTTATTGTTTTCTAAAACAATTTTTTCATTGAAAATATTTTAATTCAAAAAAATTTTGTACTAAAAAAGTTGTTTTAAATAAAGCCAAAACCTTAGTCTTTGTTTGGGATAAATTCAAATTTTTAATGAAGAAAAAAATTGTTTAAAATAAAACCTTAAATAAATAGGATAAATATTTTATGAACGCACATATTCAGCAAAATCTATCATTTCATTTGAAGGTATCATTAAGAACTTATAGAGCTGTTAAAAAATATATTTGCTTTTTAGATTGTGTTCAACTTAATAATTAATTCCAATCCAACAAATTTTTATGAACCAAACACATAAAGTATTGCTCAATTATGTTCAGCAAAATCATAGTTTTGTGTGGATATAAAAAAAATATGGTGATATTTAGATTTCACAAGTTATATATAAATTTCAAATATATTTTATGCTTGTGAAGAGCTTGTGTTTTGTTTTTCTCTAAAACAATTTTTTCATAGAAAATATTTTAATTCAAAAAAAATTTGTACTAAAAAATTTATTTTAAATAAAGCCAAAACCTTAGTCTTTGTTTGGGATAAATTCAATTTTTTAATGAAGAAAAAAAATTGTTTCAAATAAAACCTTAAATAAATAGGAGAAATATTTTATGTACGCACATATTCAGCAAAATCTATCATTTCATTTGAAGGTATCATTAAGAACTTATAGAGCTGTTAAAAAATATATTTGCTTTTTAGATTGTGTTCAACTTAATAATTAATTCCAATCCAACAAATTTTTATGAACTCTTATAATTAATGAACCAAACACAAATACAGTATTGCTCAATTATGTTCAGCAAAATCATAGTTTTTTTTTTTTTGTGGATATAAAAAAAAATGGTTATATTTAGATTTCACAAGTTATATATAAATTTCAAATATATTTTATGTTTGTGAAGAGCTTGTGTTTGGTTTAATAAGTTAATGAGCTGAATACAAATAAAATATATTTGCTAGTTTCTTAACAAGGCAAATAAAATTTGAGTCATCCTAGCTAAGAGATTTTAGTCATGAGGTAGTTAGTGGTTGGAGTTGGAGGAGAGTGATTGAGCAATGATTGTTTGAGATTATAACTATCATAGATTTTTTTTTTTTTTTAAATCATCACTATCATAGGTTGATGATAAACACTGCCGTTGTCAGGTCCCAAATTCTGGATGAGAAAAATATAGGGTTGCGTTAGGTAGTCAACAGCCCGCGTAAAACTTGTCGAACAATAATGACATGAATCCTTTAAGAAATTATGGAGAAAAATGATTCATGTAGCCGACCCCACATAGTGGGATAAAGGCTTGATGTTGTTGTACTATCATAGGTTGACGATAGTGATCAGACGGTTTTTTTTTAATCATAACTATCATAGGTTGACGATAGTGATCGGACGGTCGTGATTAGAGAATCATAATCATACTATACTGACTAATTACCTCTATGCTATAGTTATCTTAAACATATCAAAGGACTTTAAGCCCATCATAGCTAAAATTTACACCATAAATGTGTTTACATTATCAAATAGAATGGTTGGACCAGTTTTTTCATGGGATTTAGATATTTAATATTTTTTTGTTCAATGAACTATTCAAGTTAAAAGCTAATTGAGCCTATTAAAAGCCAGTTGGATTAGATTCTCCTTGATTACAGTTTGCAAATTGTAAGCCTTGTTTCTACGGCTACTAATGAGCTCTTGAATATAACAATAGTAAAGTATCCTACATGAATGCTTGTAGACCAAAAATAAAATTTCCTACTGTATAGATTCATTACAAATATAAAGAAAAAAAAAAAAATTCAAGAGAGCCTTACTATATAATTGCTGAATATAGATCCAACCAAGATGACGAAGCTGTGTAATTCTGTTCTAAGGAAGCTGCTCCGTTGTTCTAGAAGCTTCATGAAGGTTCATTATTTACCAAAGAAATCTTTCTAGAAGGGCCGGTAGCAAATAATGTAACAAAAGGTGTAGAACTTACTTCATAAGTTGCTGAATGTTGATTCCCCAAGCTGTAGCAAGTTGTAGCATTATCTGCTCTGCAGAAGCCCCTTCCCAATCTTCAGGCAGCTCCATAGCAGATGCTTCATAAAGATTGAATAGCATCTCTCTCTTAACTTCCACAGGTATTCCAAGGAAATCCTCTCCATTTTCCACGATCAGATCCAGCAACTGTAAAACGGCAAGAGTCACAAATGCGTTAATATGTTTGTAAGAAACATGTTTATCCAATTACATTTGTAAACTAATCTTTTAAGTTGCAGAATAGAGAAACATATTTAAATTTAATCCGGATCCAATCAAACCGTCAAGTCATGCTTTGCAAGCAGGAAGTATCAGAAGTTTACAGCGTTTAGCCTTACCTCTCTAGGGGTGTTAATATTAGACCTGACCTGAAAACTTGACCTGAATCCGGCCCGAAAATTTCGGGTTTGGATTGACCCGAACCCGAAGCGGGTCGTCTTCGGGTCCTGAAAACCGACCAGTTTGAAAAACCGGGTCGGGTTCCGGTTGACCCGGGAATGACCCGGAATGCACACAAACTCGTCTGCCCGAAATGACCCTGCCCCGACTACCAGGTCACGTCGCCGCCTTGCTGGGCAGTTCCGTGCCGCGTTTTGAGGCCAGCGTCGCCGCCAGCCGTCGGCCCATTTCCGTGTTCGTGGGTTGGGTCGGGTTGACCTGAACCCGAAGCGGGTTGGGTTTGGGTCCAGAAAATCGACCCGTTTGCAAAAATGGGTCGGGTCGACCTGAACCCGAATAGTGTCGGGGTATTATGAAAAACTTACTATGAAGTGTAAAGTATAAAAAATTGGTAAGCCAATCCTCATATGATTGACAGTGAAACTCTACAGCAAGATAATTATGGTTGAATAGATCATCATTTCTAATAGTATTTTTCATATCAAGCCCATCTAATTTGATGCAATTATGAACTAATGTCACATGTTAATCATGTCATTTTAATGGTCATATTATATGCCAGATTTTTTTATCATTTATGCCTTAACTGATGAGTTGCACAATGAAGTTTATTTCTTGCAAACTCCCACCAAATGATTTTTACAATATTTTTAGGTTATTAGTTCTACATCATTGATATAGAAGTTTCTGAAGTCAAGCTTCAAGAATCTGGTGAAAGTGATTATGTTCATAAAGTTATTTATTTTATTAGTTAACATGTTATGACTTTGTTAGGTGAGTTGTCATAGTTCGATTTTAATTATTTTTAATAGATAAAATTCTGAGGATATTAATAGTGAAAGTGTGGTTGATATTAAGATAATTATTAGTGAGGACATTATAAATGTAATGGGTGCTTAGACTCATCAAGTTAGATTAGAAGATAGTTTAAAAATCAATTTTAAAAAGAGATGGATAGACTACTGTAACACATACTAGAGAAAAAATGATAATTATTAGAGGTCACATAAATAGACATATGGTATTAGTAGGATAGGTTATGAGAGGATTCACAGGGAATGGGAAAAATGACAGATAAAAGCAATAGAAGAAACTAAAATTGATTTAGGCTTTGTTTTGGATGACTTTCTTACTGCTTCTTAAAGCAGCTGGAAAGCTGCTGCTTTAAGAAGCAATAAGAAAACCGTTCCAAATGAAGCCTTTGTAGTAAACTCTAATATAGAAATAGAGAACATTTATTTAAGAAATGAGAAGAAGGATAAATTACATATAAAAGTGGAGCCACTAGATCACAATAGACATCATTTTACTTTGAAGAGATGAAAAATCCTTTTGCAAAGATCGTACGATGATTCTAACAAAGAACTTGATAATACAACATGAAATTAAGTATGCATATCTTAAGAGTATAAATCAAACAAGCAAAGAAATAACTTCCTTGAGACAAAGTGATAAAGTTTAAAAGTAAGAAAATTAGTAAGCTTCCAAAATAGATTGTCAAGAGAGGAAAAGTAAAATTCTTTACTTGATTAAACCTAATGTGGGGTAAGATGAATTATTTCATTTAAAAAGGTTGTCATAAATTTTCAAGTAAATCTAAGAATAGATCATAAGATGATAAGGAGCTTTAGTGGTGGAGGTAAAAATAAAGTTTTTAATGAAAAAATGTTTTTGAAGAGTGACAAAACATAATAAAATATACAGGCTCATAATGATAATAATAAAAAAAAAACTAAAAATCTTTCAAATCATATAGTGAGCAAAAGAAAAATTATATTTTTTATGATTAATATAATATGCTTGATAATAAGGAACGACAAAAGAAGATATATAGAGTAGGTGAAATAAGAGATACGAGATCCAAATATTCTGATCAAATTAGATGTATTAAAAGTAAAAATAATAAGATCTTAGCAGCATTCGAAGGCATAAAAAAATATGAAAATAGTATTTTGAGAAATTATTAAATGAAAACTTTAAGAAAGAAGTTATTTTGTAAGAGTTTAATGAACAAGATAATGATTTATATTACAAACTGATTCAAAAAAAGATAAAGTTGAGTTAGCATTGGCAAAAACGTAAAGCTTTCAATCTAGATAAGAAATATATTAATATTTGAAGAACTATTGGGAATATTGCAAAAATCAGGTTAATAAATCCTTTCAATGAAATGTTGAAGACTTAAAATGAAGGTAAATGATAAAGAAGCAATTCAATACCAATATTTAAGAACAAAGGCGTTATTTAAGATTGTGCAAACTATAGAGGGATATAAGTTATGAGACAAAACAAAGCTATCGGAAAGAGTAATGAAACATAGTCTTAGACAAAAATAAGAAAGTTTCAGATAATGTTCAAGTTGTAATCAAACAAGCTTGATTTTTTTTTTAATATTCAATGATTAAATAAACAATTGTTCGAATTATTTAGATTCATGAACAATATAGTTGAAAGCTCATAAGCAAGCTCGTTAAGAAACTTAATTAATATTCGATATGGAGCTAAATTAAAATTTGTCATAAAAATGATGAACAACCAAATATGAATGTTTCATATTTGTTATAATTTAATAACATAATAATTATTAATAAATAAATTTTAAAACTAATTAAACATTATAGCATTTATTAATTATAGGTCCTTGTTCATGTCTACTAGATTGTTTGTTTTGAATGTTTATGTTTAATACATGAGCTGAAGATGAGGCAAACTTGAACATTTATCATTTTTATGAACCAAATATGAACACATATAAAATAGCTCGAACAAGCTGATCATACATGAGCTCAAATATGAAAAAACACATGCTCAGCTCAGCCAAATTCGTTTGCAGCCCCCATTAGAAGTAAAAAATAGTTTGTTGGGTATTCATTTAGTTCTCTACACCACATTTCTTCGTTAGCATTTAAGCTAGCTAATTTCAAGCTTATGTTTAATATTATTCCTGAATCTGATAAATTTGGCTTAAGTATGTTAAAATAATGATGGTCTATTATAAATCATATCCAAATACGAAAAAAGTATAAACAGACAATTGCAAGTACCATAGATGCAAGACAATAACTGGAGAATGAATAGCTTATTATCTGATTTTGCAACAATTTCAGATTTTTGTAAAGCAGAAAGTGAAAAATTATCATTCATTTGACGCTTTCAAAATACGGAAAGGCATAGTTGTCAATAAGGTTATGTGAAAGATATACTTATAATTTAATTAGTCTCCCAAACTAAAAAACCTTCAGTCAGAGTGGCCTGATTTCTTAGTCAGTTTAGCTCAAGTTCAATTTGGATCCAACAATTGAGTTCAATTCTTAGTATGGTTTTAAGGAGCTAGCAGAACCGTGCAATAAAACGCTAAATTAAAACGACAATAATTCCCCTTTTTTTTAATCCTTACTTCCTTACTCCTGCAGTGTAATAATTCTCCTTTATTAACTGGTGACATCAATGAAAGATTTCATGAAAACAAGGAACAACTTCAGCAAAATCATTCCTAAACCCTAAATCATCCCCATCACCCTCCTAATTCGCTCTCCAATTTGCTTTCACCCATTCTTATCCCTATTCTGTCCTTCAAACCCTAATCATGCCTGTTTGCATTAATCCAACATTGGAACGTTCAAAGACAAAATAACAGCAAATCAAACAATCCCATGAAATGTGCGGTCAATCAATCTGGATAATGGTATGTAAGAGACATGATGATGTAAATGAATCATATGAGTAGACAACTGAAAGAATATATATGTCTGATCAAGATTTGATTGAATAGCATGGTTGTGATAAGCATACCTGCTGAATCCAAGCAAGAGCTAAGTCATACAAGCTTTGTTCAAGCACAAATTGCCCAACTGCATGCAACAACTCGCTTGCTACTTCACCTGAGAGCTCATTAAAGGCAGGCCCAGACCTTTCCATCAGCTTCACAAGCAAAACGTCATCACCTGTAGACAACACTTCTGCATATGCTGAGTCCAAATCACCAACATGAAGTGAATCCATAGCACGGTTCCATGAGATCCAAAGCTGGCCCCTTTCTTGCCTAGAGTTATCAAATGTTGTAATTTCTGCATCCAGTTCGGCGATTGGCCCACGTGCCCCAATCCGGGAGGTTCCATTATCATCTCCGGCCACTCGGATAGCTTCCAAGGTGGCCTCATCCTTGGAGGCTTGCCAGACACTTCTTGCGGAAGGACCTTCACCAAGCCTAAATGGTCCTTGACTCTTGCTCCAAGCTCTTCTGCTGCCAACTTGCTCAACATCAGGCTCATGTTTTGGAAATTTGCCATCAACCAATGAGGAAGTAAATCCTCTCCTTCCACTTGAGACCCCATTTCTTTGACCAGTATATACATAAGGATCCCGTCCTTCGGAATCTGGTCTCCATGGAGCATCTCTTCCCCTTGATCCTGGAACCATGCCATCTGATGAGAGATATCTTTCAGAAAATGGAATTCTACTTTCATTTCCCCTGACAAACTTTGAACCACCATAATCTTGAAGACTATTGTACTTGTTTGAGGACCGTCCAGGAGATCCCTCAAACCCCATCATTACATTGCCCCCCCTCCTCCCAGATGATATTGATAAATCCTGTGCCATTTCTTCAACAACTCTCTCAAGTCCACGCACTCTGTTCTCCAAAGTTACTAAGCTATCATGAGAGCCCCCCATGAAGTCCTAAAAATTGTAGCATAGAAATTAATGAGGCAGCAATAGTGAACTAAATCAGGCTAGCCAACGATGATACTGGTGTGATTTTGTAGAATGATCATAAGCAATGGCTATCACAAATATAATAAATCTAAGACATTCCTCTCGGATATTTGACGATTTTGTTTTAATCTAGGCCCGGTTTGTCACATAAGAATCTAAATAGAGAGAAAGAAAAAAAGAAAAAAGGACATGAAATCACAAATCAAATGCTTCATATATATAACCAAGTAAAATATTGCCAAATTTCATTGCATTTTTTCGTTTTAATCCAAACACAATTTTACAAATGTATTCCTGTACCTTTTAAATGTCATGAGAACGGCTTTTATATTTCTATTTTTCTAAATGAGAGTGAAAACTAATTTCCTTCAATCTATTTCGTATGTGATAAGGAAGGTCAGTATAAACACAATTCCAAACAGAAGATTTGCTTGCAAGTAATTTAGTAATTTAACAAAGTATGAAATGTTAATCTCAAGATTATAGTTGCTTAACTAAGGAATTCCATTCAAGTAGTTTCCAAATAAACTGGATGTACTTTAGAATTAATCGTTTTGGTTAATCGGCATAAAGTAACTGATAAATTACATAGAATGAAACCCATTCCATTAGTAATATGTTTACAAAAATGGAAGAAAAAAAAAACAAGGTGTAGAATTTAACACTCAGCTAATTATTAATTTCAGCAGGCTTGCTTAATGTTCCTCATGCATTATCGATCAATAAAACATTAAGCTGGCTAGAAAAGCACAGAGACATATTCACCTCTTATCCATATCATATTGTAATGCAAATAGAATTATGATTCTTAGACAATTTTTTAAGAATATCATTGATGAAAGGGAAACACAACAAACATATGATAAATTCTCCTTTGCTGATAGCTTAAATTGATAAGCAAACCATTACACTGAATCAGTGAGACTACGATTGACAAACAATTAGGGTTAATGATAATGACATTTCAACTTTCATAACAAGTCTTCTAGGGTTATATTAACTAAGGATACAGTAAGAGGTTAAGAAATTAGAATAAACTAGTACACCAGACAGATTGCCAGGACCTTTCTAAATATTCCTCACCAGCTTGATTGATAATAACAGACAAACTCTACAACCGCGCATGTAACAAAGCCCATAATTTTTGCCTTTACTATGTACAACATCTAGATGCATTAAATTCCAAGAAATAATACTTAGCAAAAAGTAGAAGCAATAGAAAGATATGACATATCATCAATAAGTAACAATTTAAGATGAGCATTCTCCTTGAACTGAGTGAAGCCATACCCCAAATAAAAAAGCACATATTTCTCCGAGAAACCAACCAAGCATATACAATTTAGTTAAAAGCAAACCTGAAACATGTCAGTACCTGCAACATGTCCATAAGATGAGCTTGTTGCCTCTCCAACTGTGATAACTGCCTCTGAATGGCTAACCAATTTCCTTTGTTGTTCATGCCAGAGCTTTCGACTAGACTTTCAGCCTGAAATATGTTTGCCCGGTGTGCAAGGCAAACCTGCAACATGTCAATACCTGCAACATGTCCATAAGATGAGCTTGTTGCCTCTCCAACTGTGATAACTGCCTCTGAATGGCTAACCAATTTCCTTTGTTGTTCATGCCAGAGCTTTCGACTAGACTTTCAGCCTGAAATATGTTTGCCCGGTGTGCAAGAGAGTCCTGATTGAGTTCAACCCTCTCATGAGCATCAAAAGACCTCATCTTCGAGTCCCTTGACCTGGATCCTCTTTCAGTCCACTTATCTCTAATAATGTAATCCAAGTCTTGTTGATTGTTATTAGTGCCTAGCCTTTTCTCAGTGTTATGATAGCTAAGGCCAACACGTCCATGATTTTCATTCAATTCGAAGCCAGGAACTCCATCAAGATTAGCCCTAGAACCACCTTCAGGCGAGCCTTGCTCATCTTCACCTAGCGTGTGGGATGATTCAAGGCATCTACGGGGTAGCATAACTTCAACAGAAACGTCATTTGAACTTCTTGTTTCAAGTTTTTGGAAGAACTCTGGATTCAACTCTTTGTCTTTCAAGGAGGGTACCTTTTTTTTTAGTATAACTGCAGCATTCTCTGGAATATTGCTGTCCTTTCCTTTCGACAAAAATTTGTCGCCAGTAGGTGAAGAATCAAGAGATAAATCTTTAACAGATCCTGAGCTTTTACTGTTGAGATTTGATTGTTTATCGTCCAACTTCTCATCATTCCAGGATTTGGCAACTTTTCTCTCTATAAGATATAACACCAGTACAAATACATGTGAGGGAAATGAAAAGAGACGACCGGAAAATTCAAAGCACATGAACAAATTATGAATATCATTTTATACCCATTGAATCCTCTGGTGCAGTAGTATCACTCTTGCTTGAAACTTTTTTCCAAACTTGCAATGCGTCCATCATGCTATCTCTCACGGGTTTCACCTGATTAAAAACCCATTAAAGACATCAATAAAATTCTAAGATCAGAGGGATTTCAGATACCAGAATCACAAGAGGATACGTTAGTAGATTCATCCAGCTGGAAAGCTAAGAGTGTGACCATATAATTTTATGAACGATCAGGCAAAACTATGAATGTTTCCTTGTTAAATCCTGGAAAGAATTCTCGGACAGATGTTACCTTATCAAAACGGCAAGCCTCAAGAGAATCAATTATTTGAGAAGTCCCATCGGTAATCAAATGACCTGAATAAGAGGCAAGCACAACCAAAGCATCTGCAGCAGACTTACGAGTGGCCCAATCACTATTATCAAGACATTCACGAATGCTTTGAAGCACAGTTGGCATACCCTGGGTACCAATTGCACCTATCTGTAAAAAAATTGGAGATTAATGCAAACAATTTGACGTCTCAAACACAGGTCATTTCTTGATATTTACTTTAGAAATTGATTAACCTCTGCCAAATCAATTAATTGGGACAAATACATACAAGAAAAAAGAAGACTTGTACAACTCCCACAGTATGAAGTTGCCTAAAATTAGAAATTTTCACATCACAATGTAACATTTCAATAGATGACAACAGGCAAAAGAGTTTCTGCTTTAAAGCGTGAAGTGACACTTTCAGTTCAATAAAACATGCAACTAAACTTAATAGGCTCCATGCATTTTAATATTTATAAAATATTACGAGGAAGTAAATTATTCAACCACTTACATAGCCCGAAAAATTTATGAACAAATTTATAGCATACCAAAATCAAATAAAGACATCAAAGAGCAATACCAAATAGTGGATGCAAACGTGAAACCCAGCCTGCTTAACAAGTTATAAAACATATCTTTTGGAAAATTGTTATGTCAAGTCATATCAGGGACGACAAACAATGAATTCTCCTAGGGAGTTTCTTTTCTTCTTGTACATTCTGATATCCCAATCGACAATTAAAATCACTAAACAGGCCTAGAAGCAGAATCAGGAGAGTGATTTCCGCAAGTTCAACAACAAAATAAACCCCAATTTGGATAAAATAGCAGAGCATTAATTATAAAAATGAATATTTCATCAACTACAACAAAAATTAGGGCTCAAGACTAAAGCAATTAAAAAACAATGCCAACAACAACCCTGGAAGTAAATAAAGAGTAAGAGAAATGGAAGGCTCAAATGTAAGAATAAACCAAATTTATCTTCCTATTCCAAAATTTCTCGCTATATAGTTGCTTGTGCCACACCAAGTACAAAAAGATGGGGAATCCAAATTGAGCTAAGGCTTTGGCATTGGCATCATGATTAATATATCTTATTTGACAGTGCAAACAGTGTTTTTCAATGAAACAAAACCACACCCACACAGGGGATAGTGGAATAAATTAACACAGTTAGCAGCCAATAACTTACCAAGTTCAGCAACCAACCAGCGCAAAGGAAACGAACCAATACCTAAAAAAACATCAACAGCTAAAAGGAGCTCGTGAAGTTTTTTTTTATTTGCATAGAAACCTCTTAATTGTGCTAGGAATCCATTGTGAAAAAACAAAAAATAGATGGCATAGGCAAAAAATAAATGATAGAAACAACGCACTGCAATAGAGAAACAACACAAACTTTTTAAGGACACATCTAAATAAACAACTCAGAAATTATAGCAAGTACAACAACCTCATGGAAGAAAATTTTCAGGGAAGGCTAAGAAAAATGGTAAATCATAGCATATCAAACAAAGATAAGAAATCCAGTATATACAACTGCAACAAAGACAGCACTCAAGCAGAATGCAAGCAAAAACATATACAAACCACTGGAACAACATCAAGCAAGCAGCGTTACAATTCAGAAGATATCCAAAACAAAATCAGGCACAAAATTGGGATCAACAGTAGTCATTTCACCAGCTACACCATGATCGAACAGCCAAATAGCGAGCTAAAAATTTCATTTCATCAAAACATATAAGAGTCCATAGATTTCATAGAATAGAACGAAAGGAGTGATAAAAAGAGCACAGAGGATAACTGAAGACAACATATTTTAATAAACAAATAAAAAACCTCCTACATTTCACCTAAACAACAGTCTGAATGTAAATTCTGAAAAATAAAGGATGGGAATCACAAAACCAAAGTAAGAAAACTACCACATACGCTTTAAATTACAGAAAAAAAAAATGAAGACCAAATCTTAGTACTCCACAATTACCGGAAAAAGAATCGAGGAAAACTACATAGAAGACCAAAGCAGGATGCAGCTCTCTTTGATCTGTTGGTTGGGAGCTCTGACTACCAAAGAAGAGATCTTGGGAGCTTTGGCTAACAATCAAGAGATCTTGGGTTAGAGTCTTGTGTATGCATGTGTGTGTGAGTTTGCTTTAAAAACCCTAAACATTCATATTTACTCATCAAAATCTCCAATACTTCCTATATATTTTAGAATTATTATTGTCTTCATATTTAAATTAAATGTTGAAGACAAATAAAAGCTAATGACCAATTCAACATTTAAGGTGAGTTTTCCCCAATTAGTCAACCATTCATCTCGCAAACACTCTTTTCACTCTGCTAGCTCTATCTAAGGGCGAATTATTACGTCCGGTGTCCGGGTTCGTCCGGTGTCCGGGTTCGTCCGGACACCAATCCAGACGCGCCACGTCACCAAAATACACCGGGCCCTAGTGTATTTGGGTGACGTGGTGTGTCTGGATTGGATGTCCGGACGTCAGCTGACCGGACATAATAATTCGCCCTATCTAAGAGACATACTCCCTTGTCTTCATTTAAAACCATCATTTGAAACCACGGTATTTGATGAAGTTAAGCGCGGCATTTCAACAAGCACCTCAAGCCTTCCGACACTATATTTTCATCCCTTCAATACATTCCCTCCTGCTCCCCACAATTCGTTTTTCCTGCGATGCTTCTAGTTTATGTATAAGCGCTTGACAAAACTATATGCCTAATTAGATCGTCTCTATTCAGACAATCCCATGACAAGTAAAGGAATATTGTATAGTTTTTCCAATTTGTTTCTACTAATATCAGGATAGCAAACAACAAGAAAAAATAAATAATTAGATGATCTCTTCTCCTAGGATCTAAAATTGCGGAGCTTCCCTACACCGATAATCTCAACCACTTTAAAAGCATATCACCAGCGTATGAACAAGTCAATCATACGAACCTGAGCTAAGCTCGAAATAACCGAGAGTAAAGCCCCTTTTGCAAGGAAGCTCTGCCCTGCAAGCATCTTGCAGATCCTTGGACAAAGCTTCTGAAACGCCACCGCTCCGCCGCCGACTCCCCCGCATTCCACCACCTTTGCGAGTGACGCCGCTGCCCCAATTTGCACCGTCTTATTTTGCTCCCCCAACACTTCCAACAGTGGCTTCACGAACAACCCAGCCAACGAAGCCGCAGTTGAGGACCCACCTCCCCCTCCTCCGCCATTATACGCTTCATTCGCATGGGAGCGAAGATAAAGCGTTGCGAGCGAGCCGAAAGCGTCGCGACAAGCGTCGCGTACGGAGGAGTCCGACAAAGGGTCCTTGAGGCGGCGGATGATGTGAGCAATTATCTTGGAGAGATGACTGGCACCAGCGTCTGGTTGGGCGGAGCAGAGAAGGGCGAGGAGGCGGACGGACTCGCGGCGGGCAACATTGCGTCCGCTGACAGCCGCAGCGGAGTCGCCGGCCGGGGAAGCAGGGTCGATTAGGAGGCAGGATAAGAGCACGGAGAAGCCATCAGATGGCAACGAACCGATTACTTTCTCGAGGTCGTCGATGGCGATCTGGTAAGTATCGCGGTCGGAGAGCTTCAAGACTGAGGCGAGGATACGGGATTTGAGCTCAACCAAGGCGATGTGGGAGGAGAGTGACGAGGGCTTGGGTTGCGGTGAAGATTGGGATTGGGCAACGGGCTTTGAGGGCTTAGAAGAGGGTTTTGAGGAAGAAGAGGACATCGCAACTACTTCTCGAAGTGGTTGTGCTCAGAAGGAGATGGAGAGAGCAACAAAGGCGGAGAAGGCGAGATTTGGGACGAATGGCATGAGGAAGGAATGGAGGTAGAAGAGATCTACCAATGTGGGTGAGAAGCGAGATTTTTGGAGAAGAAGAAGAGAGGAGTGCAGCAGAAATGGAGTGATCTCTAAGGCGGAAACCTTTTTTAGTCCGAAGGGGTACATCAGCGAGATCTGATTTATCGGTTTATTTTCATTTTTTTTTATTAATGGTCGAATTAATTTTAATTTTTGGGAAATCAGCTCATATTTTTCAAAGGTAAAAAAAATTTCATTATTTTTTTAAAATATTTTTATTTATTTACAATCGAATGAGGTCTTATATGCTTTGAAATTATATAATAAATACATGTAAAAATATAAAAATAATGTGCTTTTGAATAAATCCAGAATAATTTTAAAAATTAAACTAATAAAAATTGCAGCAAACGGAATTAACTGAGCTGAGAAATCAAAAGAAGATGTAATTTCATATAAAAATATTCAATAAAAAAATCTATTAAAAATATTAAATAGATTTTTATTTCATATAAATATTTAAATAAATAAAAATAAAAATTAATCTCAAATAATCCCTAAATATTTGAAGTCTCAATTTATACGCTAAATATGCACAACATAAGCTACATATCAGATTTTAATTGTTATTTTTTTTAGATATTTGAGGCATTAAAGCAAACTCACACACTTCACATATGTACGTCTATCATTACTATTTTGATCAACAAATAGAATTTCCAAATAACGGTAGCAGTCCTTTTTTTTTTTTAATGTCTCACAATGCACATATTCAAATTAATATATTTAGTATATTTTAATTTAGACAAATATACTCGATTGACTCTACTTAAGTTTGATAATTAACAAAATGGGTTAAATTTTAAGACAATCCCTTAACTATTAGTATATGACAATTTTAATCATAGAGTACAAAGTTGTACCAATTTAGTCAATCAACTATACAAAATTGATCCAAAATGAACTTTTTAGGACTAAAATGGGATCGATAGTATATTTCATTCATAACATAAGGAACTATTTTCGACCTATTTGGTATAGTAGAGAGACTAAATTGAAGCAACGAGAAATTCTGAGACTAAATTGATCATGTATGAATACTCTAATGACTTTTTTTTTTATAAAACCCACATGCCTACATGTTAATATTAACCAAAGGTACAAGTTTTTAATAAATCCAAAGCCCTCTAAAATACAACATTTGAAATAAAACCTACGAGCCTTAGATTCAAACTAATTACAATAACTAAATAAGAAACAAAAAAGCCCAAAAAAAGACCAGCCAAAGAAGCAGCAACCAGCAGAGAACCCATAAGAGCGACAACAGCCAATAAGTCTCGGCCCTGTAAAAAGCATCAACAAAGGAGCCCATAGAGGATATGACAAATCCAACACACCCAAGTGAGTGCCAACCAGAATAATCAAAACCTAATAGAAGCCCAAAAACCCCCCAACCTAGCAGCAAAACCAACAACGAAGCCAACCAACAAACAATCAGCCACACAAACCCAAAAGAGGCCCAAAAACAAAAGAGAGACACCCAAATGCCAAATTGTTTATTCTGAGATTTATGCTTACAATGTTTGTTTCCATCGTGAGAAATGGATTTTTGGACAATACAACTCACATTCAAACTATAAAACATCTTCAAACTCATCCACCAGCTCATTCAAATCATCCTCGCAAAGTGAAGAAACATACCCATCCAGCCAATTAGTTTGATTCACAGGATTTTCAACCACATTGGAATACAACTTAGCTTTCAATTCATTATAAGACATAATACCGATCGACACATCCACAAACAGCTCATTCCCATTCTCCATCATGTTACATGGCAAATCATCATAATCAACATCAACATCATCACTTACTGCAGAAATAATCACAACCAAAGCATCAATAGGACTAACAGTTTTACAAGCCACATGTTCCAACAAATCTGAAGTAATACCACTCATGATTGCATTAGAAACAGATGAATCATTTAAAAGAGGTTCAACATTCATGTTAGGAATCGGATCATCCAAAACATTAACAAAAAACTTGACATCCAACTGGATCAGCAGAAACCAAAGTATCTAAGGGGCTCATAGTTTTATCAATGAGCTGATTTTAGAATTTTTTTGCTAACAAAAGGTTTAACAACAATTTGTATACATTTTCATTATCTTGATAATTTTATAAAATTTAACTAATTTGAATTAAATTAAGCAGTAAAATGCTATTTGGGATCATTTTTTTATTATGATATAAATAAAAAATATATTTGATATTTTAATAAATTATTTTTATTTTACTTTATATTGTATATCTGTATGACAGTCATGATTGTAGAGAGAACAGTCAAAAGTGATTTCTATTTTAAAAAATGAAAATATTTGAAAAATATCTAAAAAAAATACATTTAATTTGTTTTAAAATTTTAAATAAAAGCACTTAAAAGACACTTAAAACATATTTGAAAAAAAAAACATATAAATGAAAGTTTATTCAAAAGAGACCCTAAAGAATCACTCTTTACAAGTAAATAATCACATTATCAAGATAAAAAGAAGCTTTGCAAATCTCACTCAGGACATTTGCTTATTTGCAAAAAATATTTTTTTTCAAATAATTAAAAGATCAAAAGACTCTCACATGAGAGATATCAATAAACTCAATCATGTGAAAGAATTCTGCACCATTATTTTATTAGTCCCACCACCTAATTAAGCAAGCCTTCATTTCCATCTACCTCACTCTGTATATTCTTTTCTATTAATTCTCTGATTTGTTAGTCTATATTTTATGTTTGTATTGCTTTATATTTTTAGGTTTTGATCCTTTATTGTAAAATATATAAAATAACATATAAATGAAGGGTAACTATTTGAAATATTTTATTATGCAAATTATGTTAATTATAAACAAATTATCTCTATAAATAAATTAAACCATTATATAGTGCTAGAATTTGATTTGATTTTTTTTTTTTTAATTTGAAAAACTCATAACAAATGTTAATAAATATTATTTTTTGAGGCGCCTATTATAAAATTAAAAAAATTGAATAATTTAGGGTTCGTTTAGGACGACATCAGTTTTTTATAAAGCTAGTTGTAAAGTATCAGTAGAAAAACAGCTTTATTAAAAGTTGTTGTAGAAATCAAGTTTCCAACACAAAAATTTATTGAAAATAGTAAATTAGTTAGGATTATATTTTTTTTTCAATAATATTTCAAAAAATTATAAGTATGCGCAATAAGATTAACAAATGTTTAATTTACTAATATGATCGTCATTATATTTAGAACTAGCAACAATTTTTTTTATATAGACTAATTATATCACCAACAACTCTGAAATTTTTCTTAAAGTTCTTTGGTTTTAAATTATGAGGGATATAGATTAATTTATGTTTTCCTCTTTCCTCTCTCAGCTTCAAAGTTCAAACCAAGCATTTATTTCTGCCAAAAATGAAGCTATCTTTTTCTTCAATAGAGCTTTCAAGTCATCCATTGAAGCAATTATGCTTTGTCTCTTTTAAGAAACACAGTGGCCTTAGCCCATTTACAACTCTTTAGGATGGGAACATAACTGTAGAGAATGCTCAAAAGATAGAAAAAAATAAACCCAAACATGACCAGTCAACAATGCTCAGAACAGAGGCTTGAGAGCAAGTAAAGAAGAATTTATAACAGAAGAGAAATAGAGACAAAATCTACTAAGAAAACTAGATTTGGATGGCAGCAAAGAGGCGAATTATTGCGTCCGGTCACCGGATGTTCGGACATCCAATCTGGTGACGTCACATCACTCAAACACATTAGGTCCCATTGTATTTTGGTGACGTGGAGACACCAGATTGGTGTCCGGACGAATCCGGACACGGACGCAATAATTTGCCCAGCAAAGAAGGGGCGGAATACAATAAAGGTCATGTAGGGGGCGTTAGTGAAGTAGAACAAAAACCGATCATCATTAAGTCAGCCAAATCAAATATGAATTCTAAGCGGCTAGGCTTGTACCTTTGAAACATAATATTATTTAGAGCCCTAAATAAGGATATTACTATTGTTGGGGGGATAGAACATTCGTGGCGGTAGAATGAGTAAATTTTTCGTTCTAGCTATGCACAGATATACAACACACAAACAAGTGATTTATGAGAGAGAGAGAGCAGTAAAATATCAAGTCTTTTTTACATAGAAAACCCGAATAGGGAAAGACTATGGGCCTTGCGCGCCCAAGAGAAAAGATTTCTCTAAATTTGAGTGAATTCTAAAGGTTGATTTGTGTCTTGACTTGCAATAGCTTGGAGAGTTGGACAAAGATCCAGTGATGGTCGGGCGGAAGTCTGGTGGCAGTCGACGGCCAGGCAGTGGTCCGATAATGGATCAACGTAAGTCCGGCGGCAGTCGGCAACTGGGTAGAAGTCCGGCGGCGACCGACAACTGGGTAGAAGTCCGGCAACAGTCAGCGCCCGAGCGGTGGTCTGACGACAATTGTCGGGCGGAAGTCTTGCGACGGTCATCGGCCAGGTGAAAGTTTTGCGGTGGTCGGCAACCAAACGGTGGTTAATTTGATCCTACGATGATCGACAGAGGTTCATCGACGGTGGTGCTGGAGCTCTTGAAGCCTTAGATCCCTCTCCAATCTCTTGCCAAAAGCTATAATGATGTGATGCTATGCTCTATGTCATTTCTCCCAGCAAAGTCTACAGTGCGGGGGGCTCAGGTACATAGCATCGAGGCTCTCGACTACACAACGTCAGGCGCTCTGGTTCACAACAATGGGCATTGTACGAAAAAAAAAACTTATCGTGTGTAAAGCACCCAAACCCAAGCAAGGGAAGGCCCCCCTCACTCAGCGTGCACAACAAATTAAACTGAGGTCCGAAATAACTATACAATTCAATTGATTGACACAATCAGATTCCACACTGACTAACAAAATTTGATGACATTTTCTATTATAATCTCATTATATTTTCTCAGAATTAATCTCAAGACAAGTGACTTGAATTCTTGTCACTTAGTCTTCCTAATTATACAAAGTTAGATGATATTCATATGGATTAGGAAGACTGCAAAGGCAACATCTTTGAAGTTTGGCTATTGTGCGCATATACCTAATCTTTACACTTACATGCACCATCTTTATTTTATTTTCTTTCTAAATTTTAATCCAAGGATCTACATTATACTGTCAATATTTATGCAATAGATATCTAGGGATTTATCCATTCAATATAAATATTAATGCAGACATATTAAATGTAACAAATAGGTATATTATGTTTTTTTGTTGATAGCAATGTTGTGACCATGGAAAATGATTTAACTTGTTGTGTTGTTGCATTTTTGTATTTGAGCTAAATCCTATCGTATTTGTGTCAAATTGATAGAAGTTTATATATTATTGAATTCTTATAACCGTTGGGAATAAGCAAATCGAAATAAACAAGGTAAAAGCTACGGAGTATGAACATTAGAATTTATGTGGAAAACCAAAAGAACGAAAAATCACAGAGCCGCGCCACATCAAAAAATTTATAATAAAAAATGTGAAGAAATTGTAAAGATTTTTCACTCTGCTCTTCCTCGTAGTCTTCACATTCTCTCATATACCATAGCTTAACCATCATACGATTAGTCGGTTACAATACACGCAATGCAAAAAACCGAATGAAAAAAGGTCCATCAATAAGATTTTTTCTTATTGAATAATCGATAGTTATTAGAATTTATAAAGATATTTACTATAATACAATGCTTATGAAGTCTTAGATTTTATAATAAATCCTATATAAGAATAAAATTAGATAATCTTATCTAAATTTAAAATTTTAAAATAATAAATTATATATATTATAAAATATGTGATTGAATTTTAGAATTTTAAAGAAATATTCTTTTGGATTTTGCCTACGACCGGATGTTCCTCTGCATCCGGTCGGAGGACATAATAATTGTTCCTGAAAAAATGCTCAAAACTGTAGTAAGAGAAGGAAACTCATGCTTACGTTGGGACTACTTTTTTATTGATTCTTAACATAAAATTTTAGTACAAATCCCATCTTAAGAAACAATAAAAAAATAATCTCAAACTAAGCGTGACACTCACATTCTATGTATCTAGACAACTCTTGTTGATCCGTTGATTGAGAATTTTCACTATATATCCAGGCAACTCTTGTTGATTGGCTGATTGAGAACTTTCACAGTATACTAAAGTTTTGTTTGGAATGATTTTTTTACTTCTTAAAATAATTTTTTAGTAGAAAAATTTTATTTTTTTATTAAAAATTTATTTTAAGAAACAGCTAAAGCCATCCCAAATAAAACCTAAGAGATCTTTAAATTCAAAGTCTTACTTATATCATGTGTGAGAATTTGTCTTAATTACCAATATGTCAAAAAAAAAAAAAAATCTATGTATCCAGAAATTTATTTATTTATTTCATGGATGCTGAGCCGTTGTCATCTTGTTTCTACCAAAATGCAAAGAGGAAAAAAAATTCAATTTGATTAGTTGGGCTTCCTTCCAGATTCGGGAGAGATTCAGAAGGTCGGTTGAGTTCAGTGGCGATTTTATTTGTTCAGGTTTCGCGTTTTTATCTATCCTTAATCTGTGATTGTGCTTTCCTTTTGCTTGCCATGGATGTTTAGCTATCATGATAAATTCATTGCGGTTAACACATTTGATTACTTTGATTTTATTCCCTTGGTAAAAAGTTGAGAACTTTGCGATATCTTCTGAGACCTTGAGGAAAAAACCCTAGCGCAGGCAAAATTTATCTTCTTTTGTACTCTGAGTTTTGGTTTTGCATAGCGTTTTGAACTATGTCTAGTAAGTGTTCTGCATTTGATTCCCTTTGGCTTATATGCAGGTTTTTTTTTTTGGATCTGAAGGTTTGTTAAGTTAGTTTTTCTATCCACCATTCATGTGGGTTGATAGTTGAGATTTGGTACAAATTCACAAATGTTTATTCATGTTGGCTATATTATTCTGATTGATTTTTTAATGAAGCTGGGTTATTTTGCTTTCGTGGCTGACCCATCCTTAGCAAGATTGACAGTGATAAATACTGATGGAGATCCCACCGTGGCATTAGGATGGTTGGTGGGCGAGTACAATTGGGAATCCCCATCTCGGGTTCGAATCCCCTCTACTAAGGCCTCGCCTCTTCAGTGGGACAAAGAAAGTGTGGGCCCGATACCGGTGGGTGGCCTCACTAGGTTCCGCCAAATGATTAGTTATGACGCCAAGCTCTCTCTTTGGAGTGACAGCGGGTGGATACCCCTATTCAAAAAAAAAAAAAAACTTTTCTTAAAGTTTGGGGTAACTTTCTTACTGATTCTTAAAGTAGCTTTTTAGTACAAAATTTTAAATTTATACTAAAAATTTGCATTAATAAGCAGTAAGAAAGAATATGGCTTAATGTTAGTTGTAAGTGAGAATTTTGTTTATGGTAGTTTGATTCCCATGACATGAATGAAAAGAATATGGGGGATTTAGATATATAGCACATAATTTGTATGTACTAATACATTTAACATTTAAATTTTTATATTTATTTATAGAGTATTATAGTGTCTAATTCATATTAAAATATATGTATGAAATGGTGTATTCATTTTTGATAAGTTCATGTTAGTGATATTTTGATGTGATTTAATGAATAGATTGTTATATACATTTATGCTTAGTTTTCAGTTACTATTTTGCATTTTAGTTTATTTCATTGGAAGTTCATCACACCTTTAGTAGACTTACCACAGTATAATGAACCTTTTGCCATTGTATGAACTTTCAAAGAAATTCTTCATGTTTCTTTTCTGAAGTTTCTATTAGTTTGAAGCCTGTTTATATGCATGCCATATAAATTTCACAGTATAAGAGCAACTTCAAGGTTATTTGTGTATCTATCCTAAATGTTTTGCACATTCTACAAGGAGTAATCAACTCCATTGAAGGCTTCTCCTTCTCTCATAAACAATAAAAGATCATGCCTAAGACTCTTGGAGTCCACTTTGGAACTGGTGATTTAGGTTTAGTTTGGGGTGGCTTTCTTACTATATCTTAAAACAGAAGCTTTTTAGTACAAAAATTAAAATTTGTGTACTAAAAAGCTGCTTTATGAAGCAATAAGAAAGTTGTCCCAAATAAAGTCTCAATCAAGGTAGGTACCACGGGCACAATTGGCGCCTTGATGTCTCAAGAACTAGAATCCATGAGGAATTCAGCCCATACATCTTCCTTTCAGAAGAAAAATAGATCTAAACAGGTTTCAGTATCATGTGTTCATTCCTCTATAAGAACAGATCATGGAAACCTCGGTAAAGCTCAAATAACAAGCAAAAATCTCTTGCAAATGGACAACTAGCTCCAATTCTAAGCAATGAAGCCAACACAGACAAGAACACAAGAACAAAAAGGCCCTGGAAGAAAATACACACTTACATAGTTGAAGCTGTGGATATAAAGTGCAATAATCCTATGAGTAACCGATTAAAGAAACTCGGCTTCTCCAAACTATCTGAATCCATTGGTTAGTGTTGCATGAACTTGTTACAGTCGGTTCTTAAGTTTTTGTAGCCAGCTCCTCCACCATTTCTGATCTCAACAATGGAGCAGATGCATGGTAAGAATCCTCCATTGTTGCTTGGAATTGACTGTTTCTTCTTATTGAATGGGCCTGAGCTTTTTGAGGTCACTTTCTTCGATTTCTGATCGCTTCTGTGATGATTTGTATCAATCTTCTTGAAGTATTCAATCTCCTGAGACAAGAGGGATCCAATTGTTCCTTGGGTTCCAATCTCAATTGGGGAAATTGAGCCACCCATTGTAGCTTGCAGCCGAGAGAGTGCTTTTCGTAAAGTGATTTATGATGAATTTGGGCATTGGGGGTTGAGTGATGAGTGAATGTTAGGCGAGGAATGATTTTCATTGCTTTGAATGGGCAGTTGTTGGACTCTTTTCTCTCACATAAATGTTTCTTTAAAGAAAAGGAAGGTGAGAGTTTTAGATGATGAAGTTCTACCGTTTTAATGGCTATTCCCTTAATATCATCCGTGCAGTTGTCTCATGGACTTCTCTTCTTTGTGGAATAATATGGGCATGAATGATGATTCATTAATGAGTAATTAAACCCATAAAAGAAGAGATATGTTACAAATAAAACCTTAAAAAAGAGCAAAAATCATAGAAAATACTAAATATATAGCCATGTAATTGAGGAAAAAATTTAGATAATTTGAGAATGCCTACAACTGAGATTAAGAGAGAAAGGACCCGGCCACCAAATTAGATTCAGGCTTTATTTTGTATAGTTTTCTTATTGTTTTATAAAGTTGCTATAGAAAAAATACTTATTTTAGAACTGGTGTAGAAAGTAGCTTTCTTATACATTTTTTTTTTTTGAAAGAAGTAAAAAATAATGGCAAAATAAAAGTTATGATTACCGTCTGAAAGTCAAAGCAAAGCGGGGAGAAAGCTGTTCCAAATGAAACTCAACTCTACTAAAGCAAAGAACCTAATCTAGTTAACAAAGGAGGAAACCAAACTTTTGATAGTATTCGTGACTGACTCATGTTAGAAAAATGAAAGGAAAAACATAAGCAATAGATAGCCAAAATCTAATAAAGTTTAAAGAAAGAATTACAACTTAAACCCAAATACTGAAATTATGAAATAACTATTACTGAAATATTTGTTTCTATGAGGATGATCTACCAAAAAGCCTGATGAAACCTGTTAAAATAACTTTTATTATGAGGGAATTTGATATTTAGGCTTTATTTGAGATAACTTTTTAATTGATTTTTAAAATTGCTTTTTCATATAAAATTTTTTTGAATTATTTTTGTACTGAAAATACTGGCGGCCGAACGTAGAGCTATGTCCTGTGACCGGACCAAATAAAAGTTGGGAGCCATTTTTTGTCTGTGGAATAATATGGGCATTTTTTTTTGTGTGGGTTCCATATATGTATGTATTTGGTGGATCCAGAAAAGGCCTCAGTCAAAACTTTCTCAGGTAACATTCCTAACTCTTCTCTTTCAGTCGAAGATGGTTGGGACATTGCTCTGTCCCGAATATTTAAAAAGTCGATTAACAAATCTTTTCGACTTTGACCAGATTTTGGGGATTTGATATTTTTGAAAAATATTAGATTTTAATTAGAGTCATTAGCCACTGAGTTTGATTGATTTGGAATTTTATATAATTAATTATGAATTTTAAAAGTTTGGGGAATGGATCGAGGTTGAGCAGTTATTAATAGAATCAAAGGAAGAGAAGTAGGGGACACCTTGAGATTCTGGAACCATCCGGAAGTGTCCCAACTTAATCTAAGTATTGGGCTTTATATTATATATATAAGCAAATATTTAATGAGTATTTTATAATCCATATGACTAATGGTTTAGCAATAACCTTTTATAGCTTCAAGATACCAATATATTTGGTTGTAACAAAATAGCTTTTCATCATAAATTTTTTTTACCGAAAATAATAAGAAATAGTAGTCAAATAGGGCAAATTATTGGGTCAGGTGACCGAACGCAGAGATAGGTTCGGATAATAATAAAATATTATTTTAAAATTAGCGCAACTAAAGCGCAACTAAAGCGCAACCAAATACATATATATATATATATAAGGTAAAAACAATTTTTTATTTTAACTGTGGTAAGGTGAGTGTAAATGACTTTACTGAGACTATAATTTTTTATAAATATGATTGTAAAGTTATTATAGGGAAAATAAATTTTTTTAAAACTATTTTAATGTTATAATTTCTTATAAAAGTTTAGCAATAACTTGTTATAGCTTCAAGATACCAATATATTTGGTTGTAAGAAAATAGCTTTCCATCATAAAATTTTTTTACCGAAAATAATAAGAAATAGTAGACAAATAGAAGTATAGGAGCTGTCTAAAAAGTGAAGTATTGAAAAAGCTTCCAAAATAGACTATATAATTTTGATAACTTTTGCTTAAGAGTTTAGGAGAATGAAGCGTAGAAGATGAATAGGAATGGAGCTAGATTGGGGCCACTACTATGGGACTTGAACATTTGATTGAAATTGGGTAAGGCTTGCAGTGAGCGGTCTAAAAAGTAAAGTATTGAAAAAGCTTCCAAAATAGACTATATAATTTTGATAACTTTTGCTAAAGAGTTAAGGAGACTGAAGCGTAGAAGATGAATAGGAATGGAGCTAGATTGGGGCCACTACTATGGGACTTGAACATGCGATTGAAATTGGGTAAGGCTTGCAGTGAGCTGATCGATCAAAAGAGAAAAGATAAATGTTGGTTGTTATTGGAAGCATGGATAAGGAATGCTCAATTGAAAGAAAGAGTCAAATATTGGTTGTTGGGAGCGTGATGTTTGTTGCCCTATTTCTAGGGAGTGTCAATATTTGACACGACACGAAAATCCAACCTAAAAAATTTCAGGTTACCTGATTTCGAATCGGGTCGGGTTCAGGTTCCCAGATTTGACCCGTTTGGAAAAACGGGTTGGATTCAGGTTGAACTGAAAATCCGAACTCAACCCTGTTTAACTCGGTAAAAACATGCAGACCGTGACAACTGCTCGTGCTGACCATGCCTACTGCCCGCACGGCCCTCGTCGAGTCGAGCTCTAGCGTCGCATCGATTGCCCGCCATCTTGTCAACTGCATTCCATCGCGTCGACTTCATTTGACCAGTCGCCTCACCGCCTCATGTCGCCTAGCCCGTTTTTGAATCAAACGGGCTCGCGGGTCGGGTCGGCTCAATCTAGTAACCCACGCAGGCCAAGTACGGGTTGAAAAATCTGACATGTTTGCAAAAACATGTCGGTTCGAGTTGACCCGTTTATGATCCGGATCATGGGTTCGACCCGAATCTGATCGGTCGTCAACCTGTTTTGACACCCCTACCCTACTCCATCTTTAACTTTTAAAGACACAAACCATTTGACCATTCTCTTGAGATAAGGAATCATTGAACATAAAATATAATTTTTGAGCGAAATCAAAACAAATTTTAAAGATGTGATTTTGATGATCACATAACATTAATCATAGAGTAAGATTGGATCGTTCTAATAACAAATGGATTTAAGTCTTCTTTTTCTTATGCATTAATGCTTTACTTGAAAAAGAATGAAAAATGATAGCTCATGCATAGACCTAACTCTTATTTTTAATGATTATAATGAAATCAATAAGAATAATGATCATGATGGAATACCAACATTAGATGCTTCCACAGCTTTTCTTTTTGAAAACATCTAAATCTACTGAAAAATTTATTGTTATTTTTTTTAATTTATTTTTCTAGCTTCTATGCAGTCTTTTTTTTTTTTAGCTTCTATGCAGGCTTTGGTTTCAAATATTGAGTTATAAATATTTAGGTTTTTTTAAGGTTCTTTTGGATGGATTTATTTATGAAATATGATTTAAAAAATTAAAGATTTAATTTTTATCAATTTTGAATGGGAAGAATAAAATCATTATTTTTTTTGAGAAATTTATGATATTTGAACTTAATATGTTAATTTAATTACATTGGACTAAATGATATATTTATATAATTTAATAGATTTTCAAAATGTTCTCATTCTTGAAACAACCAAGTGAGGCCTTAGCTAAAAGGCGCAAGAGAGTCGAAGTAGAAGTCGCAAATAAAAAAAAAAAAAAAACATGTCAAAATATTATGATCATAAATTAGTCACAATGGAGCTCGATTGAGGCCTTTAGATCTGCTTTAAGATTTATGAAATATTAATTATTTATGTATTATACTCATCTTAAAGTCTATTTGGAACAGCTTTCTAACTGCTTTGTTTTTTCAGATAACAACCACAATTTCATTCACTACTTTTCAAAAATTTTGTAGTAAAAATTAGTTTTTTGCAACCATAGTAGCTAATGTGCTCTTTTAACTTAATAATCAACTTTATAAAATACTGCAAAAATCCCAAATAGGCTATTAAAATATATTCAAAGAATTTAATGTCTTAAAAATTTGATCAAAATATCATTCATCATTTCCTTAAAAAAAGTAAGAAATTAAGCCATAAGTCAACATCTCCATCATATTTCAACCTCGAATATTATCCATAAGTGGTTCAGACTCAGCTTTCAGCCTACATAATTATGATTGCAACTGAAGGTCAATTTTACATATTTATCTTTGGAATTTGCGACGCTATCAAAAATAAATAAATAAATAAAGGGAGATTTACCTACCATTAAAGTTTTTTATATTTATCTATATAATATTTAAAATTTTATATTTATTTATATAACATGTTAATCTCTAAATCATATCTATAATGTCAGTAACAATAATTCATCTAAAGTTTTTTTTTTTTTCATGCATAAATTTTAATGTGATTTATATAATAGGATATTGCAAAAATAAATATAATGATTAAGGTGCTAGATTTGCTAATATATAAGAATTTTGTGGTTTGTATGTAAAACTCTCAAAATAATTCTTAATAATTAGGATAAAATTAATGATGATTGTTGTGTCCTGGAGTATTCGAGGCAGTAGAGAAATATTTAGTTTAGTGTCTTAGCGTTATACGAAGATCCAACATGCAATCAGATAAGAGAGAATGTGTAGTATTCATAAGAGACACCAGAGTTTTTACGTGGAAACCCCTGAAAAGGGGGGAA